ACATACAATCGTATAAGAAGCTGCTGCCCAGGACGCACAAGGACTCCGCTGCCGTGGCCGATGTTTGGCCCTCCACGTCAGCGTTCGACGGTTACTTGTCCGCTCTCTCGCCGCTTCAGGTGAATTTGTGGCTCTATTCTAGACGTTCAATTGTGTAAATGGTTGATCCTTTAGGAGGATAACTCTGCGAATTGATAAGTTCGTTGTTTCAATTGGGGGCATTGCCTTGCTTATCTTGGAAATGTGTGGGTTATCTGTGCTTTATCGTTAATTTACAATGGCAGTCTCTGCAATTGTTGAGGATTTTGAAAGAGTTGTGGCGTCTTTGTTGACTGAGTTATTTGCTCCGTGATATTGGATCTTTCTGGTAGCTAGTGTTGTAATTGGGAACTTGGTATTAGTTAGGTTTCATATTGATGAATTGTAGTGGAAGCTATTATTGTAGTTGAGTAGGGATCAATTAGCTTGGGAGAAGGCCTGTATTTTGCTGACAGTAATTTCAATGGGAGTGAGTGTTGAAGAACACTAGCTTAACTTACCCTGGCTGGTTGATGGCTTCTGAGAAGGTTAGTTTCAGTTGGAGGTCATCTTACGAAGTCGTGATTTTACTCAAATTAATTTATGAACCTTGCACAGACCTATAGGGTGTTGTTTAGACAATAAGTATGGCAACATCATTAATGGTTGGGAAATTTTGTAAGTCTACGAAATTTATGACCGATCGATTAAATAGGTTGTTGCTTGATTTACATTTTGACTTCATACGATCCGTCTTAATGCCAACTCCATTTTTTCCCGTCTTCTGAATCTTCATGTTCTTGTTTGTAACCTGATTCAAGTGAACCCCCATGTCCTCTTAATTGGCCATTTGGTCTTTAGATTTAAGTGCTCTTTTTTATCCCTTACGAATGAAGTTCTTATAGCCGGTATAATGTTGGGCCAAGACAACACAAAGAAATGTTTGGCCACTGTATCTAAGACCTGTTTACATTTGAATCTAAATGTTTCATGTATACTATCATTTGAGGAGCTGGAATGGAATGATCTTTCTCAACTTTGCTCTTCTACCAACATCTTGGGGATTTTTAGGAGTTGTCAAGTTCATATATATACATTCAGAAGCAAAATGAACTAAGATTCTGAAATTTGGAGTATATCCTAGTTACCAATGTTTGTCCTGGAGTTCTTATGGTTGTTTGTCCACTTGTGCTTATGTGGTATTTGCACAATGACTTCTCCCAATGGTTCCGTTGTCTTGTAGCTTGTACGCAGCAACAGCCGCCGTTTCATGCCATCACAGGCTGATGAAGAGGCTCATCAGCTATCATATTTACAAAAGCACATGGGTAACATTCTTTCTTTGCTGGCGGAACCTGTTGAAGGAGAAGGAGAAAGCGAAGAGTCCCTGGTTTGTAAAATCAGACTGCTCTGTATCTTATGCAGCTTACTTCTGTGACTTTTCATGTGAAAACTGCTGGCTTATGAATGTGATAAGATTATCCAGCATAGTTATTATTTTCTGTTCCCTTTTTTGTGTTTTTTTTTTTGTTTTATCATCCTCACATTGTTCTGTTTTTCATGGTTGAAGCTTTGGCTTGATTCTCTGCTGTACTTATGCAAATTGCTACATCATTGCTAATCTGACAGTTGCAACCACTTTGTCTCAGGTTTTGACCATGGAGGGATTTGAGCACCTTGGATTTCTTATCCAAGTTGGCGAAAAGAGTTCCGAAGGAGTTTCACTAGGCCAAGCTGCTCCGTTCTTTGCCAATTCAGATCCTGACATGCCGGCTGTTCCTGTCCCTGCTGCTGAAGTCCTTGACTGGGTATCACAAAATATTTCCTCCGCGCTGGAGGCTATTACTGAAAGAATATCTGCTAAAGAGAATGGTCCGTCAAGTGCATCTGATCAAGATGTAGCCATGGCTGATAGCTGCAATAACTCTGGCAAGACTGCTCCCAGTTCCAGAGGTACAAGCTTCATTGAGGGTATCTCCAAATCGTCGTATGTAAAACAGGCATCGGATCTTAAAGGCTCCTCGGTAAAGGTAGGAATTGGAACCATAATCTCCTGTTATCCCCCCTCAAGCAATGCAGCTACAATAATTCTTGCTAGCATGCCTTGATTTTGATTCTACCCAAATTGAACTTAGTTCTATGCTTGCCGTGCTCTAATACTTTTCTGAGCATTTGAATAGCTTGTCTGCTCTCAATCGAGTGAATCATGAGACTAATCCTATAGATTATGCTGGTATATTATCAGAACTATTGATGGCCAGCACTCTTCCAGTTATTGTTTGTCTTCACGCTTGGAATTTATGCCATGTACGGCCTTATGGATAGTTTTTAATAATTTCTTCGGTATGCAGATTTCATGCTGTTATAATGGTTGCAGTTACAAGTTGTGTTTTGCATGCACTGATTGTATCTATTTCATGTTAGATGGAGATAGATGTTATTTAGGTGATGACTTGGTGTACCCTCTGGATACAAAATTTATCCAAATTTATCCAGGGCAATGATTGAACTATATAATTCTGAAGAAGTGGAGCTGATTTTCCTTATTATAGCTTTCTGAAATAGCATTATATCCTTGAGTGGTATTAGCTAACTGATTTGGCTATCTTGTCATCCAAACCATATTATGGTTCTTGGATATTCCGATACGGAAAATGCATCTCCATCCTAAAATTGTGTTTATGGAAATGGGATTATCCTTTACCCTTGTGAGTCTTCTTTTAAACTAAGAGGCTTGGTTTCCTTCATTGAGACCTAGCATTTTATGCTACAATTCATGATTTAAATGTATGAAACCTCGTCATAAATTAGGGGCGCACAATGTCCTCATAGCCCAGAGGTATCTAGTCTTTATATTATTGTTTCCTGAAGTGATGCATGTGACTGCTGAACTGGTATTCAAGCACTTCTAGGAATACATAGCTGTTTAATCTTATGTTTGTGATTATCCCATCTCATTATAGATGGTTTACCAGGAACTATCACCACTACCAACCTCTTTCCTTAATTGCTTATTTGTGGAATTGTAAGAACTTGGACTGGTCATCAAAGTTTGCTTCAGTTAACCTGGTTTTTCAAATTGTTTGGATGATTGCAGGTTTTAAATTGTCATGATTCCGTCATTTATATCTTAGCACCATTGAGATATGCCACAGTCTATGGATGCTCTGACTCTACTATCGTTCTTGGAGCTGTCGGAAAGGTAAGGTCCATTTGACCAACTATCGTGTCTTACAATTGCTGCCTGGTTTCAGTGCTTTGCATTTGATGATGTTCCAACTTAATTCTAGTCCTGAGCTGAAATTTCCATTTAGTGCTTCTACCCTTCTGTTCCGGTTGTCTGTTGATAGTCCTGTTGGATGACACTGAAGGCTATGTTCCTCTTATATATATTCTCTTTTTTTTTTTTTTTTTTTTCCAGGCTGTAAGGATTGAACACTGCGAGCGAGTTCATGTGATTACAGCTGCAAAAAGAGTATGTATTGCTAATTGTCGAGAGTGTGTATTCTTTCTTGGTGTAAACCAGCGGCCACTCATGGTTGGGGATAACCATAAGCTACAAGTAAGTATTTATCGATTTGTTGTTGGTTGTTTTGCAAGTAAGATGTTAAGAGCAATTCAACTGGTCGTTGAACGATACTTAATACACTTACATTTCGAGCGGGATAGCTATAGCTGTCTTTACAATAGTGTTTTCTATTTCTTTTCCTGTGATTTTAAGCATAAAGTCAACAGAAAATAGTTCTAATAGTATTTGACAATCTAATCCAGGTGGCACCATACAATACATTTTATGCTGATTTGGAAGCACACATGGCTGAAGCTGGTATTGAAGCAAAGATCAACAAGTGGGATAAGCTGCTGGCCTTGGGAGTTGTTGATCCTCACGATTCATTATCACATCCTGCGGGTGTCTCTGATGTTCAAGCCGAGACTGCCACACGAATAGATCCCGACCTTTTCACAAACTTCCTGGTATTGCATTATCTTTATGCATCTGTAATAATTAATTTTCATCCTGCCATCAGTTGGTAATATTTTCCCATCACAGTGCGGTATCTAAATTTGTATAGTTTTGCCTTGAGAATCTAAGCCTTAGCAGATATGTCGTGTACTTGTTCTTTTTTGATACAGATTCCAAACTGGTTTGGAGGCGAATCATCAGGGATGACAAAAGATAATCCGTTCCCATTGCCGGACAATTATATGGAATCCCGTCAGAAAAATGTAGGCATTCCATTCTATTATCTCAACTCTGCGGAATATTCATTTGGCATAGCCGTTTTTCAAACTGATGAGTCAACTCATGGGAGTTCTTTTTCTCTGTTCCTTCAGCTAAAAAGCTTGGATGAGATGAAACAGCTATTGAGGGACACTCCACTCGAAGACAGCCGGAAGCGGGAACTGTCATGCGCACTCCACGTGCTGTTCAAAGATTGGTTATACGGTAATGATCTGTATCATTTTACTCTGGTGTTTCGCTCAAATTGGGGACTATGCAGTTTATTTTTCTCCGACTTTTCCTTTCAAGGATGTAAATGAGATGATGAATTTCATGTTTTGATGATACTGCAGCTTCAGGTAATATCCGCCAACTTTACTGCCTACAAGGCGACTAAGGCCGGTCCAACCCTCAAGGAAATGGAGGAACGCGTTTTTGTAGCAATGCTGGGAATCTGTTTCTGTTTTTTTTTTTGGTTGCAACCATCATCGAAAGGCACGGAGAAGCTCAAACGTGTACTCATTGAATAAACGGTACAACCGACAATGTCGATTAGCCTGTTTGACAATGGTGCACAGAATATACATGCCATGCCATGCCGCCTCCTACTCTAATCTCACTGTAATATTATTTTTTTGGTCTTTGAGTCTTCTGTTCTTTAAGAGAAGGAAAGGAAAAGTTCTTACTGTAATATTTGTTTACACCCTCCTGGCTAGGTTCCCAGTTTTCTTGTGAATTCCATTTTCAACGTTTGGCTTTTTTTAACTATCGGAATTGATTCCTTTTCTTCCTTTCAGTTAAGCCAATGCATTGGTTGGTCATTGATTTTTATACCTGGGCAGGATTGTTCATTTGTAGTTGTTTTTTTTTTACTTTGGATGGATAATAAACGACGATAGTTTAAGATTCGAGGAACTGTTTCGAGATTATGGCAACCGCACTCGTTAGGTACAATACTGTGGTAGTCTAGCTAGCAGGCACAAGTGCTAAAAGCTGCTCTGCTTGGTCCGGAAAGAATGTGATGAACAGAAATGCACCTGCATACCAATGACGTTAATTAGGCTAACAATTAAGTCAATGTGGCTGAATACATCGTGTTTGGCCTCGACTTACAGATGAGTACGGTTCCAAGAACAGCTGAGATCTTGCCTTGAACTGTGACCAAACCGGCTTTACCAGCATCTTTTAGCTCAGTCTTACCTTCCGAATCAAATGTACCTATGTTCGTTCGGACGAAGCTGTTACTTTGGGTATGGAGATAACGAGATAAATGGCGTAATGAGAGTGGACGAAGTTTGTGTATCAGAATCTAACCTGGTGAAACGGATTGAAGACCAGATGTTATACATGCAATGTTCTCAAAACCGGCACTCTCTAACTTGTTCGCTGCCGCGGCAGACCTGCAATAAGCTTTATGTGAATTCACTTGAAGGTATTGACGGAGCCCAAGAACACAACGAACTGGTGTAAAAGAATAAGGCACATCTCATCAAATGGCTGGGGAAGAAACGAATCAACGGCTAAGAGCAAGATATGGCGCGCCAGACAAGAGTAAAAAACTAACAGATGGCATCGCCCAGATTTGAACTGGAGACCTTCAGTGTGTTAGACTGACGTGATAACCAACTACACCACGACACCAGAATTGAAAGTAATCTTTTGTCATTGCTACGGATACAGTAAATACATTCCAAATGAAACCATAATCCCAAATTCACAATCAGTTCATATCATCGTCAGCAACTCAGCACAGCAAGCATTCAAGATAACAAAGTGGGTTGGAGATTGGTGAGTCAGCTCACCTCAGTCCTTCCTGGCACACGAGTAAAAGTTTGCTTCCGGCTGAAAACTGGGTTTTGACCGAGTCAATGAACTCAGGGTTAGGCTTAGTGAAAGGTAGTCCAAAGAACAAACCCGAGAAGTTGTTGTGCACTGTCCTTAAAACAAAGGTACCTGCACAACCACAAGTTAACTGAGGATCCTCAAATCATATCATTCCGGATTAAAAAATCTGGAAGAACTATCCAATACTGTATTGAAACAAGACTTACCAATGTCATTATCTTTGTTCTCTATGAAAAGAGGAACGTGGTAACACGACTTTATACGAGCTCTCTCAAATTGCGTTATGTCCCTTACATCAACCACCGCATACCCTTCTTCTGATACCAGCTTTTTTGCTTCATCTGCCTTCACAAACTTCACCTCAGCTCTAATCCCGTATGCATTTCTCCTTCGTCTCGGTTTCCACAGTGTTTTTATTCCATTGTGATGACCCTGGAATTCTAACCAGGACACAGCAACATGGCTGAAACCAAACACACGAGGTAACTTCATTAGTTTCACTAATTCAAAGTTACCAGGTTTCCATATACATACAAATGCATTGCTGAAGCCTCAAAAATCAGTGTCCAGCCAGGTGGAAGTACAGTAACTAGTCGCTGGACGTTGAAACCAATGCCATACTGGGACAGAAACCATCATTTCATTTTAGCAAGTTTTCGGTTACACAACGACATGAGATCTGGGAATATGTTTGGTATGGACTCATAACAAATGTATCAGTGAAGCTCATAATGGAATTTACAAAGCAAGCACAGTCAAATGGCATTGGCTATTCTGTGTTCACGAAATGACAAGGAGATGGATGCAATGTTGGTTTCTGAAATTGGAACAACACCATTGTCTACTAGAGTTTGAGTTCGGTATATAAAGTTTCTTCCTTTTCAGTTAGCTGAGCAATTGGGAACTGGGGAAAAAGTCCAGAAACCCATTCAAAATGCAGCAACGAGGATAAGATTTTGAACAAAATTATCCCCCATATAATCATAAGAGGGAATCCCAGATCAACACTCATCTAAATCTGTCACCAAATTGATTCTCAACAGAAAAAGACTTCTGCCCAGGAAGAATCCCACCTCTCCACACAAGCAGTAAGCTTAGTAATAAGAAAACAAACGGCAGAACGCTCCAGAACCAGAAAAGCATGCAAATTGAAGTAAAAGATAGAACTGCACGGGAGCAAATTGAGTGAAACAGAAACTAAATGCTTTGGTTTACCTTGCGGAAGAAAGAGTGGAACAACAAGTACCCAAACCAGCCATTAATATCTGAAAGAGAAGAGCGCTGGAATCCAGTCGCTGCTCCGTCCCTCTACCTCTACAGCTCTTCTTCTTTGTTTGTTGTCTCTTTCTCTTGCTGGCGCGGCCTTGGAGGGAGATTATGCGCCTGATTTCAACGGGGCCATGAAATTTGAGACCCTCAATGGGTTATTGACACGTGGCACCTCCAACTGGATATATTTGGCAATGCCTTGGAATGATGCCTTTTTCTTTGGATACATTTCAACCTTCTAATTAGAATTCTTTGCTGAGAAATATATTGCTTTGCTTATCTGGTAAATTAGACAGTGAGCAACAAAACTTGCAAATTGAAACACATTCCTGCTTAATTCCAAACCCCTTCTGTTTGTCTACAACAGGATAAACTTACAATTCACCACAAAGAGAATTCATCTCTCCACAATCCTTCTCATTGACTACGTATTTATTGAAACGAAAGAAAAACCAAAATGATTACACGTTCTGAGACCAGACGGCAAAAAACCAAAAAAATAAAATAAACTCAACCATACGAGCTCAGCAGTAGGGTTGCCCTGCATTTGAACAAGGGGTGTGAAGAATTATGCCTCGACAGTGGATCTTTTCTTCGTGGTGTAAGGGTAATACTCCTTGCCATTGTCTACTCTGGTAGTCTGGCCTCCAGCATCAATGAGTGACGAGGTAACGGCTAGAGCTGCTCCGGCAGAAAGAGCCGTTGGGATGCTCCTAGCTGTTTTTATCCACAAAAAGTAGTCATTTTCAGCTGCTGATGGATCTAAAGTTTGCTTGTTAGCATAAGTTCAGACTTAAAAGGTAGTGAGAAATGTGATTCCATGGCCTAATTGCATGGTTAGGCTTGCTAAAGAGAGTTATTACCAGAATCTGTCAGATGATAACGGAGACACAGTGCTAAAGGGATGGGATTACATATATGTTGAACATGATCTTGTACTCAAATAAGGACACCATGCAAAGCAGAAAATGATAGACTCTACATATCAGTCAGACCAAAGCAGAATCCGTCTCCTCGCTTGTTTTTCTAGCAAGCATGGACATTGACCAACTTTATTATTTCCTTATGAGCAAATGAGATTTTATCATACTGACTGTGCTTATATCTGGCATGTTTCACGCAAATATACTGCTAGCACATTTGGTTATTCTCAGTTGAAGTGTGCACATTGGGAAAGAATCCAGCACGCAAATGCAATCCTAGGTGCAGAATACATCATTTAGAACCAGTTTCCCCACTATCACCTAGGAGCTCACTCATGTGTCACGTTAAAAAATATTTTACTGCATATTTAAGACACTACTAGTTTCGAAAGCGCATCAAATCGACCAAAAGTCTCCCTCAAATTTGATCAACTATCTAATGAGAGTGACGAGCAGCATTACCGAAAGAAAGTGTCGCCCCCCACTAATACAGCAAGTAGTATATGTTTCCCATTACACAAAGTTTCCAAAACACCAAACACCAATGTTTGGGAAGAAGAAACACAGTTCAGAGGGCAGGAATTAAAACCAATTATTTATGCAAAAACGTCAACAAGACACTGCCTCCCTAGTATAAGATGGTAAGAGCACTGAACCCACAAAAAGAGAAAAGAAAAAGAGATCATTTTTACCTTTGAAGCCTAGAACTGAAGCCCCAGCAACAAAACCACCAACAGCTCCATTAACGAAATCTCTCTTCGTTCTTTGATGTTGCAGAAGCTGCTCAATACCAATGTAGACACCACCAATGGCAGCAAAGGTCATCCCATAATTGCCCATCATCTTCAGAGTTCTTATCAGCCCTGGAAGTGCAACGTGCTTCTCAACACGAGGCACATCATGCCAAGTGGCCACAATGGTACCGAAAATAGTTCCAGTAACCAATCCTGTGGTTGCGCCTTTTAAAACTTTCATCTTTGGGGTGTCATCATCCTCCAAGTACCTCATCTCCGCTGAATCCATTGCTGCCTTATAACTCCTATCTGGTGAACACAAAAGTGGGCAAAGAAAAAAAAGAAAGTAAGCATCTTTACAGGAGTCATCAACCCCTCTGAAATGGGATTGCTTCATCCATGCCAAAATCGTTTCCTTAATCATCAAAATTGTACAAGGGGAGTATCAGCAAAATGGTCCTAATCACCTAAACCGAAAAACATTTGCCATAAGTATTACCCGGTTTCCCCACAACCGAGGGAAGACTCGAGGACACAGACTACAAAGAATACAAGCGACGAACTAGGCTTCACCAGAGTGATTTTCCACAAGGCAATCCTTTCATTTAAGGGAAGAGAAATTTCTCCCTGGAAGGTAGGCCAAGAAATGTGGAAACTGGACACGGGGAGCAGAATCCACCATATCAATCAGCACCAAAAGAGAAAAGAGATGAACAGAGCTTCGCTCCATCTACCAATGGCACGCTCGATCGATAAACAAGTTACAAAAGGAGGGCATACCCAGGAGCAAGGGCAGTAGCCCGGGTATGAAGCGAGATCAGAATGATTCAGAAACCCTAACGTGAACGTATAATTCCACGATGCTGGGCCGAAAACAGGATAGAATTCGAATCAATCGAGGCAGAGAAATTACCTGTCGCTACTGCGGCGGGGAGAAGGAGGCGACTTTACAAAGGCACGGGGATCTTTGAGAGTGAACTTCGAATGCCTGATCGGAGCTAAGTTACTCTTGTTTCCACTGTAAATCTAACCAAGTCTTGCGAGGACGTCACTACCCTCGTCCTCTTGTATATATTACAGCGAAAAAGTAGACATAGAGGCGAGCCTTGAGATGCATTTCGGTAATTGAACTTTAGTCACCCGTCTTCACCAACCGGGAACTGTTCAACCCGACCCGAAATCATTACAAAACGCAGAAACCAACCCCAACGCACAGTGGAAGAGAAGGAAGAAAAAACGTTCGTAGTAAGCTCGGAAGTTGTTTTCAGTCGATTTGATTCTCCAAATTCTCCCGGCGGCGAAAGAAATGCAGAATCAGGAGGATATCCGGAATCTCCCTATCGACATCACCTTCTCTCGTCTCGGAGGTTGCCATCTTGCCGTTTCCCAGCTCTCCTTCAATTCCCTCGTTATTTTTGTACTTATTTTTTTTTTCTTCTTGTAATTCCTGTTTGTTAATTTAGTTCGTTTGAGTTCTCAAATTGATCGAATTTTCGTGGTCATGATTTTTGGCTTGATTGTTTGTTTCTCCACTTGGAACTGTTGAAGAATGGCTGGTTGATCGGAAGAGGATTCCGGCGGATTGGAGGAAGAAAATTGCGGCGATCAGAGCTCGAATTTCCAAGGAGTTCTCCTCCCTGCCGAAGGACTTGGATCCTTATTTCCAAACTCTGGACCCTGAAGGTTTGCCGTCTTCTTTCTCATCTGTTGCTTGCATGCTCGGGCTTGAATCGGTTCATATACTTTCTGTCCAACCAATAATAACCAGAATCTGTTTAAGTTTGGTGGGATGCGGAGAAAACTGAAATGGGAGGCTAAAGCTTTGTGCTTTATGCTTCTATTGAATTTTTGCATTTGATTGAATATCTGGGTTGGCAGCTGCAAGCTAGTAAATAAATCGACCCTTACAATTTGATTGAATATCTCACTTTGTCATGTGAACCTGGTTCAAAGATTTGGTCATGTGTGTTCCAGGAGGAGGCTTGAGGGTATGAACCAAGTTTAAAGCTTTCTGTTCTCCACTATAGGTTCTATAGAATCAGAAAGAAAATCAGGGTGTATCTGCTGTGTGGAAGTTGATAGGTAGAAATGTTGTCAATGCTTGTAATAGTGAATATAGGATGTTCGAGAGACTCCCTTGGGCATAGAGAGAGGTTCTTAGGAGTTAACTAATGCTTTGATATTGGCATTGGTGAGCTGTTGGTGAAGGAGTGAAGGAGATAGTTAACATTGTGAAACATGTATGAAAATGTACTGGTATGCCTTTACTGAAGCGAAGGAAGTGGACATTAGCGTTCATAACATGGATTTCAGGATCATATCTTGTGATGCATTTCGGCTATGGATGGTAGTTAAATCTTAAAGGCTGTCATGCATGTTAAGTTTGTGGGTAGCATAATATCGTATAACTATACCATTACGGATCTTCACTTTTTAGCCACTGAAGCCCTTTAGATCACTTATCATTTGCTTTTCACATTTCAGAGATTGGTTACTTGGAGGTGAAAAAGATATACGAAATCCTCTCCAAGTCCACTCCAGAGAGCCGAAATATATTTGGGCGGCTATCAGGTCCTGCTGTAAGGCACTCTTGTTTCTGCTACTCTCTCTCTTTCTCGGCCTTCTCAATTGCAGTGATGAGTGATGGTTCTTATTCATTGTGCTGCTTTTGTAGGGTGCTTGGGAAGCAATTGTGCAATCTCTTGAAAAGGACCATATATTCCTTGGCGAGGCTGCCCAAACAATAATACAAAATGTGACTTACGAGATGTAAGTGTACAACCTTCTGCTCCCAATTTGGTGAAGAAGAATATTTAGAATCTTTATGTTTATGGTCCACATGACTGATTACTTCTGTTCTAAACTATGATGAAGCCCTTATCAGAGAAAGCAGGTGCAGAAGATTCAGCAACAGCTAGCAGAACTGGAGCGCAAAGAAACTGATATAAAAAGGAGTGCAGCTTTGTCAGCAGCTAAATATGTTGAGGCTTGTCAAGAGCTTGGATTGCAGGTCCTGCAATAGATAGCCTAAACGTTGCCTATTTTTTTATTCACAATGGACTGAATTGTTAAATCTTGATTTGGCAGGGAAACAATGTGAGGTTTGAACTTCTAGAGACTGCAAAATCTCTCCCAAGCACATTCAGCAAGGTTTTGGAAGTTATAAATGGTGAAAATATGTCAAGAGCAATCGATTATTATTCTGATTTTGTCAGGGATGTTCATACTGAAAAGGATGTAAGCAACTGCTCTCATTTCTTTTTTCAATTATGGCATAGGGATTCATCTACTGGATACTCTGGTCGAGTTTGTAGCATGCTAATATAAATTAATTTAATATTGCCTTAGGTAAAGAGTAATTTAGCTCTGACTTGTGCCTTGCAGAAATCTTCAGCAGCAGTCTTGTCAAGCTTGAGGGATATCCGTGACAATCCTCCCTCCCTGAATGTCTCTGCTTCCCATGAGACTTCGTTGTCTGGAAACCCTCAGTTGAATGCTAATATACTGACAGATGCAGGAGGAGAAATTGATGGTGGCGCGGCAGATAACATTAACTGGGATATTTCTGTTGATAGTACTCAGATTGACTGGGATATTGGCACTGTAGAAGAGACATCATATGATGGTGGAAACGGTTTGGGTCCTTATGAAATAGTAGATGCCAGTGAAATATTGCAGGATCCTTCAAGAAATGAAGATGCAGAATCTGGTCAACATCCGGATATGACTGTATCAGAAATCTCTTGGGATGTTAGTGTGGAAACACCTGAGGTTGATGTCATAGACGATGATAATCCTTCCAACTTGGGCACAGGCCATCAGATATATGCTGCAGATGACTCTACTGACACTCTAACTCGAAAGGAAGACAGGAGTCTGCTCTTAGAGACTGAATACAGAAATAGAATTCTTGATGATTTGAATGAGGTATGATGACATATTTCTTCCCATTTGGTGTCTCTTATTTCCCATGAAAACTTCACAAGCTCCCACCTTACTTTTTTGCTTTTTGAGCTTGATAGGTGAAAGCATTTTTGAGACAACGGGTGTCGGAGTTGAGGACTGGAGAGACTCAGTCACTGCAACACCAAGTCCAGTCAGTTTCCCCCTTGGTGCTGCAGCAGTATACCCCTGATGCCATTGAGATGATGCTATCTGACATTTCTTCAACCATTTCATTGCTTACCAATAGGAAAACAAGAGACTTGATTATGATTCTCAACTCCAAAAGGTGCTGCACTGAACTGCATACTTTTCGTTTGATCGTACTCTTTTTCACCCTCTTCAATAAAAGTTCAAATGTTTTCGGACAAAGAAAACTGAAACAGCTGAAGATATTTTGGCAGGGTGACCTGATTGGACTTGTAATCACTAGTCTAGGAGGTCTATAGTGTCTGCCCTGGTTGTAACTCAAATTTGGTGGTGGGTGGTTGGGAAATTTCAGGTTTTTGGACAGACTGGTTACCAGTTTGGAAGAGAAGAAGCATCACGAGTCCAAGCTAAAAGAAGGACTGAAAGACTTGGCTATTAAACGCATGGAGCTTCACAATTCTTTGTCCTCTTCATGGCCAAAGCAGGTAAACAGTTTATTCGGAAACTTGTAGTAAAGGTAGGAGAAATGATCAAATTCCCGAAATATACCGAGAGCATATTTTTGTCTTCTTTTCTGTTTATGCAGGAAACGGCTCTTGCCAAAACAAAGGAGTTGAAGAAGCTCTGCGAAAGCACGCTGTCCTCCATGTTTGATGGGAGACCAGTTCATATAATCGGAGAGATCAACGCGTTATTATTGAGCAGCGGCGTTGGGGCATAGTTGTAGCAAGGGAATCAATGGTTGGACTAAATGTAGACGAACTTTAGGTTTCACTTATATCAGAAGAACACACATTTTGTGGCTCGTTTGTTTCAAGTAGGATGATGACAATCTTGTGTTGGATCTCCAAATCCATTTCCCCAGCTACTGTAATCCAACCATGACAGGGGATTTTAAAACTTTGCAGAACTTTTTGCTTCGACCATAGATGAAACTTTACAGAAAACATCACAGTGCTCAGAAAATTTATGCATTTGTGTGTTGCAGTAACAGTAGCAGGTATTCTCATTTACAGGTGAGGATCAAAACTTTGACTAACGGTGGTTAGTATCAGAGAGGGTTTAGAGGGCACCTATGCTCAGCAGCTAGGGAGAGTAGTAGCTGACTGTGGGGGAGCTGACGAATCCTGTAACGGTGGAACGGAACGATCTATCGAATGGGTCATCGATCCCTTCACCAGCAGCTGCGATCCCGCTTTTCTGAACCAGACGACTGAGAGATTCTGCGATCTCACTCATTGGAGGCCTGAACAGCATCTCTGGCTGTTGAGGAACAGGATCCACCATAGTCAAATTAGAAACAGCATTACATTTACTTCCGAGTTTCTGGTAAGCGTAATAGATATAAACTACCTGAGTACAGAGGGAGACTATGTCTGCAAATCCAGATAAAGACTTCAAAGACAGGCTTCTCCTGTTGAGGCATGGATCAACCATCTGCACCAGCCATTCACTGTCGTGAAGTCGGCGGGAAGCCCATTTCACCAGAAACTGCTCCTTCCTTGGTCTCGAGCTAAAACAAAGAAAGGAAGACGACCACAAAGATCAACTAATAAGCTCTTAGAAAGGGAAAGACTCTGAAGATAGACGAGACCCAGTTTGTAAATTCACCTGTCGAAAGGTTTCCTTCCAGTCAGCAGTTCCAGGAGCAACACTCCAAACGCAAACACGTCGCTCTTGGTACTGTCAATCCCTGGCTCCCCATGTTCTGGCGCAATGTATCCTGTTTCCTCCAGCGCTATTTCAGAAGCCTTAACTTTGACGCTGTTGCAAGTCAGGGGCCTCAGGATAGCCAGTCCAGCGTCACAGAGACGAGGCACCAGTTCTTCATCGAGCAACACGTTCGAGGCTTTCACGTTGCCATGAGCAACCGGAGGGCAGAAAGTGCAATGCAAGTACTCCAGTGAGCGAGCAACGCCTAGTGCAACGTTCAGGCGGACCATCCAAGGTAGTGGTTTGTAACCCTGGCCATGAAGTACCTCATCGAGAGGCAAGCTTCTGACGTGTTCATACACAAGGAGATGCTGGCCGTCTTCAACGCAGTAGCCTAGCAGGGCTAAGATATTTGGGTGCCGAAGTCGGGATACAGTCCATATCACCTCCATCAATCGTTCTTCTTCCTCGAAAGACAGCGACACTGTGTTCACGTTCTTCACTGCCAACACCTGAATGAAAAAGAGCAAGTAATTTTGCGAGTAAAATCACGTCCAACAACCCAATAGCTGACTTCTGGAATGATTAGGGAATTGAAAAAATGGATTACTTGGCCGTCAGGAAACTCAGCTCTGTACACCCCACCAAGAGATCCTTCTCCAAGAAGGTTATCTTCACTGAAGCTGTTGGTTGCATACTGGAGCTCTTCCACTGTGTAAATTCTTGCGCTGGCTGGAGCCCTGTTGTTCCTACCTAAACTCTTTCCCCCAGACAATCTTTTGGTTCTCGATCGCCCACTAAGTGGCGTACGGCTTCGACCCAGAAAGGTGGGTGGGCTAGCTTCATATGCTGTTCCAACCATGAGAATGACAAAATTGAATTAATATCTCGTTTTCAAATTGCATAATGTTAAAAAGGAAATTGAAGTTTGGTTTCTTACCATTGTTTGTCTCGGCTGGAAAGGCATCAGATTGCTTCAGACGCACTGCAATGAAAATTGCTGCACCAGTGACCACCAGAGTTAATCCTCCAACAATAAAAACGACTCCTCCCAGGCTCAGCAATTTCTTCTTCTGTTTAGCCACCCTGAAAGATGGATGGTTCTCCACTATGGCGGCAGGATGATTCTCGACTATGGCACTTGACTCCGTCGTCGGACGAGTGCTGAAATTCTGCGTAATAATTGTTGGATTCTCCCTTGGAAAGCTCCAAGGTGGATAACCAGGTGCCTGATGGAATTGATTGCCGTCCATCCTAGCCAGGGAGGAACAGATAAAGAAGGGGAGTCAATGAATCATGCATGGCAGATAAGTCGAGGACTATTAGAATTTAGAAAGCAGCAACATTTGAAACAAATATGTACCACAAATCTGGTATTGTCTGAAAGTTAGTTGGAATAACACCACTGAAGTTATTGGACTGGATGTTCCTGAATAAGCAAACATGCAACAAACGGATTAGTGAAGATGAAGGTTAACAAGGAATGGAGTATGAGGAAAGAGGTGAGGGACGAAAAAAACCAACAGGTCAGAAAGAGGAAGATCAGCGAGGTAAACAACTGATCCAGTGAACTGGTTTTTCTGCAGGAACCTGCAGATACATCTCAAAGGATAAGGATTCTGAGCCTAGTTGGTACTTAATATATGTTGAACTGTGGATTTCATGAAAACTCACAATCTGGTTAGATTTGTCAGAGATCCAAATGAACTAGGAAGGTCTCCAGTGAAGCTATTGTATGATAGATCCCTGTTACATAAAGAAGAAACAAAGTTAAGCCCTACTTTGATTGAGTCACTACCAATTTCTGAAACTGAGAGAGCCCAAATTCATACATCTCTTTCAGACTTTGCAGACCAGCAAACACATTCCCAATTGGACCTGACAGCATGTTATGGCTTAGATTCCTGCAGGATAACAATCAAAGATCGCTTGTTACATACACACCAACAGAAGGGTAACAGGATCTGAAAAGATAAAATACAACAGGTGGGGAAAATTACAGATTTCTGAGGAGTTTAAAATTGGGCAAAGATTGAGGTATATTCTGCTCTAAGCTGTTGCATGCTAAGTTTCTGCAGAAGTAAAACATCAGCAGGAGTCTCAAGCATTCGTATTTGTTCAAATTCAGAATCTGAAAATATGAGAAATGAAGAAACTCACAAGTGGGTGACATTAGGGGGTAAGCTGTAAGGAATTTCACCAGTGATGTTATTGTAGCTAAGATCCCTAAGAACAGAACGAGAGAAGATTAATCCAGGGAAGTTCCATTATCTGAACTCAAGCTAAGAAGGAGTTAACTCACAGTTGCCTCAACCCATGGAGCAGATGGAGCAGGCTCCCCATGTATCCACTCAAGTTCAAACCCTCAAGCTTACTGCAACAGTGAATGATATTAGCAAGAGCACCGAGAACCCCAGACGCAGCTTTAAAATGTTAATGGAAGCTAGTTGAAGGAAATCAGAAACAGGTAAAGAGAAAGGGCAATTACAGGCGGATAACAGAAGATCCAGAGCACGAGACGCCCATCCATGACTCTCCACATGGATCTCCTCCATCCAATCTCCAGCGCTTAAGTTGTGGCGGGTTATTCAAAGCCCTGTATTGATCTTCAAGGGCTAGCACTGCCACAGAGAAGCCATTTCAATCAAACACTCACCAGAAGCCCAAGAAAGTAAGGGATTCCGATCGATTCGATTCAATCAACAGGTATCTTCAATACAAGAGCTGATGGAGTGATAATACTAAAATCAAAGACTCTGATTCTTGAACCGGTTGTTTTCGTTCTTGCTTTACTTAACCTGAGCTCTAGAACACATTCGATTTTCCCGCATTTTCTCGGCGCCCAAATAGGAAAATTCAGATCAAATTCTACTGAGAAACTATACCTCAATTGCAGTAAACAAGCCTAACTACTGACGATTAATTCAATTAAACTATACCATCTGGTGGATCCGTAATCGCCCAAACTCGTGCAGCCAGAATCATCCAGAGAGCAATCACTACGCAGAAGAAGGTATGTGGCCCTTGTTTCCTCATTTTCTCTCTGTTTCCCTGGAAAAAGAGGGAGAAAATGCGTTCAGTACCGAGAATCATTCCTTCAAAGTTTGGATTCGCAGAGAATCAAGAGATCGAACGAGGAAAACAAGATTCAGAGCTTCTCAATCCGTCGAGCTGTAGCTACCTAGGAGTCCAAGGACTGAATTGGCTTTGACGATGAGATGACCAGAATCTTTCTTCAGTTTTCCCCTTCCACTTTCCTGGGAACCAAACAGTCGTTCGTAGCCTTCAAGAAGCGGAGAGGAGAAGGAAAAAACGAAAGAACTCTCCACTCAGGCAGACGTCAGAAAGATCGGGTCACTAGCAGGAGCAGAAATGGAGGAAAGAGATGAAAGAGAAAGAAAATGAACTCAGAGAGAGAGAGGGAGGGGGGAATTAGGTTTTCGTGGAACTAACTTGTGAAGAAGATTTTGATTTTCCCTTCTGCCTCGAGAGATGGAGAGAGCTAGAGAATGAGGGCGGGAAGAATGTGATGCAATTTTCAGAAGCTCACTCCAAGTGACGGAGAGAGAGGGAAAAAGAGCGAGGAAGAAGACGGTCAATGGCTATTTATACGGTGCGCCACGTCAGCGTAAGCCCATTATGGTTGTTATAAGGCCGACTTCCCCGTGATCCAGATTACGAAGCCCGGCCCAATAGCGGCCCATTCATTCCGTGTTTTTTCTTCTTCTTCTTCTCTCGAAGGTCTGAAACAATGGCGGAATCGCCCGAAACCGTCGGTCTGGGAGCTGCCGGACGACGAGAGGAAGGTGAAGAAGAAGACTACCTGGAGACTTCTCTCAGTTCCTTCCCCCGGAGGCATTCAACACCCCCCGAAATCAAAGTTAACGAACAAAAAGGTCCATGATGTTCCAATTCCGTGCTCAGGCTTCCCTTGCTTCGCAGTGTATCAGCATTGTGAGATCTTCCATGGAAATTGAGAAAGAAAAAAGTCATCCAAAGTTCCAATTTGGGTGCTGTTCAGCTATTGGGTAATTATGCCTGGCGAGCAAAACCCTAGCTCAAGTTTGATTTGGTGCTGCAATGCGATTTGCCTAGTGTTACAGATTGCTAAGCATCGAATCCCAAGCACTTCTTCAATCGTCGAAGAAGAACTCGAAATCAGCAGTAAGCGGGCATGAGAAACGCAGGATTGAAAGGGAGAGAAAGCAAAAGGAAGAGGAAGAAGAAATGCTTGCAAGAAGGATGAAAAATGAGGAAGATGAGCAGGGCGAGGAAGAAGAAGCGGTGACAGGACAAAAGAGGTATACTTGTTTTACTGTGCAGACACAGAATCTTGCATTACAAGTTTTATCCCGCAATTTTTCCAGCTCCCTGATGGGCAGAACAGTATGTTGGTGGCTGATAGAACTGGCTTGTGAAAATGTATATCCATCGTCGAACAGCTGCAAGCTCATGAGGAGTGAAAGCTCATTGCAAGTGCAGTCTATGGCCTTCCCCAGGTTTATGAAGGGATTCTCGGCTCATTTCTGCATCTTATGCGACACGATCACCGACGATAGATTAGCTAATGACGAATACATTAGTCAATAGCAAATGTAGCATCCATTATCCTGGTACATCATTTTAGCAAATACAGGCGAACAAGTTATGCCATACTTCAAAGCCAAGTTCTTCCGCGAGCCGTTGTCCCTTAACATGGTTGCAGAAAAACTAGATGGAGATTCATTCCCATCGTTGGAAAAAACTTTAACAAGTACACAAACCGGCAGAGGCTGTTTAAAGCGACCAGTTGATGTGCTGATTGTCGGAGGAGCCATATGGTGGTCTGGAATGCTCCTCCATATCCATAAACTGCCTCCGAGAGAAAAGCGACATGTCGAGCTCACTCGACAGCTGAGTGCTGGTACCCGAAGGCGGTGGAACATGACCGAGGCCGAGATCAGAATGCATCATCCCGTGCGAACTGCTAACACCACCATCACTGCCGCCCTTGAAACCCCAGGTGTTATGGTAAGGAGGAGTAGTACCACCGGGAGGAGTTGTGATGGGTGCTCCTTCCACATCCACCACCAAGTTGCTGCCGCTGATGGCGTGACTTGACGAAGATGCGCTGCTTCTAGAGCTCCATTGTTGCTGATTTGACAGAAGAGAGAGAGCACAGCTCGAGTCCACGATGCTGCCGACCCCTGTGTTGTTGTAACATTCTCCCGAACCTGGAAACCCTGTCCCACCGTGGTATACATTCGGCGGGGGATTCTGCTGCCAGAGATGGGGAACCGACCTTCCCGCTGCAGTTTCAGATGATCGCCCAGACGGCGGCCATGCTTCTCTACCGGGTGACCTGGGGAATGCACTGAAGTCGAGAAGAAAGCCGCCTCTGCCACTTCCACCATCATCTGGTCGACATTGAGACGACAGACAGGGAAGATGTGAGGGCAAAGTTGCCTTGGAAGAGTTAAAACAAAGGATTAGAGGCACAATGCTATCTTACCGAAAAGACTCGACGACAGTCTGCCATAGCGAGATGACAACAACGAGCCAGATGGGGGCTTCCTCCGGCGCTCGTTATGCCCAGCCAGCCGCCTGCGACAACTCCTTTTCCCTTGGTCGAATTCCGAGAGCTGATGAAACCTGAAAAATAATACAAGGGGCCGTTAGCCATTGACAGAGATGAATAGAGAATTATGATCGGTAAATGATGATCGAGAATCAGGGTTACAAGCTATGAGTTGAAACCTAGATACTCCTCAGTAGCCTCCACAATCAGCCCCATGGAATTCAGCTATACCTAGTATGGAGAAACTGAACTCTGATAAACAGAGCATTAGCGCACTCAAGAGCACCTGTTCTGTGCATTAGCTGATTGCTACGCGGAGCAGACGATTAAACCATCCGCGAAGAGTAAAGCATTATGATCGGCAAAAATGGAGGAAGAACACAAAGCAAGAGGCTTTACAACAATCCAACGCAAACCCACAAGATTGGAGACAAACCTTGCTTGAGATCAGCAATCAACGGCAGACAAAAGAAGGCTACCAAAAAGATAAAAAAGAAGCACAAGAAACAGAGAGCCATGGAAAGCTACCGTTCAGCAAAGCTAAAACTAAACCCAAAGCCAGGTGGTAGCTCGTAGCTGCAAGATTAACCTAAATACTACAAAATCTCCTCCACAATATCAAAAAAGAAGTAAATTTTAACAGTACGAACAAGGATATCCTAGCATATAGATTACGAAACTGAAGAGCAATCCAGCAGTGATCAAGAAAACCCACATAACAAGGGAGAGACAGAGTGAGAGAGAGAGTGTGAAAATGGTAACCTGCTACACTGCTGGCAGAACCTCTGCTGCAAGCCAGCAACAATGACGGTAGGGGTCTTGGAGTGAGTCCCGCAGACTTTGTGCCTGGAGTAGTAAGGCTTGGCATCGCTCAGATCCAGGCTGCAACCTTCAACTTGGCACCTTGGGATAATCTGCTGCTGCGGCGGCGGCGGCGGCGGCTGTGGACCCTTCCTGGCGGCGGCGCCGGAAGGCGGCCTGGCGGCGGGTGGAGAAGTGGAGAGCAGACCCACATGATCCCCGAAATAGATCTTCTGCCCAAATTGCAACCCATTGATGCTGTTCGACTCGGCAGCCGAAGTAACAGAAGAAGAAGAGGACGAATTGGGAGGAGAGAAGGAAGAAACAGAGTGGTGGGAGGGGAAAGTGTTTCCCCCTGAACCCCCAATGTCCATAATTGGTGCCTGCAAGCAAACCCACGAACCAAATCTCTCTCTCTCTCTCTCTCTCTCTCTCTCTCTCTCTCTCTCTCTCTCTCTCTCTTTCTCTCTCTGCCTACACAGCTTCTGATTCTCCCATGGGGGATTGTTGGGAGGGATAAACAAGTTGCAAACACCAACAGGAGCAACAACAGCGATAATCAGTCAAGCTAAAGAGGGGAAGCACAGAGAAAGAGGGGAGAAGTAAGTACAAAAGGCAAAGTTCGCAATATATTATTGTTGATATTGAATGGAGAAGGAGGGAGAGAGAGAAAACCAGGGGAATGATGGTTTGGTTAGTTGGGTTAATAGCTGCGGGGCAGGGGAAGCTGTTAATAATAATAAGTAGCTTCACTGTAAAAAGAAAAGATGGGGAAAAGCAGAGCAAATGCTGACGATGGATGGGCCATTTATATAAATTTGGGAATGGCAGCCAGCCAGAGCTACCAGACTGACTCAGAAAGACAGAGAGAGAGAGAGAGGATATTTGGTTGCTTGCTTGCTCTTTTGTTTATTTTATTTTGTTGAAGGGGGTGGAAGATAAGTAAGTTTGTCAAATCGATTTATGTCGTTTAGTTGGTTTGATAAGTGGTATGTTTGGAGTATGACTAGTGTTTCAATAAGTTTATTTTTGTTCATGTCTGGCTTAGCAGCATGTATTCAAGGAGACAGAGCGAATACCAAGTTCGAACAGGTGACCAATGGGTTCGACCTGGACACCGAGTCGGGTTGGGACCTAGTGTTAATGTTCGGGTCATGTTGGGTTGGCTAATTTTGGGTCAAATATTGCCCCAAATTCATCGGATTTTGGGTCGGGTTAAAGATTGTTTTCAGTTATGAGCGCTCTCAGAAACAATATCAAACATGTTTCATATTTTTTTAACGAACACAAATCTTCACATGTACATGACAATAGTTTACCTAACACATGTCACTTAACAGATTCTCAAATCCTCCCGTGCTAATGAAATGAAATACAAATTGTACAAATCGTAAAAAAAAAATAATCACTAGAGTAATATTGCTACAAGAAATACATGATATATGATTATCCTTAAACTCCGAACATGTTTTTCAAATCCTTGTGATTTTTTTTTTTAAAATCTCATCAATTTATGAGTCATTTTATCATTTCGGGAGTGACATATGAAATGGAACGTGTCTAACAATTCGATCCGCTAACCCACTCAACCCGATACAAAAAATCATGGGTTAATCTGGTTTGGGTCATTCGGATTTCGAGTTATAAAATTTTCTACTTTTCGGGCGGTTTCGGGTCGGGTCAACGGGTCAGGTTATAATTTGTCAGATCTATAAGTGATGATTGACATTATTTTGACATAAATCACATGTTTAAAATGACGGTTATGAAGCAAGTGCATTGAATGCACCCAAAAAAGTAAGTGCATAAAAAACGCCAATATATATATATATAATATTTGAAAACAATTTTTCCAAAATCTATATTCATATTTAAATAAAATTCAAAATTTCAAACAAAATAAAAAATCTTCATATTTAATGCCAACATTCAAACTTTTATACTTGAATACAACAAAATTACATAATAATCTAAACATTCGTACTTGAATCGAGCAAATAATATAAACACTTATCTTTCAAATTCAACAAATAAATCTTCTTCATTTTTTTTAATTGAACTCACTAAAACGATATCATTTTGTATAGCTGTCAACAATCAATTACATGGTTGACATGCCAACCGGTTACCCGGCTCAATCCGGTTCTAGGGGCTGGCATGACACAGGTTTGACAACCATGGAAGCACCTCCACAATGCACTGACTCACTACTCACTGAAAGCGACAGTCTTTCTCGCTCCACTTTCTCTGTGGCTCTCTCTCTCTCCCAAATAATGGAGGAGGCACAGTCGCTATTTTCAATGTGACTATGACTGTGATGTAACATTACTTACTATTTTCGTTTGGGGGATTATTAACAAAAAAAGCAACACTTTTTCAGTTTTCAACTAAATTGGAGGTTGTTGGGGATGCTCGGTTTCATTTTGGACTCCAAATTAGTTGTTGTCGCCTTCAACCGCTAAGTTTGTGTCCATAATATTGGATAAACTGAGTAAAATTTGATTCTACTTGTGCTGGAAATTGATGGATTGGAACTCTGGATATTTACACTTTGTTCGGTTAGAACGAGATAGGGAAAGAGTGTAAATTAGAGGGGTAAACACAATTTAAAAAAAAATTGCAATTGTTTGGTTAATTTGTAAGTTGTAATAGTAGGGATGCAAAAGGGGATGCAAATTTATTATTGCTATCAAGGGAATGAATGATGGGGAGGCGAGGAGCGGCAGAGAAATTATGGATAAAAGTCACTACTTTTATCAAAATACCCTTGATATTAGTCAAATAAGACATGCATAAAAGTCACAAAAACATTATTCGAAAATACAATGGAAATCCTTCTTAAAGTAGTATTCAAACATAATCCTCATTAACTCTCAAGTCCACCAACAATGTATAAACTTAAATCAGTTCCGATGGAAGCTATTCGGGGCACTTATAACCCTTGTGATGACATCTTGGGCAACAACTATGTCCCTACCATTTATCTTGATGCTCTTGAATCTTGATTCCCTGCAGCACCTAAATGCGGGCGTGGAGTCAGTTTTAATCATAGTTTTGCTTTAATGGTGGAGCAATTCACAATAACATGCTTGAATAAATAAATAAATAAATATGCTCGTGCAATGCATAGTACATCATTCGTATTGTTTTATACAAAAGGGGGTCTCAAACTCTACTAAACTAGCACACTGACCGACATCAATCAGTATGTGTGAGCTTCCACCTAATGAGAAGACACATCAAGATCATAAACTTTCACCTAGTAGGAAGTAAGGTAACTATTTGCTATCTAAGCAATTGACCGGTACCAACATAACTTATCATATGCATAAACCTTGTGCCACTACTATGGCTTCGTGCCAGTCAAGAGTGCCATCAAAATGAATCTTCACCGTAAAAACCCACCAACTACCAATGACCGAGAATTGATGTGGAGGTGGAGGAGGACAACGCAGTGGAAGAGCTCTCATGAAACCCATCCTTATGATGCCCATTGGCATCAAACTGAGGTAAAAAAGAAGTGAGAAAAAATCCAAGGAACCAGTACTATTGGGTAATTCTTCTAGGGTCATGGAATAGTACATTACTTGCTCCAGAAAACATGGCACGAAATTCACATACAACGATCCACGGGGTCATACCACAAGTACCCTTTATGTTTAGCACTATAACCCACAAACACACAACAAGTCGTCTTCGGTTGAAGCTTATGACATTCTCTGCGAGGTAACAAGACAAAACACACACCCCTGAAAAACACGCTGAGCTAAATAACCTGGTGACTTGCCAAACAAAATATGATACGACGAACACTGTCCCAACAAAGGCGTAAGATATCATTAATTAAATACACAATAGTGCTTCGACCCAAACACGATTTAGAACTTGAGAGTGAAATAGAAGAGCTCTAGTGAGTTCCAAAACATGTCTATGTTTGCGTTCTACAAGATCATTCTAATGTGAAACACCAGGGAAGGATTCCTAAGGCAAAATTCCTTTGATTTGTAGAATGCAAGAAGCTTTGTAGGCATAAACTCTCCTCCAGGATCGGATCGAAGCACCTAAATGGTCTTAGCAAACTGCTGTCTTCACCATTTGAACAAAATCTTTGGCTAAAGATGCCAACTTAGACTTATGCTTGAAGAAAATACACCCACGCAAACTCGTAGCATGATCTATGAATAGTACAAAATATCGAATTAAATAGTGACCATGAAATATTACAAACTTGTGAGTTGATTTTTCTTTTTGTTAAGTGTTAAATACTGAACACGCTTAGGCAACTTTTAAACACGTTTATTCGACACCTAAGTATTAGACAAGATCCAATACCCGCTTAAAACCTTCGTAAGCTTTGGTATTTATTGCTTCCACCCAATCATGTTATATCCACGTGAAAAGAAAGGGGTAAATGTCACATTTGATCACTGAGATTACTAAATCGTGTCATGTTTAGTCACCAGAAATATTTAATATCAATTTTGGTCACTCGAGTACTGAAACAGGTCACATTTAGTCACTCTTCCGTTAGCCTCCGTCCAACTCTGGTCACTCGAACGGGAGAGTGACCAAATGCGACATGTTTGAGTAATTCGAGTGATCAAAATTGATATTAAATTTTACTAGTGATTAAACATGACACGATTTAGTAATCCTAATGACCAAATGTGGCATCTACCTACCCGAAAAGAAAGTAAGGAATTGAGAGAAGAGAAGACATGTACTTTTGCCGCCTCCTGATTTGGTCATTTGATGGCTGCGAATATGGGAACTGTTACACATTTATTCTTTTGATAATCCACTTTTCCTGAAATTTTCACTATACTTATTTGATGGCTCTCATCCTCCAGTCTGCTCACCTTTTTGCATTGGGGATACCACATGAGTACAAATGGTCGCTTAATTTTTTTCTCAACAAGTTATTTTATCACATACATATAGTATACAACATAAAATCAGTTATTGCTTACTACTATACTTAGGGATTTTCATTTGGTTTTGGTTTAACCGAAACCAAATCAATTAGAAAGCTAATGGTTTCATTTTTTCGGTTTCAAACCAATAAGCAACTTAATGGATTTTATTCGGTTAAAACCGAAAAACTAATAAGAATAAAATTATTTATCAATAAATAATATTTTTTTGTTTCTTTTGACATGCATGCCAACCAATAATTTGTAATGGTCATTTACCATTATAATGACGTTTATTAAATACAAAGGAGGAAAATGAGAATAAATATGAGTGTATGAGTCTGTGTTGGTTTTTTGGTTATCCAAACCAAAACCAAAACCCTTAAGGCTCTTATTGGTTTTCGACAACCAAAAACCAATAAGGACCTTTTTGGTTTTGGTTTTTGGGATTTGATTTTTTGTTTTGGTTTTTCATACTTAATGGTTTGGTTAACCAAATCAAACCAAATTGACAGCACTAACTGTACTCGAACATCCAATTGAAGAATTTCAATACATGTCATTAATTATAAGCGCACCTCAATTAGCGGTTTGAAAAATAAAAATGAGTGAACTACGACGGGGCATCAACGTCATAGAGAAGTTGGAGACAATAATTGAGTAAATCATCTACATTGCGAGGGGGAAAAAAGTTTAAAACATTATACATTTGAAATTATCAAATTACCGACCACGAGTAAAAATACCTCCAAAATAACCTATCAATACCGATAAAACAACCACGTAGAGAAAAATTAACGCTAGTAAAAGTTCTTCACTCAAGTCCTCACAACTTTTTTTCTATGGATGCCTCAACATGAAAGGGGAAAAGAGGAAGGTTGCATGTCTTGCACCACAAGTCTACAAAGTACAATCACTCCAATAAAATACGATAATTAATTGAAATCGAAAAGTAGATCACATTTAATTGATAATAGTATTCTTGTGTTTGAATCCAATACGGTATACATATTTGTGCAAACTTCAATTTCGTATAAGTTGATTTTCTTATGAGGGAGCATGTTAGTAAATGGTATCATATATATTATTTAATCTCTTCCAACAACTCGATTTGTTGATACTAATTTTTTTTTACAAAGAACATTAATCGAAAGCTAAATCATGAATTATTGATTGGTTTAGGATTTATTATTAAACCTCTATCAACAACTCGATTTATTGATACCGACGGTTATTAACAAAGAAGACCATTTGAAACAGTACGAGTGTACGACTAACTAAATCAATAATTGTTTGGTACGCAGAATGATATTCTTGATATTTTTTTTACTACTAATGTATTTTAATTTACCAAAAAATTTCAATTTAAGATTATATTAACAAAAACTATTTTATCATATGTATTTTTTTTATTAGGTGGACTCACCCTTAAACGAAATCCTGGCTACGCCACTGATAGTATACAACAATAAAATCAGCTGTTGCTTACTGACTTACTGTACTCGGACATCCAATTGAAGAATTTCAATATATATGTCATTATATAAGGGCACCTCAATTAGCGGTTTGAAAAATAAAAATGAAAGAACTACGACGGGGCATCAACGCCTGAGAGAAGTTGGAGATACAATAATTAAGTAAATCATCTACATTGTGAGGGGGAAAAAATTAAATCATTATACATTTGAAATTATCAAATTACCGATCACCCGAAAATAACCGATCGATAGCAATGAAACAACCAATAAAATTAACGCTACAAAGTACAATCACTCCAATAAAAAAAAAATATTGTCCTGAATCCTATAATTTGAAACAATTAAGGTATTGATAATAACTTGAATTGGATTATCTATGGTGTATGACTGTATACACATTTGAGTTTTTGTATTTGATTCGGTCTGTAATCTTTATTCCTTACTAGATTGGAATATGGTTAGACCGTATAGAGAAGTACTATCTATACTTCTCAATAGTATTATATATACTTCTCACAATCCCTTTGTAGTCTGTAATCTCCTCAAATATAGTGAAACAAGATGTCTCTTGCCCGTAGACTAACTAATGCAACCACGTAAATTCATGTGTTTTCTTTCTTTCTTGTACTGTTAATTATCCCGATCCTTTCTTTAACGCGAAGAAATGATGAGGAACATTAAACTAAACATATTTTACAATTTCCCATTACATGGTCCCATTAGATTTTGGAGGATGTACTTTGGCAACACAACTATACTATACAAGTCAAGATGCTCCTCCTCCTCACCGGTCCAAAAAGAGAAAGGAATTCGTTATCATGTTTGTTTGTTTGTTTGGTTTTTTTTTTTTATAATATCAAAAGGCAAAGCGTGCGCACGACACAAGCATAGTTAGTGCTCCATTAATCAAATGGCTTTTGCCTCTTCGCCACCATGATTTGCTCGGAGCTTCCCAGGTATAAATTTGAAGTGGTCCAGTCTCCAGATAGTCATCCACATTATTTGAAGTACACATTTATGCGTTTAAAAAAAAAAAAATTAAACATGATGATGGGCTTATCTGTACCACACATCAAAAGCCAAAATCTCCTTTATCAATAATTAATTAATCACCAATGTTTCTATTTCATTATCTTGGTTAGCAGATGGTTTAGATTAACATCCTACCTTAATCACGTTACTATGAATTTATGATATAATAACAGCCCAAGTGGGCGGGCTTAATTTTTTATATAATTTTTGTTAATTAAGAAGCCCATGGTTTTTAGTTTTTACACTTTATAGTTTACTTCACACCAAGAATGTTATGGAACAATCCAAGTACCACATCGAAAATACAAGGGAAGGAAATCTTGTATATTAGAGTCCACCTAACCCAATTAGTTCGAAGCCTTTTGGGGAGGACACCCAAAAGTAAAACCGTGCGAGCTTGGCCCAAAGCGAACAATATCATACTAATGAGCAGCCCCGTTATGACAAGTGGTATCGGAGCCTGGTTCGGCGGATCCGGGGCGGTGGACGTCAGTTCGGTGGGAGACCCTCGTTCGGTGACCTCAAGATTTGAGATCTGCGTCTGGTTTGGTGGATCCACGAGAGATTTCGGTTTGGCGGATCAAAAAGAGTTCCGCGTTTGGTGGATCCAAGAGAGATCCACGTCTGGTAGGCGGATCAAAGAGAGTTCCGCGTCTGGAAAATCTTTGTAGCAAGAAGCCCATCGATACAAGGTGTCTGGCGGATCAAGATAATCGCTAAGGTGAGGACACGATGTTCGTGGTCCTTAGCTTGACGGGAGGATTGTTATGGGACAATCCAAGTACCACATCGAAAATACAAGGGAAGGAACCCTTGTATATTAGAGTCCACCTAGCCCAATTAGTATGAGGCCTTTTGGGGAGGACACCCAAAAGTAAAACCGTGTAGGCTTGTCCCAAAGCGGACAATATCATATAATGAGCAGCCCCGTTATGACAAGTGGTATCAGAGTCTGGTTCGGCGGATCCGCGGAGGTGGACGTCAGTTCGGTGGGACCCTCGTTCGGTGACCTCAAGATTTGAGATCTGCGTCTGATTTGGTGGATCCACGATAGCCCAATTAGTACAAGGCCTTTTGGGGAGGACACCCAAAAGTAAAACCGTGTAGGCTTGACCCAAAGCGGACAATATCATAATAATGAGCAGCCCTGTTATGACAAGTGGTATCAGATCCTGGTTCGGCGGATCCGCGGCGGTGGACGTCAGTTCGGTGGGACCCTCGTTCGGTGACCTCAAGATTTGAGATCTGCGTCTGATTTGGTGGATCCACGAGAGCCCAATTAGTACGAGGCCTTTTGGGGAGGACACCCAAAAGTAAAACCGTGTAGGCTTGGCCCAAAGCGGACAATATCTTAATAATGAGCAGCCCCGTTATGACAAGTGGTATCAGAGCCTGGTTCGGCGGATCCGCGGCGGTGGACGTCAGTTCGGTGGGACCCTCGTTCGGTGACCTCAAGATTTGAGATCTGCGTCTGATTTGGTGGATCCACGAGAGATCCACGTTTGAGCTACATCTGACGGATCGAGGGAGGTTTGGCAGATCAAAGAGAGTTCCGCGTCTGGGAAAATCCTTGTACCGAGAAGCCCATCGATACAAGGTGTCTAGCGGATCAAGATAATCGCTGAGGTGAGGACACGATGTTCGTGGTCCTTGTCTTAAGGGGAGGATTGTTATGAGACAATTCAAGTTCCACATCGTAAATACAAGGGAAGGAACCCTTGTATATAAGTGTCCACCTAGCCCAATTAGTACGATGCCTTTTGGGGAGGATACCCAAAAGTAAATTTAAGTACCACATCGTAAATACAAGGGAAGGAACCCTTGTATATAAGTGTCCACCTAGCCCAATTAGAACGAGGCCTTTTGGGGAGGATACCCAAAAGTAAATCCGTGCGGGCTTAACCCAAAGCGGACAATATCGTAATAATCGAACAGCCTGGTTTGACAAAGAACATGGAAGCACACCTCATGAGGTGGAATTAACTAGTAGGTTCTTGTAGCACAGATAGCTAGGATGCATAACCAGATGAAATGAGTTTATATTGTTTTCACAAAGAAATTGACTTTTGATATATTTTGACGAAAATTTTTTGTGCCACCCATTACCGTCATTGTATCACTATGTGCCACCTTTGTTTTTAACCCAAATGTCAAGAAAATTTGCACAGAAGGAACGAGTTTATCGTGGGTTATTGTGATTGATCCATAGATTTTCAGGGGAAAAAATTAGTCCAAAATTTAACACCTTATACCAACATAGTCGATGGTGGTAAATTGGTTAGTATATTTCTATTATCATGTATACGCTGAGATATATTCTTACACTAAGATATATTCATACTATCATTGTAATTATTGTAATTTTTATGTACTATCATATGTTACCAGCATGGTATAGAGTGATATTGTGGTAATATATGTTTTTTTCCAAAATATATAAAAATAATTTTTTTATAGATCACAATTAATATAATTAAAAATTAAATAAAAAAGATATAATACGTTAAATTTGATGGTAGAAAATTTATACACAGATTAGTAACCACATCAGGACCTTCTACCTTATTTTAAAAAAAAAACAAATGCAATAATTTGAATTATGCAAAATCATGCCGAAAGTCCATTTAGTTTTATTGTTATACCGAATTGAAAAATGGAGTACTAAAAGTTGAATTGAAGTGTATTTATAATTTAATTAAAAAAAGGTCCAGTGCTGTTCAGTAGCTCGCTGTAGTTGAGAGTTGACAGTAGACCAGGCCAGCCCAGAAGGATATTGCTGCAGTCTGCACCCTCAACTAAGATTTGTTCAGAAAACGGATCCACGCCAAGATATTTATTCCTCAAATTTTTTTTATCAGAAACAAAGAAGAAAAGATGCTTGTTCATGTTGACAGAATGCCAATTCAACTGTGAGATAATAGTACACAAAACAAAAAGAAAAAGAAGAGAAGAGATTTCCCTAAAACAAAGCAATAACTCATTTGGAAGTTGAGATGATTAAATAGATGTATTGTTGTGGGTTAATTCTCTAAATATATTTTTTTAATTTACCACGTATATTGTGTTTTTAAAAGTATTTACAAGAATATTGTGTTTTGATGGAGGGAAGTTGGCGACGACGCCCGAGACTCAGAAAATACAGTTTTTAAAGATAAAGCCAGCAACGGCGCCCCAGTCTCAGGCTTTGGCGCTATCTGAAATTTTGCAAAACCTGAGACTGGGGCGCCGTCGCTGGCTTCCTTTGTTTTTTTAATTCCCCTCCTCGCCCTCTCGCACAGACCCAATCCTCCCTCCCCCATCCACCTCCTTCATCCTCCTCCTCCATCCCGACCCCTCCTTCACCCTACCAGCGCCGACGCCGAGAACAGAGCGGCAGCGCCTCAGACCCAGCTCCGACGCCGAGAACAGAGCGACAGCGCCTCAGACACAGGCGGCGGCGCGAGGGAGAAAGCGACAGCGCCGCGGGATGTCCGACGACGAGCAGCAGGCCCCCGGCGGCAGAGGAAGAGGCCGAGGGCGGCGTGGCGGCGGCGGTGGCGAACGCTGCAGGGGTGAGTCGTGGATTCTCGCCGGCGGCCACTTTTTTTTCGGCGACATTTTTTTTTATGTTCTAATATTTTTTTTTCCAGTTCCTAGGCTTATCGATCCTTGTTCGATGAGACCACCACCTGCCACGATCGATACTGCTCCGATGGATCCGGAACTTCTTTGGGGGCATGGTCACCATCGGATTGACGCAGTTTGGGCAAATGAGGTAAGTTTTTTTCAAACTAGGTTCACCAAGAGGTGCGAAACTTGTCCCATAACAAGCCATCACTGTTTTCAGCTTGTAGACATTGTTGACAAACCTATACGCATTAACACCCATTCGGTTGCAAGCTGCAATGGCATGAGAGCAAGGAATTTTATTTCCTTGAAATTTACCACAGGTGCAAAATCCCGTCCGGTTGGGGTCGTCAAAGTGCACTGTGAGTGTGTTTGACCCCGTCATGTTGAAATTGTTGGGAGGAGTCTGAACTACATAGATGCCTTGACTTCGATCAAGAGCTGTCACAGAATGTCCAACTGCCTTTTGTGACCACGCCTTCATCAGCTCTTCGCACTTGGTGGAGAATTGTGAAGGACCACTCCTAATTTTTGCTCCTGTCTCCAACCTGTACTTATCGAATTTCTCCACCAATCGCCAATAGGTATGTTGCACAAGAGAAGCTATAGGAAGTGCACGAATACCTTTGAAAATACCATTGACGCTTTCTGCCATGTTGGATGTCAGGATAGACCAACGACGCCCACCATTGTAGTTATCGTGTGCTAAACTCCAACGAATCTGATGTTGATCCACCCAGTTATCACATGAAATATTTCTATCAGCGGCCACCTTCTTAAATTGCTCAACTTGACGATCAAACTTCTCCAACCGTTTTTCTCCGGCTAACAAAATAAAATAAACCACCACACGGGTTAGATAAATTCATGACAAAATTACATGAAACAAGTAACAAAATTATATGAAGAAAGCTTACCGACTCGAAATAGTTGATTATACATAATTCTGCTTTTAGTCTTCCTTTGCAAATTGCTTGCATAGTGTCGCATGCACCACCTCCACTCCCAACCTCTTCCGATGTTATTCATGGCTTCATAGAGTCCTGCATGTCTATCTGAGATGATGCATACATCATTTCGATCAGTCAAACCCTGAACGTGACTTATGAACCATGGCCAACTATCAGTATTCTCACTCTCGACTATGGCAAATGCAATTGGAAAAATCTTCTTCCGTCCATCAAATGAGCTCGCCATGAGTAGCACTCCTTTATACTTCCCAGTAAGAAATGTTCCATCAACAACCACAACGCCTGGACAATTCTTGAATCCATCTATACAAGGTCCATAAGCCCAGAATACTCGCTGAAATATTGAATGACCTGGTTGAGTCGAAGGAACTCTTACCCAATGAATCACCGATGTTGGCATTTTTCTCTTGACCACCCGCAAGAATGTTTGCAAAAAATCATAGGATTCTTCCCAATTTCCATGCAACTTCTCCAATGCTCTTTGTTTCCCATACCAAGCCTTCTTGTAAGTAACTTGCATATTAAACTTATCTTTCAACTCGGCCTGAACAGTTAGAACACTCAGATTTGGTTGGGCACGTACCAAGTGTTTGACGGCCTCAGATATCACGTCGACATCAAGATGGCGATGATCCGTCGGTTGAGTCGTATTGCTACAAGTATGCACCAACTCGACCTTTCTCACGCTCCAATCGCCTCCTATTTCTCGACATCCAAACCGCACCATCCAAGGACATTTGTCCTCCTTGTGCATCAAACATCTGATCTTCCAGATGGAAGGTGACGACTCCACCATGTTATACTGAAAGTTGCGTTGTAGTGCATAGTGTTTCATCGCCACCTGTGCAGCTTGTTTCGAGTGAAATATTTGTCCCTTGTAGAATTCCCCATCAAAACCACCAACAGTAGACCCTGGAATTACGCCATATGAATCAGCATATGATAATTCCTCGTCCTCTTCATTACCCTGCAAGTAAAAATATGGAGGAAAATTAGGTTGTTCTCCTCCCTCCCCGTCGTCGTCGTCGTCCTCCTCCTCCTCCTCATCATCGTCTTCCTCATCTCCGTCATCACCGTCATCATAATCATGATCAGATGGCATGCTCCATGTGTCATCACCGTCATCATCGTCTTCCTCTCCACCCCGATCCTCACTGAGCTCAGCATGTATCTCAGCACCCAAACAATAAGGATTTTGTGCCATAAAATTCCAAAGCACATTTAAGCTATCATCATCGACAATAGGCATTGCATAATGAAATAAAACACCATTCTGCCATTCTGGAAGACAGTAGGTGAAACCTGTAATCACAACACTATCTTGTACTGTTTCGTCTCTAATCCGTATTCTCCGAATTAGATGATCACAAAGTTTCTGATAGTTCACCCTGGATGGAATAGTCATCTGGAAACTTAGACCACCAACAAAATGGACACCCAAATTGTCTTCTACTTTCTCTGATCGCCACCGAACAGCTAGTTCAAATCTTCTAAAACCACTACATAAAAAACAAACTCACTAATTACTAACTAGACAAAATCATTATGATGAATACATGAAAAAAAAAATACGACTCTTACCTGTTATTAGCCATCTTCCCAGCAACCAGACAGCAACACCAGAGCTTCTTTCAGAACTTCTTTCAGTTTTTTGGTGATGAAGAACCGAAGGAAAGGTGCAGTATATATGGTGAGGGGTGGTGCTGGAGTGGAACAAAATGGCAGCGACAAAGCCCCAGTCTGGGGCGCCGACGCTATTACCTTCTTAAAAGCGACAAAGCCCCAGTCTGGGGCGCCGTCGCTGTGTTTTGTTTGTTTAAAATGCATCCAGAGGCAACGCCTGAGTCTAAGGCGTCGGCGCTTTAGACATATAAAAAAACACAATATTGTTGTAAATACTTTTAAAAACACTATATACGTGGTAAATTAAAAAAAAAACAATATTTAGGGAATTAACCCTATTGTTGTGACTTGTGAAAGCAAGTCATAATATTATACATGTATTGTTTAAATTTGATGCATTGTAGAATACATAGTTTGATATGTGTGATTGTGTATGTCATATCAGCTAAAAGCTGAGACAAAACAATCTCAACTCAACAATCTCAACAATCACAACTAAAAGTTGAAATATTACTATCACTCAAATTGAGTGATTGTTTCTGTAACATCGCATAAACAATCCATGTATTGTTTCTCCTAAAAAATAATAATAATGCATTCTAAAAACTTCCAAACGAATTCCTACCTTTCCCTAGTCCAACGTTGATAATAATCCTAGTCCAACTTTCCTTCAATGACAATCAAAAAATCATTGTTAATAAGGTGTATGATTAACTAAAAGAAGTAAAATTATTTTGGAAGCTACGTTCTTGAAATCCAAGTTACATGCTAGTTCAAAATTGTAGTAGACTCCGTCCGCAATTTATCGGAGGAGGGGAAAAAAACATTTGGGTAGAGAGTTAACAAGTCAACTTTGATGATTGAGTATATATATAAAAGATCTCATCAAATTCAAATTTAAACAAATACATGTTCGTTCAAGTGATTATTTTCTATTTAATTTATTATTCTTGTACATTTTTTTATCTCTCTATTTTTAACAATAAAAAACAATTTTCACGTTAACAAGGTGGGTTAAAGGGTTGGGGGTCATTTCAAAAAGAGATTTCAAGCTCCAATCCACCCTTACTTCTCTCTAATGTTGGTTTCAATGTCGTCTTTCACTCTAGAGAAGTTGACTTCCATAATACTAGACATTTTCACGGACTTTGTAGCTTAAACTAGAAAGAGTTTTCCTAGAAACCTCGAGGGAGAAAAAATGGTGCTCTTTAGAGCGGTAAATGAGCCAACCTGCTTCCAAGCATCTCGACATTCGAATCGAAAAAAAATTGTTTGACATTCGTAGCTAGCCGATTAGTTAGTAAATGAGTCAAGTTTGAGCTAGGTCATGCTCAGCTTGATATGCTCGTGAGCTAGTTTGACTCGGTGTCTTGTTGATCTAAGCTCGCGAGCTGTATTGTTTAGAGCTTGTGGGATGCTTAATTACTCTACTGAACATGGACATTATCTTGTTAGTATGAATGTGTATGGAAGATTGTTGTTATTTTTAGTTTCTAGTATTATTTTATCATTTAAATTTTTATATTTACAAATTTTTTAGCAAAAAATATTTTCAATCGAGCTCATCTTGAGCTAAGTTTGTACTCAGCTTGACAAGCTATGTTAATGAGCATTTATCGAGCTCTATCGAGTCGTGCTCGAGCTAGATTATTTTTATTCAAGCTGAGCACAAGTATGAGCTGGATTATCAAAATTCGAGCTCGAGCTGAAAAATTTATAAACGAGTCGAGCTCAAGCTAAGTAAAAACTCGACTCGACTCGTTTGCAGCCCTAGTTATTAGACATACAAGTTTGCACATTTTTGTATCTTTTTTCTTCATAAAACCGAATTCAAATACTCAAGTATGTTCTTTTTTCTTCATAAAACCGAATTCAAATTGGTTTAGCGGGAAAATTCAACAGATGTTATCTTTGGGTGGGTTTTCCCAGAATCCCAAAATTAGGGTAATGAGTTTGGTGCGATTTTGATATTTTAAATATCCGCACCAAATCCATCCAAATAAGTGGTATAACAATGTTCTAGACTCATTGGAATAGGGGTATAAATTGGTGCAGTTTGGGTTACCCTCCCATATTTTGTGGTCAACAACATTCACAAAGTTATGGTTATGTTAATCACAAACCACATCGCAGTGGTGAGTTGGTTATCACTACCCACTGCGGTTTAGTTGTGGTAAATTCATCTTTGCCGACATGGAGTTGCAACCACCACCAACGAATCCACAATTCACGATTAGACTATAATGATATACTGTCATGTTGTTTATGGAGATGAAATTTTGTATATCTTACTAAGCGTGGAGGTTTTGCGTTTTCGAGTTTGTTATTTAACTTTTATGTTGTAGAGAAGAAAGAGACGAAAGTTTTTTGCTTTATAAAATGCAAATTAGTCCCAGACGAAACATGCTTTAACTTTTTTGTTTTGACAACGAGTTTTTTTTTTAAAATCTTTTACGGAATCAACCATTGTTCTTTATATTATAAAAGATTATCAATAAGTATGGTGGACTTAAAGATAAATAAAAAATTTGTTAGACTAATCTAGTTACAGTGAGTTTTGTGGGTTAACCGTTAACGACTAATCACAAAATTCAAGATTTTACTAACCACAAGCAACCCATTGCCGATAAATCACGGGTATAATTACCCTCAATATGTATGATTTGGTACGATATATGCGTTATCCACAAACCTCAAACCAAACTTCCACTCGTACTTTGGACCGTCAAAGGGTCGCCACAAAATTTTACTTGGATGAGATGCGGGGACTCGTTGTAGTAATGGATTGCAGCATAACCAACCCAACAGCATACTGAACTTTGACCACCGACCTTTTTATCGAGGCCAAAATTTATGGACAGGGAAGGAGACGTGCATATCGATCCAAATCTGAAACTGGCTTGCAATTGGGTGGATCAATTTGCTAAGATTAAGGTTGTCTTTGTCTGCCAAATAGTTAAGTAAGAAAGAACGACAGTTCAGTAGTAAGTATAATAGTTTTGCTTTTGGCAGCTGCGTTTTCAAGGCGGATGTAGTGGTGCTAGTGAGCTGCAGCCCTGCTCTGCTGTGTCGTCCCTTTCCTGTACGAAATTAACCCGAACTTGTTTAACATTCGGAGTAATAAAAATAAGGCATTACGAGCTACCAAATGGATTGATATCTTGCGATTTCGACCCCTGAACAAGAGGCAGAGATAACATCGATTCATCCAATGAATCCCAAATTCTTCCAAGATCACACTGCGTTTCGAGATGAACATGCTGCCATTGATACTCTCTGAAGTGAACACAACCTCTTTAAGCTTTTTATCTTGTGTGTAAAATTTTGACATTGGGCCTGCCTCTTTGTGAAAATTCTGGGCTGGTCTCTGTCTCTATCAGTAATTTTCCATTTCCTTACCTGTTGGGCCCAGCATAGAGACCAATAAGAGCCCAAAGCCTGGAACCCGACGACCATTCCTGCTGACACTACACTGCAATGACAGCCATAACGAATGCTAAGCTACATACAATGATACAGCACAACTCCGGCGCAAAAAATGCAATGCCAAGAACAGATTCTACACGTTATCATCCCCATAAATCTTGTTCCTCAAATCCTGCCAAACATCAGGCCCTCTTCTATGCTTTTCTACGTATCGCCCGAAGAAGACAGAATCCGAGGAGGCAATCATATTGCTCAGGGAGAGACCAGGTTTAACCACTCCTTCATCTTTCAGCCAACCATACATCAGCAACCGAAGCTTGATTCTCTCTACCTTGAAGTTCAGCAAGGATGGAAATCCAACTACGCACGATATCGGATAACCAAACTCCTTCACCAGAAAATCGATCTTCATCGCGGTGACATCCTTCGACTGGTTAAGAATATGTGGGGATACCTTCACCATCCCCAGGACGGCTTCCCTGTCCAACCCGGCTTCTATGAGGTAATCAAACCTCTCCTGAAGCTCACTCCCTCTGCCGCGGAAAACCTTCAACGCTTTCGCCATTTCAGTGGAATTCTCCACATATCCCAGGCCCAACAAGAACTCGGTTTTACAATCCAATCTTTGCCCTCTTCGACTCTGCATCGGTTGAACTCCAACGCCCAGAACCCAGTTCTTCATTGTCCGGGGGTCCTCCCGGATGAGCTCACGAAGTCTCTTCTTCCCAATGTTCAAACGGTAGAGCAATGTCTTGGTCTTCTTCAGAGTACATGAACCGAGCAGCAACGCGTGAGAGTGAACGATCTCTGCAATCTCACATGGTTCCATTTTGATCTCGTCCAGCATGTGAATTCCCTGCCTCAAGTTTGAAACAAATTTCCCAACCTCCATTTTTGGGAATTGTTGCAAGATAGAGACTATCTTGGCCATTGAAGATCCTGTTTTGAGTAGTACACCGATTAGCAATACTGACTGCTCTGCGCCAAAAAGAATCTCTGGATGCTCGATCAAGAGCTGGCTTAGCTTCTTCTCGTCGCTATAACCTGCCCTGGTTATAGATTTCAGCAGCAGCAAAGACTGCTTCCAGTTACAGGAAGAATTCCTCTCTGATAATTGATCTTCAATCCATTGGAAGTCAATCCCTATTCTCTTCAATATCTCCATTACTCGAACGAAATCAATATTCACTTCCCCAGTCAATAGGTAAGGAAAGCAAGAAACAACTCTAGCCACGAAAGAAGTGCTAAGGCCTAATTCCTCATAAGCTGAAAGTTTTGCTGATAACACTCCCTTGCCATACCTGAATACTTCTGTGGCATCCCTGTAGATGATTCCGATACTGTTCCTCTCGATCCCGTAGGTAGCTAGAATGCGGTAATTCTCAAGCAGCAATTCGTCATCAGCCAAGAACATCAATTTGCGTGGCAGAAATGGGGAGTACTCACAAGGTTTCAATCCTAGGCTTTCGAAGAAAGGTTCGAATTCATTGATCGGATGGTAACAGATGAACCGAGTGATTGCCAGCGCAATATCACCTTCGGTGTTGACCTTTCTGATTAATTCACCGAGGAAATGATGCGAATGTCGACTCATATTCTCAGCGAAGTTGAACTCGAACCCTCTAGTGATATGCAAGTAGTCCAATAGAGCAGCTTGGGCCTCTTTTCTCATGGAAGGAGTGATTCTGCCGACCTTGTGGTCATTCTCGGAAGAAACCTTGCCTAGATCATCATGCATTTCAAGTTCATTCACTCTGTAAAACCTAGGAAAGGAACCCACCACCGGCAAAAATGGAGTTCTCTGAATATCCGCAAAATTGGGCGAGAACCATTTGACAACAGAGCTTACTCTAAATTTCAGCAAATGGGTCATGGGAAAACTACGCGCATAACTTCGGAAACGATAACCAGAAGATGTCGAAGCAAAGCATGAACTGACGGGGGAGCAAGCGAAGCAGGAAAAAATTGAAGCTTCTACTGAAGAGTTCTATCACCTTGGGTTCTGGTTGCGGCTTTTCTCAGGTCACTAAGCGGTTGTGTTGGCCATGAAAGATTTGAACATCACGCTTTAAGCCTTGTATCAATGGCTGGCATGCCATGGAATTATATTCTGTAAACTCTGATTCTCAAGAGAGGGGTTTTGGTTTGGGAAGAAATTGGGGCGAGGGTTTTACAACAGTGCATACGAGGAGGAAGGAAAGCGCCGAGGGCCTTTTCGTCCACACAGGGCTTTTTCTATATCCTGTTCCTCTAACTGTAAGCAAGGTTGTCAACTCTATTTAGCTTGTTAGCTCAACCAATTAAGTGGGTTTAGGCTTAATGATTCAACCATTTTAATTTGGTTTAATCCAGTCATTATCTTATTCATAAATTTATAAATTTTATCAAATTTCACTTAACATATAAGAAATAACATATAACATTACTCAGCCTATGGTAAGACAACCTAGTTGGTAAAAGGGCGAGTTTCGAGTTTGGGATGTGACAAGGTCCCAGGTTCGAATCTTAGTACCACCTTTTTGGTGTTCCCGGAGGCACCCTTGGTACAACGCTGGGCACTGCGCCGGGACAAAGTCCTTGATGGTTAGTATGCAGGTACCCCCAGGCCCCAGCCTCAGGTTTTGGGTTGCTGATGTTCCTGGGTTATCAAATAGGAAAAAACGCCGTCACGTGATCTGCAACTCAGTAACCTTGCAGAGGGTTGACTTGATGGGTGTGGGTGCCCGTTTCTCTCACCGGTTCAGGTTCAAAACAGGTCGACCCACGGGTTGACAACCTTGTGTATAAGTGAGTAGACAGTAGTGTGCTAACCAAGGTTGTCAACTCAATTAAACCATTAACCCATTCAAACAAGTAGCTAAGAGTCGTTGGTCCAATCGATTTAACCCGGTTTCCACATGATTATGTGGAGAAAATTTATTAATATTACATATTTGTATAAAGTTATTTCAATTTATATTCAGACAAAATATATAATATTTAGAGTACGCCTATTGTGACTTGCAAGTCAACATAACTTGCACCAAACAGTTGATCTAAACAACATAGAGATCGAACGGTTTCACCAACGTAGGCATTCTGGTAAAAAATAGAGGTCGACCTCAAACCTGCGAAGGTCGACCATTTTAAGGGACTCATAAACAAAAATTTCAACCATTCTCCTAACAAGAACGACCATATCAGCAAAGAGGTCGAACATTTACATGGAAAGGTTGACAGAAAAGAAGAATTCACTTGAACGAAGAGAGGTGAATAAGATGAATGTTGGCTAGGTGCCTAGGTCGACCTTTATAAATAATAGATTGATCGCTTGTTGGAAGATGAATGTTAGTATGCAGGTACCCTCAGGCCCCAGCCCCAGCCTCAGGTTTTGGGTTGCTGATGTTCCTGGGTTATCAAATAGGAAAAAACGCCGTCACGTGATCTGCAACTCAGTAACCTTGCAGAGGGTTGACTTGATGGGTGTGGGTGCCCGTTTCTCTCACCGGTTCAGGTTCAAAACAGGTCGACCCACGGGTTGACAACCTTGTGTATAAGTGAGTAGACAGTAGTGTACTAACCAAGGTTGTCAACTCAATTAAACCATTAACCCATTCAAACAAGTAGCTAAGAGTCGTTGGTCCAATCGATTTAACTCGGTTTCCACATGATCATGCGGAGAAAATTTATTAATATTACATATTTGTATAAAGTTATTTCAATTTATATTCAGACAAAATATATAATATTTAGAGTACGCCTATTGTGACTTGCAAGTCAACATAACTTGCACCAAACAGTTGATCGAAACAACATAGAGATCGAACGGTTTCACCAACGTAGGCATTCTGGTAAAAAATAGAGGTCAACCTCAAACCTGCGAAGGTCGACCATTTTAAGGGACTCATAAACAAAAATTTCAACCATTCTCCTAACAAGAACGACCATATCAGCAAAGAGGTCAAACATTTACATGGAAAGGTCGACAAAAAAGAAGAATTCACTTGAACGAAGAGAGGTGAATAAGATGAATGTTGGCTAGGTGCCTAGGTCGACCTTTATAAATAATAGATTGATCGCTTGTTGGAAAATGAGACGACAATCTTTTGAGATGTTGCGTATTTAAGTCGACCTCTACATTTTGACCAGTCGTCCTCATTTCACCCATAATGTCATGTACCTACTGAAATCTAACTAACTACCATAAAAATTTACAAATTCAATGCATAATAGATGATACCGTATTGAGCACAATAGTGAATGACACTATCAATTGGTTTAAATGAAGCAAATTAACTAGATTGAGTTGATATTTGGTGTATGAAGAGTAAATTTGAGAATGGATTGTTGTGGATGTTGGATTAAAACGTTGTTGGTATTGTTATCAATGATAAAGAGTTAAATTTTAGTGTAACCACCAGAAGAAATTGTCGTTGTACGGTTGAACCATTGGTTCAACCTATTAGTTTTAGGGTGGGGTGTTACAGCTGCACCAATGTTGTGAGTCTTGATGTAGTCAGCAAGGAGAGACTGAGTACCATTAAGCATCCACTACCTTAGAAACTTCAGTGGTTGAACGACTATACAGTCAACAAGGTGAACAAGAAGGTCAAGGTTCGATTTTAGATTGGTGAGTATGCAAATGAAGTATGGCGTGATGTTGCCCCATTGCAGGCTACTCATCTCTTATTGGGTCGTCCATGACAATTTGATCATGGATTTATTCACGACGAAAGACATAATAGCTACCGGTTCAAGCAAGGAGATCGAAAGTTTCTGCTCAAACCATTGTCGTCAACTAAAATCCGAGAAGATCAACAACATATGGAGATGAATTGGGAAAGGGAGAGAGGAAATGCAATTGGCTCGAAGTTGGAGGACCAAATTGGAACCCATCTTATGGCTCGAAGACACATGTTGACTGCGCTAAGAAGAATTTAGGCGGGAAGTTTTGATGATGTCTCTCTTGCAGGAACACACAAGTTTTGAGGGTAAAGCTTCTTCAACAGGGAGGGACTGATGTGATTCCCCGACCGACCGAGAATCAGAACGCAGTGATCGGGGTTGGCAGGCGGAAGGACGCCAACCAGAAGGGATCAAATCCCCGACTGGGGATCAGAAGGAGCGACTGGGGAATAGGAGCAAGAGACACCCCCGATCAGGAGGATTACATTCACTGATCGGGGATATGAAGGCACGCGACCGGGGATCGGGCGCTGACGAGTTCAAATTACTTTTTGTGTTTAGAATTCTCTTCCTTTTTCGGGTTTTTATTAGTTTTTGTTTCTATGGCCTTTTTAAAGGCTTAGACTCGAGTTTTAGAGTAGACTTTGAAGATTTTGGATGACTAAAAGTTTATTCTTGGTTTATTGAGCTTTTAGCTTGTGAATTGTGCTTTGTATTCCAGGTGGTCGAGCTTCTACCCTATATTGATAGAGTCTTCTCCCAGGTATGAAATTGCATTTCAATTCCGTTTTATCCTTAATCATAAACCATGTTCTTTATCGTGCGACTTTGATAACTACGCACACCGGTTTGCTCATGCCTCATATTATCCGTAGTGGACCACATAAAGCCGACATAAAAACTAAAAAACGAATGAAAAGAAACATATATAAAATTAACAATTGCACATGAATTGGGTATTAGATTCACTGAACCATACTTTCTTATCTTTTCTTCAGCAGAATCATTGAGCGGTACAACGACAAAAGGCAACACAAATGAAAGTACACACGACACATGGACCAACCAACCTGCCAAACGATAAAGAAGAATCCCATTTGAAGAACATTTCACAAGAGCCAATCACCCAATACCACATTTCAATTGCATGAAATTTATGTATAGTGTTGTAATGGAAGAATACAAATCCTCTCTTTTCTTTATCTATTCTCTTTACAAAGCATTGATTCTCTTTTTGAGATGGATTGAGCAAAGCATGGATTCTGCTTCTATCTGTGAAGCTCCAACCTCCAACTGAATTTTCCTTGTGCAGTAAGGTTTTTTTTTTTTTTACACATGTATGTATATTATATATGTATGTGCAAGGTAAATGTGCAAGTTTGAGAAAAGGGAAGAGCTTAAATGTGAAAGAAAGGTTTAAAAGTAGTAATGTATCTAACTTATTTTTGATGGGAAGTTGCCATTTTCAGACCCTTGTTGTGGAGCAATGGAGACTTCAGCATCTTGTAGAGTACTGTAAATTGTCTCCTGATGATCATCTTCTTGGGGATGGGATAATGTGGTCACATTGAAACTGTCCAAACTGTGGTTGCTGTTATTAGTGTTATTCCTTTTCTGTTGTTGATCAAACATCATCTTCAGCTGCTTTCCTTGCTCTTCAATCCTCAACTGCAAATTTCTTTGAATCTGTAGTACCCAAAAAGAAGAAAAAAAACATAATAGTCATTTATAAGCAGGTGTACAAGCCTAAGATTCTTATTTGTTACTACCTCCAGTTGTTCATGAAGACGCCTCTGAACATCTAGTTGTAGTTGAAGTGCCTCCCGGATTTGAAATCCACTGCAACACCATTATTAAGTAGAATCTGATCACTGTAGTTACTTGAAAGAACAGATCAGAAGATTAAAAAAAAAAAAAAAAGAGAGGAAAAAGATCTTAAAACTGATACCAACATGATAAAAGGGATCAAAGAAGGATCAAAGGATGAGGTTTTGTTTCAAGTTATAAGCTTGGCTTATAGGGATTGTTATAAACCAGAAGGAAACCCAGAAAGAGGAACTGGAAATCGATTTGAGGCGTACGCTTTCATGTCAAGCTGTGATACATCATTAATGCAACTTCTTGTTTCAGCCTTTCCTGCAATACCATCACCAACTTCCTCAAAGCAATTCTCAATTGGATGCATTATGACCCCTTTTTTTCTTCTTCTTTTGCTGTTCTGGGAAATACCCATATCCCTTTTTTTTGTTTTGTTCCCATAAAACAAATGGGTGGGGGTTTCTATTTCTTTTCTTTTCTTGTTGATGTTCATAGGACAATGGGACTCATTGTCATCACAAGATAGCAGGAAAAAGTTAAAATCCATTCAAAAGAGATGCTAAGGCTTAGTTTGGGAAATTTCACCTTCAGAAGATTCTGGCATGTACTTGGCAATCCTGTACTTCTGCAGATGACTTTTGACATGGAAGATGGTGAGTCCTTCTGAATCCATCAGCTTCAGAATGGCCTTGGGAGTTGCTTCTGCAAATCAAAATCGATCACCAATGTCATTTTCTCAGCTTTTCTTCAAACAAACTAACAACCACAACATTTCAGTTCCAAAAGTCACTCACTTTCTGCACCTCCAAGGCGATTGACACACTCAACAAACTTCTCATGGAGAGCTTGAGTCCATCGGATCCGGGTCTTATTCGATAAACCCGCTGCACCAGAACCACCTCCAGCTGAACCATACGACGATGATGATCCTGGGGACAGCTTCTCATGCCTCCCTCCACCAAATCCCATCTGTGAATATGGCACACCAACCTGCAGCTGCAGTAGCAACAATTACACAAACCCAGAATCAAAACCACTACCCAATTGAAGCAATTTCACAAAAAAACCCACCAACCAACTAACTAATTTTACATTGTGATCCTGATTTCCCTGGAAAGGAACCAGCTGATGCTGCTGCTGCTGCTGAGCCCCCATCTGAAGCTGCTTGTAAGACAAACTTCTCTGAAATCCAGGCTTGTAGTCAATAAGCTGCTGCTGCTGCTGCTGCTGCTGCAGCTGATTACTGGTGAAGAATTGCGATTTGGCCATATCCTGAAACGAGGAGGCGCGGTGCAGCAGCTTGAGCTCCTGCCGCTGCTCCCCTGAAGTGATACTGGAAGAAGGGGAGGAAAAGCTCTGGCGGCCGATGATGACGTCGGAATCCTGATACGATTTCGAGTAGCGATTGCAATCCTGATAATCCGGCAGCCCCATCATGTACCTCTCCGTCGCGTAGAAAGCCGACGCCGGCGACTCGAACCTGCTCACCATGCTGCTCGACGCCTTGTTACTTCGATCATCATCATGACTCTGGCTCCCACCCGCCGCCGCCGCCTCAATCATCGCCGATTCCAGCCGAACCCCCCAAGTTTCCTGCTGCCCGAGGAACAGATTGTTGCTGTGAGGGCCGAACTCTGTCCTGTCCTGGAAATCGATCTTGGGGGAGTTCATCATTTCACAGAAAGACGATTAGCTAGTTTTAGTGAGCATCAGAAGAAGTTCGGAGTGTCACAGGAATTGGGTTTCCCCCCCTGACTGGTATTTAACGTTTTATCAGTGGAGATTCTTGTACCCCCAAAAGAAAGGAAGAAGAAAGTGATGCAGATTGCTCAGATGAGAGAATGAGAGAACATGGGCATTATGATGAATTGAACATATTCGTCTGGAGAGGCTTGAAGGAGAAGATATAAGTGTGGTGGAATGAACGAGGTAGGGGGGAAAATGGGGTTGTTTTCAGTTATTTATCCATGGAAAAAGGATTGGAAGGAATGGGACAGTGATGATCATAGACATTAACGAAGGGGGAAGAGGACAAAAAATGTTCTTAAGAATAAACAAACAAAAAGGCCGCCAGTCAATCGGGTTTTGTCGTCGAGTGGAGGGGGAAAAAAAAGTGGTGGAAAAAGAGAGGCGCGGGCGAAGAAAATGTAATAATTAAATGCCAAAATGGAATGAGGGATTCTGGAGGTCGATTGGGCCAAACTGGAGCACTTACTATTTTGTGGGAAAAGATTGGGGAGAAAGGGAAGGGAGAATAAGGGCATCTGCTTGTGTGGCTTAATGCGACATTGGAATATAGATTCATGGCCCTCCAAAAATCTGGCATTTTATTCCCTTTGATGGATAAACAGGTGAAGGAGAATGAGAGGAAGGCCAAACACTATTTTGCCAAACCCAAAACAAAACTTTCATCAATTTTATTGAGGGAAATATAGTTAATATTTTCATAAGAGATTTTACCCTTTTTTTTTAACATCATTACAATCACAATCAACGAATACGAAAAACAACAAGACACGGGATTTTACGTGGTATCCCTAACGATTTGTCAGGACTAATCCACAGGGAGAGATGAACCTCTCTCCAACTGCAGCTGATATTATTAATCGTTTGTTACCCTGGCCGAATGGCCTACAATAACCTCTTATATATATACCATCATCAACACGGTTTTACTAGGGCAAAATGGAAAAGAACAGATCTTAACATCCCTTGTTTCACAAGGCAGTGATCCGCCCATCACGTGAGCACAAATGGGCTTGGGCTGCGGGTCACGGTCCAAAATACGCCCCCACAAGCTGAGTGGTGAAGATCACGAACGTTCAGCTTGGACAAGAGAAAACAGAAATTTTCAACACCCAATCCCTTGGTAAAGAGATCAGCCAGTTGAAGATAAGAACTGTTCTTGAGAGGAAGAATATCACCAGAAACAACCCTCTCTTGTACAAAATAACAATCCATCTCAACGTGCTTCGTCCGTCATGAAATACCGGATTGGCAGCAATGTGCAAGGCTGCCTGATTATCAAAATGAAGAGGTGTAGGACGTAGCTACGGGACACCCAATTCATGTAACAACCGGCGCAACCAAAGAAGCTCACTAACCGTACTGGCCATGGCGCGATACCCAGCCTCTGCAGAAGACCACGCAACTACCTTCTACTTGCTCAGTGCGCCATGAAACAGGGGTCCGAACCAAGGGAGATAAAGAAACTTGTGGTAGACCGACGAGTGGATTGACAACCACTCAAATCTGCATCACAATGTGCAACGAGATCTAGGGTATTATCTGAAGGAAAAATACCAACCTTGTCCTGGAGAAGTCTTCAGGTACAACAAGATGCGCATCCCAGCATCTGTATGAGCCTGTGCAGGTGCATGGACAAAACGACTAAAGATGTTCATGAAGGGAGCTAGCAGTGTTTGTGTTGCAACAACAGATACAAGATGAAGTCTGGCTGCTAATTAAGTTTTTTTGTTTGAACTTGTTATCAACGCACTGAAATTCCTCCGTGTATTCTGAGTATAGTAAACGGGAAAGCCATGCAATTTGCATGCACCGACCAACACAATAATAATAATAATAAATATGCTGTTACTGTACGGCCGTCTCTGGAAATTTGGCGGTAGCGGGTATCTGCCTCCACACGTGTGGGATAATCCAATAATTACCGTCTCCGGTAATCAAATTTCAGCAATTTTTTGACGAACGACGACACATTCATCGTAACTCTGCCCCGGTCTGTTTCCAGTTCATCTTGTAATATCGTCCTTGGTCAGGCCGTCACTGTCTCTGAATTAATTTGGTTAATTAATTAGTTAATAACATTACAATGCCTGTGAAAATGACGAATAGATGATCACCTGGCATTTTCCATTGGCGTGATGATCCCGAGACTGGGGAAAAAAAAATTAATAGAAAGGGAGTGAAGAGTCGTCGATGGTTGCCAATCACAATCAAGAAGGGGAGGGGCGTGCAAATCCAGGGTTAATGCTGCATTTTTAATTCTTTCCTCTTAAAACTACTGAGCTGGGGGCGGCTGGTGCTGTAGTGTAAATGTAATTTGTGGGAGGGGGGGGATTAATGGTTATATCGTTAAATCGATTATGAGTTAGTGGTGTGGTTATCGATAGGATTGAATCGGCTTGCGTTGAAGCCTCTCGGTCCCTGTCTATGAAAAGTTGGTGGTGTAGAGTCAAAACTGAGCTCATCTGCGCAGTTGTGCGTTGGAGGCGGTGGTGCTGGTAAAGCGAAAGATTCGAATCAACGGAAATTCACCAAAAATAAAAAAAAATCGATCAATTATTTTGAGCTAACTTTCCGGTCACATGTTAGTCGGTTAACCGAAAAAATCAATCAGTAACCCGTTATACGATTATCGGTTAACCGACTAACATAAACGATGCGATGAACGATGAATATAAATTGATTAATTATTAACCGCGATAAGCGAATAAAATAATTACGGTTATAATCAAACTCAACTGACTAACAAGTCTAGACACTACTTCTTGCAATTTGTTCTTTCGTTGGCATAAAAGATTCAATGCACACAGAAAAGCAAATGAGTAGCTTATACACATTCCAGCAAGAGCAACCAACACCAAAATTCTGTCTCTCGCGGCTGGCGGGGAAAAGAAAGACAATACGGCCATCAACTTAATTATTCCCAGTAAAAAAAATTAACTTAATTATTTTTTTACAAAAGATAATCATATATTAGATTTCTATAATAGGCACTTATATCATGGAATTAAGCCAAGCCAGAAAATCAAAGAAACGACTCGTAGTCGGATACAATGAAAGAGCTTTTCTAGCTACTAAATGGGCTACCCCCTATTGCTTTGCCGACCTAGAAATCGCACACTAAAACCAATCTGAGTCACGAAATACTACTGCGCGACCTGCTCGAGAATGGCCCCCATCCGATTATTCCGAGTATCAGACCGATTGATCTTCTCAATGACCACTTTGGCATCGCCTTCAAACCTCGTCTCGTAAATCCCTGGCTTAGACACCAAAGAATAGCCTCCCAAAAAAAACAAGCAGCTCAACAACCATAGGATCATCAATCTCCGCAAAACTGCACTCCTTTAGCCAATCGGACTTCCCCACCTTGATTCAGAATAATCTTCACACCTGCGAAATGGGATCCACTTTTATTTGCCGCATTCCTATGCACACTAGTCTACCGAGTTCGGATCCACAACACCCAAAGGCTGTGGCAGTGGGATGGAAGTTTCGGATCTAAATTAATTCCTCTCATGTAAGTTTGGAATCTTAATTACCATGCTAATCAGGGCCACGTCTACGCCGGTTTGTCTACTAACATTTATCTACTTTTTGATGCGGCTGTCTCGAAATGACTGCACACTGCTCTACTGATGGTAATTTCAACCCATTCTGTGGGTATTCCCGACCTTATCCACGATGGGGCGGGTATTACCCGATCCGCAGTAGCGTGGGGCGGAGCATGGGTATCTACTTCCGACCCGCTCTGCCCCGTTCTAGACTCATTTATCTCAATTCCTTACAATATCTATACATATTTCTCCTATTTTGACTTTTCTTCAACTAGTTAGAGTCAATCTTTTAACTAGTTAGGCTCAATTATCCATTCTATTATCAATATTTTTCATTCTTAAAGTGTTTTTCTCTACGTTTTATTGTAAAAAGTAAAATTTACTTGTATTTTTTTTAACAACATGTAAGAGTGGGTCGACCCGCCCCGCCCCGTACCCGCGCGGGTTTTATCCGCCCCGACCCGTAGTAACGTTGGGCAGGACATGGGAATTGAGGTACCCGCCCAGCCCCATTGCCATCGCTACACTGCTCCAGCCAGGCACCCAGCATTATTGGGCTATTGGTGCTGCAGATTCAAGCGTTTGTAGGCTAGTAGCGAAGCCCAGCCATAGAAATAAACCCAAAGCAAGAATGGAAGAATATTTATACATGCGGCCGTGTTGATCATTTCTGGGCCTTATTCTGTAGCTCTAGTGGGAGGCCTGATCAAAGTTTTGTGGGCTTCTGAAAGCCCAAACCTGCTCAATGTTCATAAGCTTCAGCTTCATAAATTTTAAGACCTTGTCAGCTCGCAGGAGGAAACAAGAACCTTAATTAGTCAATGAAGAGGGATAGCTGAGGTCGGAAGCTTGGTCAGACATGTGCTTGATCCTGTAAAAAGTAAAAACTCCATCTGATCTATTTTTGTACGCACAAAGGTTGTGCGTATCCCGCCTCAGTTTTTTTTTTTTTTATCCAGTCTGACGCTCTCGAATTGGGGCGGGTTGAGTTTGCAGGTTAACTTAAATCGATGAACAAATTATCCTTTTAAAACATTTTAGCTTGGTTTAAGAAATTCTACCGCGTACTAGTCGGTCTGATCAGAAATATCAGATATCGGGTGCCTATAAACAATAGGCGGTTTTAGCAATACAAAACGAGTGAACCACGATATTATTAATAGTCTAATACAAAATACTCTGCCACTAACTTTCCCCTTACAATTTAGTACCTAAATCTTTTTTTACAAATAGAACATAAATTGTTGGTAAATTACGTTTTAGTACCTATGTATTTTCCCCTTGCATTATAGTATATGAACTTTTAAACGCTTACATACAAATCCAATCTATTGGTATGAAGAATTTCGAATCACTAGTTACTACGGATCACAAGGCTAAAAAGTGACGCCATCGATCCTAAGTTAAACCAATCCTACTCGAACCGGGGTAAGAGATGACTCAACCCTAAACCAAACCCTCATGCTTAGTCATGTCTCCTCGACATACAGGCCTAGCCAGCTAGGAATTGTACCTAGCTACTTGGTTGGTGATTCGGTAATCTCAAATTCATGTTTATATGATAATATGCATATGCAGGAAATTAATTAAACTGATGATCGAGCACAGCTAGAGACTTATGAAGACGCGACATCAAGTTAATTAATATTACGTCTGCATGTACCACCTGTATAACTTCTGTCTACGTAAGTGAATTCGAAATTCCAGTTCATCACTTCTTCTTCTTCTTCTCTGCACAGCTGGATACTAATGGACATGTGCGCGTTCATGGAAAGCTCTCTGCTTTGCATTGCATGATCATCAATCCATCATGGCACAGATCACTGCTTCGGACATAAAGTTAACTAGCGTTGCACACTGTTTGTAATGATGATGATGATTGAACCGAATCAAGAACATGAGAGCTGCAACAGATTTGCAGTCATCACCCAGTAGACCCGTATTCCTATGACGTCTTATCAACTAGTAATACATCAAACACAAGCACCACAAGATCATCACCATTCACAAACAACAATGAAACGAAGAATACTAGGGTGCGATGTTCCGGCGGGGGCGGAGCCAGTGCAGCGGCAGGGGGGGCCATGGCCCCCCGGGAATTTCTAGAACGCGAATAATACTAGGTAGTGGTAGAATCGTGACATGAATCTATTTATAGTGTAGTGGTGGAAGTTGCCTATTCTAACCTAGAGGTTGGCAGTTCGAGTACAATGGGAGCTTATGTTTTATTTTTACTCTACACATTTCAATATATATTATCTGTTATTTCAGTTTTGGCTTTAGTTCCATTTTAGACGAAATTTATACAAATGCTTTATTTTCTTTTGTATTTAATTATTGGATTATCAACTAACCTAGTATGTATGTATGTACTGTGCTATGCGATCTTGCAAGAAAGTGTTACACGTTAGATTATTAGTTTTGTTTTGACTCTTCTCGTTTCTACTGTTAGTGGTGAACGGGCTTTTTCTGTCATGCAATTCGTGACTAAACCACGCAACAAATGAGTGATGATTTCTCACTGGTGGTCTTGTTATTTATATTGAACGAGATGTAATCGACCCTTTCCGTATAGGTAGTATTTTGAGTGATGTGATTAATCTCAAAGACGCCGTGTACGTTTAAAATAATAAATTATATTTGATACTTTCTTATAGTATTATTTTGTTTGAAATTTTTTTTGGCCCCCCCGAACTTGAATTCCTGGCTTCGCCCCTGTGTTCCGCTATATATGTCGAGTGCAAAAGGAGAGTTATAGAAAGATGAATTTTCGGGTTCTAACTATTCGACACGTTTGAGACTTTTGTGTATAGTGGGTTGTTTTCAATGGGTGGTCATTGGAATGTATGAAATTGTGAATTTTGGTTGGTGTTGAATCTTGTCATTTTTTTCCTTTAGCCAAATCCCAAAACGATATGGTTGTACTAGAAGGAGGCTACCGATTTTCTTATCGGTTTGTCGCTAACCGATTAGTGATCAGTTTGTGGTTAACCAATCAGCTAAATCAGCTAATCGATACTGAACCACTGAGGAATTGTTAATTATCAATTATGTTATCAATTTTAACGACTAACCGTTTACCGCGCTCCCACTTTACATATTGCTATTTGATATCTAGTTTTCGTTTTTTGGGATGAATAATTTGTTGAATTATTAAGCACTATTAATCTATTGTAAAGATCAACCCCATAAGTCAAGTTTTTTTTTTTAATACGGAAAGTGTTTCTCCTGTGTGTATATAATTATAAGACGTGAGAGGAAAATACCAGAAAGTTTCTCAAATCCCCCCACAAACAAACAAAAATCAAATGGTAACGTAGGTAAGACATGTTCGTGAATATACTAGTAGAATTCAAGTCCTATAATTGACTCTAACCAACCAAGCGCCTTCAGACCAATTAATATGCGTTCGAAATTTCCAAATAAACACATCAGCCAACTTGAAAACTACGTGCGTAGTTGCCCAACTTTTTCCAAAAATAAGTTGCAGATCGAATTATACTGTGTTTGAGTAGGTAAAGATGCAATGACAAATAAAGGAGCTCTTAATTTAATTTAATTTAATTGGTTTAGGGCATGCAGTAGTTGGGGAAGGGAAACTGGCCTTGGATTTATGGAAGACCAAAAAAGTCGACGCCAGGTTGGCTATTTGGTCCGGGCTTTTTGGTTTTATCCGAAATCGGATCGTATAATCTGGATCGAGATCGGACTGGGACTGGATAGCAAACAATTCAATCCAATGTTTGGGCCTAGATTTGAGGTAAAAAAAAATCGTTTGGGAGCTGACCGAAAACCAGACAAAGACCAAATAAGAGAGCCCAACACTCAAAATTTAACCTCCTCACCCTTTTAGGCTTAGGCCACTCAAGTCCCCCCACAGGCCACTCAAATCCCCACAAGCTCAATATAAAATCAAGAACGAATTGAGACCGGACCGGTTCAAGACCGGACTGTATCCAATCCAATATTTGGTCTTTATATTTTCGAAAAGACCGGACCGAGACTGGATCAATTCCAAACCAATTTAACCAGACCGGACCGTATAGCCACCCCAATATATGGAACAAATTGAATACTGTGGGCTGTGCTGCAGTGTTCGATCGAGCTTTGCTTCGATGGTGACAAGTGATGCCGAGAGAATATATTTGTTAAAAAAAAAAAAGACGACCAAAAAGAAGCAAAAAGTCGTTGAGATCATGAGATGCCTGTGTGTTAATGTAATCGTCAGTAACAGTGTGCAACATTATTATTGCATCTTTTCGTGTTGTAGTAATTAACTTTTCTACGCTCAGATTTTTGGTTTAATTAATTTCTTCCTGCTGTAAGTACGTACGTAGTTCTGTTCATTCCTTCTTTCTTTTACTTTGTTGCTTCTTCTGTGGATGGACAGTAAACGCACCAGCTGCAGCTTGCTGTTTGAATTGCCAGAAATCTCGAACCTAGCTAGCTTTATTAATTCAACCTTTATATATCTATATATATTATTTCAAATCTTATCTAACATATCAGTAACATATAATATTACACCAAACCGACAGATTATACTTGGACCCAACATATAGTAAAAATCACACACTTATATAAACCAATCTTCATCTATTCAACTTAGACTTTCAAGGATAGGGTTAGGCGAAGAGAAAAAATCAGAAAATAGGTGAATTTCACAAACCAAAGTGAAAAACGACACAACGTGACCTCCAACTCAGTAACCTTACAACGGATCGACCAGCGAATGTATGAGGCCGCCCCCATGTTTTTCATCGGGTCAGAATCAGAACGATTCAACCGGCGGATCAACCCGTGGGTTGAGTACCTTGTTACTACGCTGAACTGCCTCCTCCGTGGGGATCAGATAAAGTCATTCATCTGTAGGAAGGAGGATGTAAAGTCTATATGTTTGTTGAGTTCACAACGTTAAATAAATTTATATTTATCGATAGACATAGGTAATGTTGAGTTGTTGACCCATATATCTTAATTAGTTTGAGTTTACATTCTGTGGAAAGTTTCATTAATTTGCATTATATTATTAATAATTATTACTGGGTCCTTTTTCCTTGAAATTGACTGTAGTGGTGTTAACCTTTAACACTAGTTTACAACATAAACACACATCATCAGCAAAATAGTAGGACATTGTATTTGGACGAGTACGACCATATGTAGATTATGAATTTTTTTTACCACATTAGGTGAGACTTGATGGGGGGGGGACCAGTTTAAGAAACAAGAATTTTAATTATAAAATAAAAATAATGTATTGATCTTGGATTATATGTCTAATAAAATAAAATATTAACTTCAAAGTCTAAAAGAACGAATGATCTTCACAAGAAGGATAATTTTCTTTCTTATAAGATTTTCTCGAAATAGCCGTTCTTTAGTAGATTTTGAGCATTTCAAATTCCTTGCACTCTCCTTAATTGTAGTTAGGGGTAAATTTGTAAGTTCAACTTAATGGTTGACAATTATAAGCATAGAATTGAAAGACTAAATACCATTGACAAATGAGCCAATTATCATTGGCTAAATTTAACAAACAATTATATGCGATATACATTGGAAATTAGATGGTACGCTTGATGGATTGAGGGTTATTGCATCTCCTTAGTTAAATAACATTATCTCGACCATAGATTAATCACGTAACTAAACCCCATATCATAATTCTCTAAATCCTAATATAGTGCATATGGTATGTTGTATACATCTTGGCGAATCAGGATCATTGATTATGTTCTTAGTATATGTGATATTAGGGTTTAAGTTCTATAGGTTTAGGGTATATGATTTAATTATTTGAAACTTAAACTCTCTTTTCAAATTTCCTGCAATGAGAGGGAAATTAGGAAGGATATTTTTGTCTTTACAATTATCTGTATTTTTATTTATTTACAGAAAAAGATAGACGTATTGAGATTTGAACCATGGTCACATCAAACAAAGTGAAGGTTTAAAATCAATCAGACTATGTAGATTTGTTGTATTTTTTAAATTAAAAATATATACGAAGCTAAAATATGAAATCACAGAACTTTTCAACAATTAGCTAGCCCAATAAATATTCCGTAAGTACTTATTTGGTGTTTTGATACTTCGATTTTGATATTTTTTATTTTAATTATAATTTAATACTAATTTAAAATTTTATCTATCTTATAAATAGACGATAACCATAAATTTGCAACCAAAATATTGTTGGTTCAAATATTTCATATTGAATTATAGTATTGAATATGTATAAGCGATATAGAATTCTTAAATTACCATTAATTTCCAGAACTATAGTGAAACAATCATATCTTTGTGCAAACTATAGGGGACTGGTTTTCTGAACATTTTTGTCTGGTTAAATACTAACTTTTGAAACTCTTCTTAGGGGTGTAAGTGGGTCGGTTCGTTTGGTTTAGATATTTTAATCACCTAACTCATATACCACGATTTTGAAAACACTAAATACAAACTCACCCAAAATAATTTAGAATTTTAACTGTTTGTGCCCTCCATACCAAATGAACCAATTTACATGTCGATTAACTAAGGACGATCTCATTGTCCAATCCAATCATTCTAATGGCAATCCATAAAAGTAACCCATATTCGCGTTTGTTAACACATGTTTCACATTGTCACTACTGTGACAGGTAACTTCACTGCAACTGATTCGGTATTGCTCATCATATGGCCTCCAAACTGATAAACATATCGGGCCAGCAGTTTTATGACAAAGCTCAAAGTGAAGACAACTGATCGTCTGGTGGAATTTTGGCACTTGCTGGTGTCCATTAATCTAATTGCAAGCATAATGATTGCTAAAATTAAGCTTTCACGCAACATACTGGGAGTTGGGAGTGTGTACTTGGAGTAAAAGTTGATATTGTGTTTGGGAAGGGATTAAGGGAAGTGGTGAGAGGAAGAAATTGTGTTTGGATTTGGTAGCAGGTAAAGTTCATGGTTCAGTTTCTTTCGTAAAATGCTTTGATTTATTTTAGTTAGAGGTATAATATCATGGTTATGTGGAATCAAATGTACAAAAATGAGCTTGGGGGATGGGAATTCCAACTTAGAAGGAGTGGATTAGATTTTGATAAACTCAAGTTCATGATGAACTGAAAGAATATTTAGATTTAGACTTTGTGGTATTGAGATGTTCATAGAGAGTTTAAAACTGATCCAAGGCCATGGATTGATATTGGTTAGTTGATTGTGATTTTGAGGAAGGTGTATAAGAAGTCATGGAAGTAGTTTGCAGCAAGTTAAGGCAGTGAAGAGGCAGTTGGTCAGGGTAGTGATTGAATCAAGGAGGGTATTGAAAGACATAGAAGCAAAATCGGAGCAGTTGAAGAGAGAGAAGTGTTAGATGATCAGGATATTAATGAAAATGGAGAGGATATTGAAGGGCATGGAAGTGAACTAGATCAGGTGAAGGCAGAGAAGGAAGAGAAGAGCATATTGATGGAATTAAAGATGAGTGTTGGTTTTACGAGCTTATTAAAACTGCCCCGAGGAAGATGAGTTGGCCAAATACAAGAAAGAGGATTGAGGAGTTGGAGTTCACGCTGACAAGAAACTCAATTGAAAGAGAAATTCAGGTTCATGTAGAGAAGGTCCATCAAAGTAGCATAAATGGAGTTGCAGAAGGAGGATTAGAAATTGAATTTTGGTTTAAAACATATACGTCGAGAGATTGAAGATGGAGGGAATAAAGAGTTGGTTGTACAACGGAGAGTAGAAACTATTGGATCTTTAGGTGTTACGGTTGTTGCAACTACCATAACCTATGTTTATGTTAAAACGAGGAATCATTGATTGATTTACTAAAGTTAAGGTTGATTCACTATTCAAACTACTGGAACGTGTAGATAAGGAGTGTCTAATTTTGTGCCTCATTAATTTGATCGAGTCTATTAGTATATTGGATGTAACTCTAATTTTGTCATTTGCTTTCAAGTTTTGATGGTCTCCTTTTAGTTGAGTTGTTAGCATATGATTTACTTGAATCAACAACTCTTCATTTCTGTTTTTTTTATAAATCCATTTCTTTTTTATTAATGGCATGTTATTCATAGAGGAGAGTTTTGAACCATTTATGTGGGATTGTGAGGTTTCATTTCAGTTTCAAACTATCTATGGATCGTGTGGGAATCCCAATGAGCTTTTATATTATATATTTCTGGACAATCTATTAACCAATATCATTTTAATGGGGGCTCAATTATCATTATGAAAATGAGATTAATGATACATTTTTATATTTTTATATGAGGATGGTATTTTCCTGAATGTTCGACATATATATTCATTCTTTATGTACAATCTCGATTGAATGATTTTCAATAAACTTAAACAAATTAATAGACTTAAACATAACATAAAAATATAAATATTAAAATATTAACATTCTAGCCAACGGGCCGGATTATAAGCTAGTATATATAAGAGAATACATTCTTTTACCTGTGTTTTTTAGAGAGAATAAGAGAGGTAAGATTGTTTGTGATTCGTTAACTACAATAAGTAGGGGTGGTAAACGGTAATCCGGTAAACGGTTTACCGTTTCACCAAACCGGTAACCGGCGGTAAACGGTACACCGTTTACCGGCGGTATCGACAGCCGAGCGGGAAGTTGGGGGAGTCGGTTTATCGGTAAATACCGACGGTAAATCGATATTACCGATACCGAATCCCCCCTCCCTACTCCCTAGTGTACGCTGCGTTTTGTTGCTTTACCCCCCAAAATATAAAATATTACATACATGAATGTAAATATAGGCCTCAAAAATATTGTAAATAAGAGTTAATAATATATTATTAATTACAAAAATGATGAAAAAACTCAAAAAAATCAAAATATTACAACATCACTCCACTTCCAGAAATTCGGTTCGGTAAATATTCGGTAAACCGACCGAAAAACCGCCCGAAATCGCTTCTCACGGTATTTCGGTAATACCGGTTGTAAACGTTTACCAGTCATTCGGTAATCGGTAAACCGGTTACAAACCGGTATCGTTAATCGGTAACCAATTTGGCCAACTTCGGTATACCGAAACCGGTAAATTCGGTAAACGGTAAATTGTTTACCGACCGAATCCCACCCCTAAAAATAAGACACAAGCCAACAACAAGAATTTTTTTTTAATAAATCAATTAAAAATAGATTGTAAGATACTTAAATTTAGACTAATTTTTTTCTTCAATTTCCTATCTAATATTCGTTCTTCTATGATTTGTTTCTAGTCTTCGATTCTTCTATATTCTACTCTCCGGCTCAATTAAATTCCCATCACCAATTCAGGTGATTCAAGTTAATTGATTGTTTTTCAATGTATATATTATTTGAATTTTTTTTGTAATAATTAACGTACGTTGGCCAGGTAATTAACTTAAAAGAGTCCTCCTTCTTGTTGTCGTGAAGCCAGTAATTAAAAAGTAGTAGATAATAAAAATAATTAACCTTGGTAGTTGGAGTAATTTTGTTGATCGATCCAATGAGTTTAGCGGTTGCAGGCCGCAGGAGCTCCTCCCGGGCTGCCGGCTTCGGTCGACTTGGATCCGCTTTCGCGCTGCACCTGCTCCTTCTGTTGCTTAAATATATTATCGTTTGGGTTAAGCTTTGGAAAGGCCAGAAAAAAAAAAGAGCCAGCGAGCTCTACCTTCGAGAACTTCACCCATCAATTTTATTTAAATTAACTGCCTCTTTATTAGATAATTTCATTAATTTGATCGAGATTTATCCATTTGTCAGTACAAATTTTTGGATGAATCAAGTTCGTTCCTCTGAAAATTTTTGGATTGATCCATTTTAAGTCAATAATATTTGTCTGGACAAAGCAGGAAATTCGAATTAACTCGTTTTATAACATGAAATAGTTAGTCGAATTGTCTCGTTTTTGAATTCATCCTTCCAAACCAACCCATATAACTCGTTATTTCTTACTATACATACCCAATTATTTTTTAAAAAAAATCATCATTTTCAAAATGTAGTCTCTTGAATTATATATATATATATATATATATATATATATATATATTGGTACAAATATCGTGTATTCCGCCTCTAATATGATCTCGCCATGCATGCATGCCAACATGCATTACAGCATTCCAAAATACTCCACACTACATTTTGTGGCAACTCTCTTTACATGAAGTTGAACAACTTTCACTTACAAAAACACAAGAGCTCTTGAAATCCTTGTATTCTAACATTGTATTGTGTGCTAGTGAACGAGGTTGTGGTCGAGTGGAAGTGGTTGTGCCGCTGGTTTTCAGTCTGGAGCCCTCAGATTCATATCTCAGGGACGACGCTCGTATCCCCCTTTCCCCACCCTTCTAGTAGCATCCTATAACAGGTCTCCGGAAAAAAAAAAATCAGAGCTATACATTACTCGCCTAATCAATAATTTTGTTATTATTAATTACAGATTGGGCGCGTGGGTTACTGAGTTGCGGTTCTTAAGCCTGAATCCCCGTTCTCGAGCTGTGCCTCTTCTTGCTTTTGATTAGGAATCTTGTCGTCAGAGAAACAAATCTTCGTCAGTTTTCAATTACTCTTCTATTATTACGCAACCTGTCTAATATTCATTCTCCATGTGTGTTTGATTTGCTTTAGCTATATCACCGATCCCGCCGGCGACGTATTAGTAACCTAACCCATATATTTATTACAAAATCAGCCAACCTAAACTAAGCTATTTAGATTTTAGAGTATTATAATTACTACCTACGATTTACATATCTCAATGAGAGAGAAAAAGCTACGCATTTGGATGCACAATTAGATCAAAGTTACACTTTCTCATCCCACTATGCATATGTAGATATAGAGGGTTTTTATCCATAGAGTTGGAGATAATAACTCTCTGAAACTTGTACAAATCGTCTTATTCGTGGTTGTTGACCTGTTTTGCCCCTAATCCGTTGGGAGAAAAAAAGGGCCAAAACACACCCGTGGGTCGAACCGTTGCTAGGTTTTCTGGGTTGGAGTTGGTTTTCCCTTTGGTAATTTGCGAAATGATCCTCTTTTTCCGATATTCGTCTTCGCCTAATCATATCTTAATTTGGAATTCTAAATTTAATATATATTGACGTTATATAAGTGTGTGAATTTTTAATATACGTGTTGGATCCAAATAGACATTCGTCCTTATCAGTTGCCATAGCACGCAGCAGTCATACTTGAATAAGCTTGATGCAAGCTTGACATTGATTAATATTAACCCCCTTATTATTACTGCAACTAATTAAGCTTAGCATTAGTTATAAATTAGTCAGAAACAAAAGATCTCGCAATCCTTAATTTGGACAACATGAGATGGGACCAATATCTGACATTGTCGAACCTTCAAATTCCTATTTTCTTTGCCTTTTTTTCTTCTTGTTCTTTTTTTTTTTTTGACCAATGTCTCTTTCCATATGTTGGATAAACTCATAAAAAGGGCCTCCCAACTCCCTTTTCTTCTTTACTCACTTGTTTGCTGAATTGCATACAGTATTTAAATTTGAAACAGAAAAATAACATCACTTCACTTCTTTTAAGATCAACTTTCTAAAATTTGAAAGAAAAATCTCCCCCCAATCTATTGTACCATACAGGAGATAAAAATTCGAATTTACTACATAATTAGTATTTCCACAGTACAGTAGCAACGATGTAACTCAGTTATCATATATTCGAATACTACCAATTTATCGTTAGATTGGACGTTAATAATTCATTATGAAAAGGATGATTAATGATGAAATTATATTTCTTCCATTTTTTTAAGGTAACTATAGGACAATTGGAGATTTTTCTCATATCCCACTAGCTATATGAAACCCATTTTAAATATTAAATATAAAAAAATAATCATTTCTTAATCATCTATATATCTAGAGACCCAATTGATCATAGAAAGGCAACAAAAATTGAGGAAACTATCCCCACAAGACACACACACACATCCATCAATCAATCAACCTCACAAAGAGAAAGGAAGATGACCAAAATCCATGACATGAGCACAAACAACTTCCCCTTTAAATTACCCTACCAAGTTGAAGGGCAATTTCCCTATAAATAAACCCACACCCCTCCTCTCTATATAAACACACACAAATACCCTCCATTCCAAAGGACACATAACCCCCCACCACACATTCAAAACACTCAAAAAAGCCCAAAACCAAACCCCCAAAAATTATCAAAACCATGGCCTATATCAAGACTCTCCAACCTCCTCCTCCTCCTTCTTCTTCTTCTTCTTCTTCCACAGCAACAACTTCCATAGCCACAATGAAGAGCATCAAAGCCCTAATCCACAGCCTGATCGTGGCTCACATCTGCCGCGCCTTTCGAGCCCTCCGACGAGCCAAATCCATCCTCCTCCAAGCCCTCAGGGACCACAAAAACCTCCACCACTTCCCTTACCTCATCAACAGCAAGCAGAAGAAGGTGTTCTTTGGTTCCTTCAGGCTCCACTACAACTGGGGCTCCACCTCCTCCTCCTCCCACGTCCTACCTGTCCCCGAATCCGTCCTACGTGGCTGCCACGGCAGTACCGGTGCCGACCAGTCGTCGGAGTCCACGCTGGCAGGGTACCTCCTCTGGCTGGAAGAGAAAGACCGCCACCTCAGCAAGGCATGCGGCGGTGGCGGGAAAGATGGTGGTGGTGATGACGTGGCGGCTGGAGGAGGAGGAGGAGGGGTGGTGAATGAGATCGACATGCTGGCGGAGATGTTCATCGCCGACTGCCACGAGAAGTTCCAGCTGGAGAAGCAGGAGTCGCTGAGAAGATTCCACGAGATGCTGGCGAGAAGCATGTGAGTTTGGTCGAGATTTGCGGTGGCAAAAAAAAAAAAAAATCAAAGATTTCGTGAGAGTGAAGGGAAGGGAAGACAAGAAAACAAAAGGAGAGAAATTGGGAGAGCTTTCTCGTTCTTCTATGAGATAATAAAAAAAAAAAAGGAGGAGGAAGGTATACGTTAATTTAGACTTAATTTAGACTTAATTAGTTAATTAGCTTTTTGTTTGTTCTGGGGGTTTGGTTTCTTTTGGATCTATTTTTGGTAATGTAAAGGGAGGTTTGCATTTAATCTTTCTGTGCCCAAGTGTTTGAGATTTAATGCAGATTAACTAATTAAGTCCGCCTAGTTACAAATTAATTAAGTATTTTGGGGGGGTTGAGTTAATTGGTTAACGAGGTGTTTGGGTGGGTCAAAGTTAGTTTGGGAGAGAGTACAATTGCATTGCATGATCTACTTAACTACTACAACTAGTACCATGCACCTTGCATTGAGATCATGACATGTCCATAGGATGGGAATGAGTAACCAGGTGTCGTCGTTGCGTAGTGAGCGATATATAATTGTGAACGATATATAATCGTACGCAACTGCATTCATTCAAAACTAGTTGATAATCTGCGAGATATAGATGTTATATAGGGGATGATCAGGACTTAGGGAGTCATTTGAGCTAGCTGATTTGACTGATTGATTCTAACTGTAAATCAGTCCATTGGTTGATTTCGCGTTGAAATATATCGTTGAAATATATCGATTTGTAGTTTGATTTTTCATATTCTTCCAACCTACCCGTATATTTAAGATATACTCATCTCAAAATGATTTATAATTATGGATATTTTTAATTACTATCTCTATGAATTATTATTATTATAAAGTAATGAAAAATAAAAAGACAAAGTAGGAAAGATAATATGGTCTTTTAATCATAAGATTCACAATGCACTCACTCTCGATATACTGGTTAAAATATTTCATTCTACACAATTACATTTTCACAATTTGCCATTCCTTAATTATTTCGAAAACTATCTTCAGAATCAGCCACTTTTGGCAATCCAACTATTAAAAAAATAACCTAATTAATCGTTTGCACATTGCATGAATTAAGAATTGGTTAACCCATATCACTATAATTTATAACTGGAATGGATGACTTGCTTATTAGCTTGTCCAGTCTTTTTTGAGATTGTGATCTTAAAAGTAAAATTTTGAGTAATTACTTACTAACTTTACTAGATCCAACAAATTTTGAAAGCGATTTTCCAAGAAATTTGACAACATTGTTTAATGATCCATAGAAGTCAAAAAGTGCTCACTCTTCAAGACATCTACGAATTAAAATAAGAAAAGGGTACTAATTAATTAAAGGGAATCATATATTCTAATCTTCTTGCTAATTGAGTGTCACTCCACTCCTGGTGAAGATGATGCATATAAATTACTAATTAATTTATTAGCAAATGGAGCAATCTGTGCCAATGATTATTAATATTTTAGTGGTGTTCTGCAGTGCAATCAAATACTCTACTAGCTTCTTGATTTCAGTTTGGAGTAGGTTTGTGTAGGTAGGTATTTCAACATCTCTACCTCAACTTCTGGGAAAAAGCTACAAGCTTTATTATATATGATGCTTTAATTCAAAGTTAAATGCGAAAACAACCAAGAAAAAGAGAACAGTTTCGATTCTATATATATGACATAGCATGAACCTCCGCTCGAGCGTATTCTAGCCTGAATCATATATTAATTGTGTTCGGTTGGGAAAAATGCTGAGTCCATATTTTTGTTAGTAATGGCAGTTAGCTGCTCGTTTCCTTTTATTCTCTTGTGTGCGTTCCTTTATTCCATAACTTGCTTTTTTTTTCCCACTGCTTTTCTTTCTTTGTGGTAATTAAAGAGTGAGTAAAATGGATAAAGAACTTTGTTGGTACACAGTAACACTAGTGTGCGGATGAGAATCGAATCAAATTTTTGTTCCATTGGTCTCCTTGTTTCCTTGTTTGCGCACCATCTTCATCAATAAGCTACTACTCTACTTCTTTGCCTGTTTAATGCAATGATTGTGAAATGGTACCAAAAAAAATATTTAGGAAAAGTTAATTATACGATATTTTGTACTAAGTCGATACTCGATATTTCCTAATCTGATAAGCCGATACGGTAGAGCTTCTAATATATTGGTTGTAATGTTTATCCATTCCACTAAGAAAAAGTTGGTGTTTTTATTAGGTTAAATACACTTGTATATCCAAAACTTTCACGGTTGTGTCAATAATATCCAAATTTTCCGAAATACCACTTATATCCAATTCTTTCACATTCTTTAACGGTGTTTTTGGATATACAAGTGTATTTAATAAAAAATATATTGGGAAATAGATATATTTGGCAAAGAACAACTTTAAAACACGGATATAAGTGGTATTTCGGAAAATTTGAATATTATTGACACAACCATGAAAGTTTTAGATATACAAGTGTATTAAACCTTTTTATTATCACTCCTCGGAATCGTTCAGATACAGAGAGAACAATAGAGTCAAGAAGCTCTAGAATGTAACCAAGAACAGAAGCTAGTCGAACCTCCTTAATATGGAAGGCGACAAGATTAGAGTATGATGGGCCACATTCGAACTCTACCTATGATTTCATAACAGTTAGAAAAAGCTAACACTAAGCCCAAACTAGAGCACCGGATAGGCCAATGCTACGGTGCCGCGATAAAAAATGCGGTACCGGTAACGCTGTTTTTAATTGGTCCATGTGGACTGTAAATCAGTGACATGGCGTGGCTTGGTTTATTAAATTCCAACCAATCTAGCCCAGGCCCAGACCATCCATCTCGAACTAACGTGGGAAAAATGATCTGTTATATGTAATTTTCTGTTTTCTCTTTCATTAACTGAATTAAAATTGAACTTTAAAATTTGCACCTACAATTTTTTGGCAGAAACTCGAAGAAGAATCCAAAGAGAGGCGAAGTTCCTCTTCTTCCTCGACCACTCTCTCCGGAAGTCTCTCCGAAATCAGCTCCGGCGACTTCTCCATCGTCCATCCCATCTCCAGCATCGATCTAAGACCTCGTTTGAAATCCTTTATTATTTCCCCCTACATCTATATTGTAGAGCATAGGCAAAAATCTGACCTTGAAACTGATAATCAAGTCACAACCTTAGGGCTTAGGATCCATGGAGTTCGCCCGAGTGTCCTCTGGTGGTGAGCGGGGAGTCAGCGGTTTTCTGTAATGGGCAAGGAAGAGGGTGGCATAGACTCAGGTCGTTGTTGGCGGTGATGATTCTAACGACGTGGGCTACTCCGATTGTATGAAGTCCCCGAATGCAACTTTGCACAAGGTCGATTGCTCGGATTTGGGTGTATTTTGGGACTGTTTTTGCCTTCATCTAGTTCAAAATTGCTGGATTTTAGGCTATTTGTTATATAATACGGTACTAAGATTGGAAGTTTTTTCCTTGTGCTACTTCATTTTCTGGTTGGTGATACTTCTGTGTAATTAACTGTTGTTGCCTTGCTGGTGTTTATTGCAGGCTTTCTTATTTATCTTGTAAAGAAATACTTATTGGCATAGTTCAGATTAATACAAGTTATGTTGTCTATATATTATGTACTAGATGTCTACATAGATGCTTGTGAGGTTCTGATGATAAATGTACGTTTACAAAGACAAGTAAGTTTAGATATGTTGGCCATTGCACTCTTTCACTCCATATCAATGTCGATGACTTTGCGGCAGTTACTGGCTTGAGGAATGAAGAATGAAACTTACTCACACAAATATTGCATTTGAATGTAAATCGTGGCCATCCAGACGTCATCACAATTGGTGCTTCGGTAAGTACCTCTTAATTCATCAAGTTTCTTCCTCTCTTGATACATGTCACAATAGGACTTGGAACAAACATGAAACCATATCTTTTACGTACAGTTTAAGAACACTGATGATGATTAAAGAGATTAAATTAGTCTCGGCTGTTCTGAGATGCTTACCAAATATATCTTTGCATCTGATTAAGCCATTCTAAATGTATAGAGTCCGCAGTGCAAGACTGATGTCTTTCATCATCTCAAACAGAAACACACCATGAGTAAAGAAAAGGAAAACAACATATTCGTCATCAAAGACGTAGATGGTAAAGATATAAGTAGTAACCTACAGATGACACCCTAGTTGCAGTGGTATTGCTGCTTTGAGATCTGGGAAAATAGATTAGGTTGCATGGTATAAGGTTGAAAGTTTAATCAGAAAACTCCCAAGTGAAGAACTTGAGTAAGATAAGAGTAGAGTATTGGAGCAGTGAAAATGTATGAACTCTCACCCATTTCATTTGAAACCCACCTTCCTCCATTCCTTCTTTCCTCTCTTCAGCTGCCCACATGAAATTTTCCCAGGAACCAAGAAGACAAATAAAGAGCGTCTCATAACCAATCCCTATAGGTACTGGCTGCCAACTGGTTAGCTTAGAACCATTGTGCGTTGTTAGGCGCTCTCCGGAATTGCCCATAGCTGGCCTGTCCAATTCCCTCCCGGCTCTTAGCTAGTATTGTCACTGTTCGCAGCACTGTAACTGCCCATTCTTGCGGTTCATGGCACTCCTGATGCCGAAGCCGCTAATGCCCAGCCGCTCGGTTGATTTTCCTCGCCTCGTCGGCGCTGTCCGCTTCTGACGCCTAGTTCGTCATAGGCACGAGAAGGTTGCACGCCACAAAGCTATGTTCGAGCGCCGAGTACCTCAATTCAGGTGCCGAGCCATCTCTATCTCCATTAACGTCTATGATAATTGTATTTGGAGACAGGTTGGTGGGAGTCCATTAGGTCAACGGATTTATGTTGTCAAGCCTTGTGTACTTGGTGGAGCTTGGAAATTAAAGGGATTTTCGCTGCATATCATCTAAAGTTCATAGCTGGGACTAAAGTTACTGGCCACCAACTAGTTAGCTTAGAACCTGAAGGCAGAGCAATGTAATGTTCATATCGGTGTACGTAGTTGTGTTCCATAATCAACCGAATCAAAAGTCATTAAGTCAACTTATGATGATGATGATAGTGATGAAGAACAACCAACAACGCTTCTCCTTGCCGGAGCTAATTTCAGAGAGACCGCCGGGGAGGAGGATCGAGGAAGAAGAGGAACTCCGCCTTTGTTTGGATTCTTTTTCAACTTTCTGCCGAAAAATTGTAGGTACAAAATTTTAATTTTAATTGTTAATGAAAGAATAAACAAAAAAATACGTTTAACGGATCATTTTTCCCCGTTAGTTTGAGAGGGACGGTTTGGGCCAGACCCAGACGGGTTGAAATTTAGTAAATCAAGCCATGTCACAAATTTACAATCCACTTGGACCAATCAAAAACAGCGTTACCGGTGCCGCACTTTTTATTGCGGCACCGTAGCATTGGCCTAGAAAAAGCTAACACTAAGCCCAAACTAGAGCACCGGATAGGCCTACAATATCAGAGCATGGCTTTGTCACAGAAGCCCATTGACATGGCACGACTTTACCTTTTACGTGGGCCTAGCAGCGGCCCAATCCATACGGTCTTTTTCTTGTGAATGTGTACATCCGTCGTCCCTTTTCTTCAGCAAAACTATGAGCAGTCATGAACCTGCTCCAGGTTGGGTGGTCTCTGGGTAGATAGGAAGCTATTAAATAGGGGAAAATTAGTTTAACCTTTTTAATGATGAAATATCACAATATGTGAATGTATAATCGAAAAAAAAATTCAATTACCACATCACAAACTGAAATTTCCACATTCTATAATAATACAGCATTTCGATTTAAAGTACCACATAACGAAAATGTTGCATCCGAATGACTCGATAAGTATCAAAGAAAAAGAAATGTGGATTGTATGGCTAGAGATAAGGGAGTAAATGAGCATATTGGGATTTACCGTTTAATTTTTTTTTTTTGGTAAAGAAAGTAACGAGGCTGTCTATATTTTAACCCACATCCAATGTAATTGTAACATCACAAACATTTTCCGGACGAAGATACTGTCCGCTTTGGGCCTCTACACTCGCATGGTTTTCGACTTGGAGTGCAATTCAAGGTAACTTCTCATAAGGTCAACCATCCTTGTTGTACTCCACACTGAGCACGTTTAACTTTTTAGTAGTCACAAGAACTCCTCCGTTACACCCCAAAACGCTTCTTGTCAGTTAAGACCGATTTCCTACTAATGAACCATGGATCTCTCCCGTGCTTTTGTCGATGTGGGATTTGCCTAAGGTGTTACGGTAATTGTGATGGAGAAATTTTTTGAAAGAAGATACCACCAATTTGCTGTCATCTCAACTGAGAGAAATTGTAATATTGCTCGTCTTGTTTACTTAAATGATATAGATTAGAGATGACAAACGAATTGGATTCGTAGATTTATGGATTGGATTAAATGGATTCATGAATTAAGTAGCATTTATACCTTGGATCATGACGAAAAAAAGATGTGCAGCCAGCCAGCCAGCCAGCAACGCAACGAGCAGAAGATGACGACAAGTAAACGTGCGGCGACTCCCTTCGCCATCTTCAATCATCATCACTTTCCGGTTGATTATCGCCGGTCAATGGTGCGCATATACTGATATAATCCATGACAACAACCAGGTTTGCGCATTATAATTGATCGAGTGACAACATTTGTATATGTCTGTTGTTATCTGCTCTGCTCTGCTAGTTCTCTCTCACATATAATTGCTTGGGTGGATTGGTAAAGCAGAAAGTGGAAAGGAGGACAAGGACGTACAGCCAAAAGAAAGGGGAAACATATCACTAATTTTCGGCTTGGAAAGAACTAAGGCAGGCCAAACTGCCCCGCCATGTGGTTGCAATTGCATTGCTGCTCTGCTCAACTCTATGATTGCCCGCACGCTGGGGAGGTGGATGGAATGGATCCTTAATAATCTTTCCTCGTTCGTTCGTGCAGTCGAATTGCGCTATCTACAGTGTCCTTTTTCTTTTCATCTGTTTCTGCTTTGTTATTGCAACTTTTTCTTCTCTTATTATGTTGCTTTCCAGCTGCATCGACTTGTTCGAGGGCCAAACCCCAAAGCGCGTTTCCTTTATATGGCCGCTCTTAATTAGCTTGATATTATTACTTCCATCTTGTCTCGTCCGCTCCTGACTCGTGCTTGGTGAGTAGCGGGTAAGAGTATTGATGTATCCACCTTGCTCTGCCCATTGCAGCGGCGGATCCAGTACTGGGTAGAGCACTGACTCGTCCGGTCTTGTCTCGTGCTTGGTGAGTAGCGGGTAAGAGTATTGATGTATCCATCTTGTCTCGTCCATCTTGTCTCGTCCGGTCCTGACTCGTGCTTGGTGAGTAGCGGGTCAGAGTATTGATGTAATCCACCTTGCTCTGCCCATTGCAACGGCGGATCCAGTACTGGGTAGAGCACTGTGCCACATTTTGAAAAGAGACAGAGTGGGCTGAGCCGTAGCTCGACGAACACTCAAATGAATACCGGAAATAAAAAATTTACAAGTGTTATACCAGTTTTGATCCAGAGGAGGGCTGGGACGCGGCCCCGGGGCGGCCCTCCTGGATCCGCCACTGGCCCATTGCCATCATTGATACGTGGAGCGAAAGGGATAAGACGATAATTGCAAAATATTTACCCTCTATGCCATAAAAAAATAATTTTATCTGCTAACAACGACTTGATCTAGCGGTTCTATCATTGATCTTCAACCTGAAGAATATGAGATTCAAATCTCTTAATTAGCGCCTAACAATAAAATTAAACACATATCAGCTCATAAAAAAATTTGATTCCGGTTATATTGAAAATTAATATCTCTCCAGTATCACATTACATCATGCCCAAATCACTACAATGACTATTCTCTTCAAATAGCAAAACTTATGAATAAAATAAAAATTCTGAATCTCTTAGGTCCATTTTTTCCTAACCTTCTATTTTTCCTCGAGGGTTCATTTTTTCTTTCTGGGTGGGAACTGCCCATAATAATTATTGATACAATTATGGCTTTTTGGTTGTTGGGGTTAAGTATTGCGTTGATGCATTTTAGTGGTGGCGTTCAACCTTTTTGGGACACCTAAACCTGCGGTTAGGGGACACTTGCAACAGCTCAATCAGAAGCTAGCATTGAAATGCTACTCTCTGATCTTATTATTAATTCAATGTGTTAGTTAGTAAGCAAGAGTTTGTGCAATTAGGGAGGGAGCTTTTGGTTTGGTCCGGCCTCCAACAAGCAAAAAAGTACTCAATACTCCTTCACGGCACTAGTTAGAACGGATTGTGAAATCGACAATGCAAGAAAGTTAGTAACACACAAATTTCGTAGTCCATTAACGCGATGTCTGTATTTACGTCCACTATACTTGAAGAGAGATACAGATTACATATATTGAGAAGGTATATATAGTACATTCTTCTTCATCATACTTAATCTAATCTAATATGGAAAAGAAAAGGTTATAAACCAGACCTCAAACAGTAAACCAAACGATGGATCCATAACTTCCAGTCGACGACGAATAATCGGTATTCAAATTGTTATAAACGCGCTGCTACGGATCGGAAAATCGTCAGAATCGATAAAGCAAAAATACGAAAGCGAGAATCGAAAAACACAGACACACGATTTACGTGGTTCACTAACACGATGTGTGTTAGCTACGTCCACGGGCGAGAGAGAGCCAGTTTCACTATATCGAGGAGATTACAGATTACAGAGAAGTATGAGAAGTATTTATAGTACTTCTCCATGTGGGTCTAAACCTAATCCAATCTGGCAAAGGAAACGGTTACAGACCAGGCTCAGAACCCGAACCCAAATAACATTGAGCCGGGGGCGTTGCCCCTGAACCCCACTCGCTGACCGGGTAGCGAGACCCCCGACTACCAGCCGTAGCGGTTGATAATCCGATTCAAGTCACATAATTAAACACAAATCATGGTAACAACCCTCTATGTATTGATTCAAAATTTCAAACGGGTGACCACGGTTTTTGTCAGTTTTAGTACTACTCTAATCGTTCACCAATGAAGATGGTATCCAAAGATTGTAGTCATTGAAGTTATGTTCCTCTTTGTTTTTTAGTCTTATTAGGACCGCCGTCCATTAACGTGACACCCGCTTGAGCACTGCAATTCTTGAAGATCGTTTGACCAGACAGCTAAGCGTAGTCAGTCAAATCAAATCCCCATCTTAATTCTCAGACAGCGGTAGGTATATAGTAGTTGCTAACTAAATGTTCTATTTAACTACTGTCATGATTAAGATAGTTTATTTTCTGAAGCTACTAATCTCAATCTGTATGCAGTTGAGCTCAGTGATTAAGGATGGATAACCATGTAGCTTTAGATGCTTGACGGTGATTATCTAGCCCGAGTAAAAGTCAAAGTCTTGTTAAATTATGAAAACATTGGCTCATCATTAAAATTTTTCCGAGTTTGTCTCGAACTCAACTCATTTATTCTAAGTAGTTCGACTCTCAGAACTAAATTTTAAGATAATTTATAAATTAAACATCCTAATATTTGTATTTCATGTATGACACATGTGACTAACTGATCACATGTTTGTATACTCCGTTGGTATTACATTATTTAGTTTATAAATTTTAACAAGTTCATATAATGTATGTTCATAGTAATTGGTATCTAAGCAATCGATGGTGTACATAATTTACCTTCGAAATTATAAAAAAAAAGACATATTTGCTCAAATATTTTATGTTTTAAACATCATACGTGGTGAGATATGCACTTTAACAAACCTATGAACTGTCAACAAGTCAACTCATAAGATGTAAATCGACATCTTATAAACTAAAAAACGAGTCTATTTAATAGTTGAACCCCGATAAGCCGCCATATTGAGCTGGCTCACGATACTCACGCGCCTCACAAGCCGAATAAGCTTATTAATGAGCCGAGCTTTCCTCGAATCAAACGAACTTTTCGACTAACTAGCAAATAACGCTAAAAGGTTTACAGTTTATCGTTCAAACTTACCAGGATCTGGCAACTGTTAGATCCGGCCGGTTGAAAGCTCGGGTTCTAGCTCTAGCTAGCCTTGGGAAAAATAACCAACATTGTTTCCAAATTTTAAAGCAAATCTCATCATGATGATTAACTCTTTAAGTACTCTATTGTATCGCTGTCTAATATATGGATTCCTATCCATTATTTACAGCCATTCTCATGTAAAAAACAACAACACTCTAATAGAAACAGAGACAAAAAATTTCTAAACACAATCTGATAAGAGTAAGCAGACAGACTAAACACAGAACAGGAAGAAGAAAGGACCTAAAGTACTCTAAAAATAATAATAACAAATAAACAATACAAAAAAAACTACCCTCTGTTTTCCTATTCCTTAGCCAGCTGATCACGAGAGAAACTGGATCTGGGTCGGGCTAGCTACTTGTTCTGAATGGGATTGGACCTACTCGGAGGTGCTCTCCTCAGGCTCTGCTCCACAGCTTTCTTGTCCTGCTCCACCTCCTCTTCATGATTCTGACCATGATGACGACGGTGATGATGGTGATTATGATCTTTCTTCCCGCCGTTCAGCTTGGCAGTGGCGGGTGGAGGAGGTGGGATTTGCGGGAGAAGCCTCCTCGGCAGTAAATATTGAACATGATGATGATCTCCTTGGCAGAGTACGATGTTGCTGCAGAGGAGGATTTGGAGCAGAGTGGTGGAGATGAGGAGAGCCCTGAAACCCTTCTTCTTTGTCTTCATGACGGATTTGATTGATTGAAGATTGGAGATCGATCTTGATTCTGTTCCTGTAGGTAGGTAGCTTTGGTGACTAAGATCGGCGGTGGGAAATGGGGGGAAAAACTAATGAATCTGGAGGCAGGGGAAGGGGAAAAAAACAGGGGATGATGGAGAGAAAGGAAGAAATGTGATGTATGACTGATCTACCGGTTATATTTATATGGGTTGATTCGGGGGGGAAGGCACCATTGTATGCTGACTGAAGTGGGGCTCCATACCCACGTGATGTACACATTCATTATTCATATCTAGCTAGCTAGCTATAACATCTTTCGGTTTCAGTTGGTTTTTGATCGAGCTGTAAAACTTTTAGTTACTGATGCATGTGATAATCGAAACGAAAATGGGAAGGAATTCGAGACGAGATTTATGTGGTTTCTTTTGTTTGATACGAATGAGACTAATTCATGGGTAAGCTATGTTTCTCGTTTTTTTTTTCCTCTTTCTATTAGCTCGATGTAGATTACAAGACTGGGATGTCGCCTACAAACCCTAGCCGAGTAAGCCAGACTGGGATGACTGGCGTTGAACATTTTCGTAAACAGATATGGAAATTGGTCTTCTGACGTGATAGAGTCAATGTGATTAGTTCCATCACGAAATAGGTTACAAATCTAATGAATGTATATGAACTTTAATATGCTTAGTAAGATCATGATGAACGTGATTAGTGGCAGTACGGATGGCCAAAATGATGAAGTGATTAGTGGTAATTTGATAGTTGATCAGGTGAATGACAACAAAGACTGTTTCAGGCCAAAATGAGGAAGGAACATGTGAGGCTAACAGAAGAGCTTGATTGATCTCTAGGACATGTAAGATATTTTCGTTCAACGAGATCATTTTGTTGGGAAATGACATGACAAAACTTTTGAGTAAGGATACCTATAATTTTTTAAAGATTAAGATGAGGAATGAAGCTAAATTCTAACCTAGGATCATATCAGACTACTCGGTCGGTTCTATCAAATTGAGTCTGGATTATTTTAGAAATTTCAGTAGTAAAGGGTAATAGATCATATTTAAGGCGCAAGAAATAACCCAAGTACTAGTATATATCATGATCAACAAATAAGGAAAAATACTGATATCCATGGCGAGAAGTGACTGGATGATGACCCATTATAGCATGCCACACATGAAAGTTCGATCACCAAGACTCGAAAAAAATGAAAAGATGATAGCCTAGACACCGAAGATTGAAAAGACAAACAAATGAGATGATGATGGTGGTGTTGCTTTAAGTTGCTCAAGATAAAAGCTACGTCCATGTTTGCTACCCTTGCCTATCTCCTGCCCCAGAATACACAATAACATCATTCTACCCGTCAAATTTGATTAAAGAAGCAGACAAGAATAAGAGACCCAAAAACAGTTACTCAATTCATAAACCCCCTCCAAACTACATGGAAGTTTAAATGTTGTTAGATTGTTGTCCAGCTACTGCGTGCAAGTCCATCCCTCTACTGTGCTCCTTCTATACCCCTTCCTTGAAATAAGTCTCATTTGAACTTAAACCACTATTATAATTAGGACAGATCAAAGATCTTGTTGGCCTTAGAAAATCCCGTTATTTTTCGTCTATGCATGGGGCTCATAGAGTCCTATTATTTTTTGCTTTGACCGTGAGAATGGCCGTAATCGGTTAGTCAGTTAATCTTTTAACTGTCAATTCCGATTCGATTATCGGTTACATCGCTAATTGAATAACCGTTTAACACCACCACAGTCCAAACGTAGAACTATTAGTAAAACTTGCTTCTCAAGTAACCTCTTAAGAATCACCCATAACACAAAACTGTAACGTTCCACAGTCGTCTCCTCATTCATTCACCTACAAGACAAAGCAGAGACAACTTCGTTACCAACGCTTTAAGATCACCCACCTGCTGCAGCTGCATGATTGATCATTTTGAAGTATTAGAGCCGTATATATAATTAATTATACATCAAACCAATCCCAACAACTCCACCAAAACACCAAAATATGAACAAGTTAAAGCAGAGCAGATGGGAACTGTGGGAAACAGAGCTTAGCTTAGCCTAACCTCTCCCGCTCAGAATCATGTGATGGTTTGGTTTGAATTGACTATTGCTCTTTTCCCCCTCCTCTTTCGTTGCTGACAATGCCAAGTACTGTTCAACTTCTACGACCGGATTAACTTGCTTTTTTTTTTCAAACAGATTAATAATTCATTAGAACTGAGTAATCTTGCTGGCCTTCATGTGATCCTACTACTGCAGGCACGTGAATTTTAACTACTTGCGTACCCACTGCTTCCACGTTCCCAGTTCTTTTCTCTTTTTTGCCCACCATTTTGTTTCCCCAACTTATCGAATGGTCGGTTTTAGTGTTCTTGTTCATCAAGTCTCTGTTTTTGCAGTGTGTTTGAATCTTTGGTTCTATCTTTCTGCTCATAACTTATGGGCAAGGTGCTAGGTATAAGGCGGGCGTTGAGACTTTGCGCCTAGCGTTTAGCTCGTTTAGGTGTAGATTAAGCGTGTCTAGGTGTTGGAATAAAAATAGATATTCACATTACATGATGAATGAGATAATAATCTACAACACTTCCTCCCTTCAGTTAAATTGATTAATAATTTACTTAACACTTATAATGACAAGAGCATAGCTCACGAATTCATCGAAACATAGCTTAATAGCTCACAAAGTTCTTGAGCTGTTGAAAATATTGACAAATAAAATTGATTCCGTAGTTGACGTTAAATTCCTACTTTAATATTGACTTCCTAGCTCCATTTAGTTATGTTTAGGAAAGACTTAGATGTTGCCTTACCCAATTGTCGTGTCCCGGTATCTAACTAGGTGCGAAACTCTTAGGCGAGGCGTTTTGTCATTGCATTGGGCCTAGGCGTAAGGTTAAGCAATGCCTTTTTGAACCATACTTATAGGTAAGATTATCAACCTGGTTTAGCCCGTTGGCTCGATCGAGCAGGTGGGTTGAGAGTTATAGGTGAGATTGTCAAATCTCATCTAACATATTGGTAATAACATATAACATTACACCTAAATAACAGTTCGCACTTTGATACAACATATAATGAAAATTCAAACACACTCGTATAACATCAATATTCAAATATTCAACTTAGAAGGGGGGAAAATGACGCAATGTAACTTCCAGCCCGGGAAACTTGCAGTGGGTCGACCCGCAAGTGTGTGGCATGCGTTTTCCTCATGGGGTCTAGGTTAACCTGAGGGTTGACCCGCTGATTGACAACTTTGCTTAGAGATAATATCTAGGAATAACAAGGTCAGACTTGTTGCATAATTTCACCCAATTGTCACGACCCATACATGTATTGGTTCATACCCAAACTGACTCATATGCACTTTCAATAATTTTGAGTTTGGGTTGGGTTTGAATTGAGTTTAATTTGGATCCGATCCTATTGGGTCTATTTGTGTCCTAATAATTCTACTAGAGGTGGCAATTGGATCGGATTAGTGGATTCGTGGATTGGATTGGTGAATCCATGGATCAAATGGATTGGTGGATTGATCCGTGAATCCAAATGAAATCCAAGGCTTGGACCAAAATGTAAATTTTGAAAAGTTTAGGTACTAAAATGTCATAATGAAAAAGTTTAGGTACCAAAATGTAATTTTCCAATGATATTTTTTGTATAAAATACAAATTTTAGGTACCAAAATGTAAAATATAAAAATATAGGTACCATCTCGTAATTTGCTATTTGGATCCATGGATTGATCCATGAATCCACCAATCCAATTGGATTTGGATAAAATGGATTGGATTAAGTGAATAATTTGGTGGATGGATTGGATTGGATTCATGGATTTGGATCCTAATTGCCACCTCTAAATTCTACATACAAAAAGACAATATCAATCATCTCATTAACTGTTCTCAACCCAATTACATCTTTAATGTTGGTGTTTTCACCTTTCTATTTATGTTGCAATTTAAAAGATAAAACAAAATCGAATTTTTTTTTTTTTTTGCCGAAAAGATACTTGCATTAACAAGACAAAAGAGTTACATCAAACCAATTTCCGAGCACAACCACGCTCGAAAATCAAAGCTAACACTCCCCGTAGGAAACAAATCGAGGGCTTTTTTAGCCACCAAATGGGCCACCCTATTGTTCTGTCTACCTACAAAAACCACTCTAAACCCACCATTCGCCTCCAGTAGCCGACAGATTTCCTGAAGGATTTCCCGGCCTTGGCATCTCTGCTGCTCCCTGTGTTTACTTTATCAATTACCACCTTCGCATCCCCGACGAATTGCACCGCCGAAAGACCAGCCTCTACACACCAGCATATTGCCTCACGAAGTGCTATCGCCTCCATCAACATAGGATCCACCATACCAGGAAGGCACAAACCCCGGGCCAACAGAATCCCTCCAGCCTCATCCTGCAAGACAAAACCAGCTGATCCGTGCGAACCAGTAGAGATCGCCCCATCAAAAGAACACCTATAAACGCCTGGCCTGAAACCCAGATCAATCACCGGTACTACTTGATCAGCTACTCTCCCATTCCCCGGAGACACACTATCCAACCATTCCTGGACCTGAAACCTGAATTGCCTCTCCAACACTACCCACGTATCTTGCTGTCCCTCAAAAGCCACCAAATTTCTAGACTTCCAAATCCGTCAAAGGAGACAAACAAGACGCACCACCCGTGCTGGAGAAGAATCCCGCTCCAAAAAACCGCGAAAGAAGATAGGGAACGCCTGATCCTGACCAATCCTCCAATCATTCCTCAACCCTGACATTTCCCACATAGCCACTGCCATTGGGCACAGGAAAAATAAATGTTCTATGTTTTCTTCCGGAGCCCAACACACAGGACATCGTGGTAGTACCAACACCCTTTTTCGAATCAAAGCCTCCATCGTCGGAAGCGTGCGTTGCAATAGCTGCCAGATGAAAAGTCTGAGCTTTGGTTGAACCTCAAGCCCCCAAACTTTCATCCATAACACCCTATCCACCGGCTCGCAAAACAAAATCGAATTAGAATCACATATTTATTTTCTTTTGAATATCCAATACCATAAATTCAATTTAGATTCAAATTTAAAAGTTGGGTATGAATCTGCTCCACAAACGAAAATTAACAAAATCTGATTTGACCCCTACTAATACAAGTTTGAGCAATACCCCATTATTAGGTCTGCTTTGCTATCCCTAACTATATCTTTAGCACCATGTGACGAACTTCTTGCGGGGCTTAATATATATTGAAAAGATGCATAAATTTGGTAAAAACAACGGCAAAGAAAAGGACAAAGAGAAGGCTTATAGTATATTCATTGAAATGATTAGTGTATGAATGTAATGTTACTGATGTTTGAAGTATACAGCAGTAGATATGGACAATCTTGAGTCTTGGCACATTTGCTAGCTACCAACTAGTCTTCGCTGGATTGTCAGTCAAAGTTTGAAATAAGCAGTGAGGTTGAAGACTAATACGATTCATCTAGTAAGGCTAGCTAATGAAAGATGAAAGTGAGATTTCTCTTTTGTTAATTAGGGTATCAAATTACAGTCCACGGGTTAAGGTGGTTGGGATTTGCCACTCCAACTTCACTACAACGAGAAAAAGAGGAAAATTTAACGATGCTTTACTGTTTGTAGTTGTTGAGGATTTAACGCTCGAATTCCACATCGATAAAGTACGGAAGAGATCTATTATTCATAAGTAGGAAATCGATTTTAACTGATAAAATGCATTTTGGGGTGAAATTGAAGAGTTCTTGTGAGAATTCCGAAGTTAAACGTTATCAGTATGGAGCACTGTAAAGATGGATGACCTTATGAGAAGTCACCTTGATATGCATTCCAAGTCGAAATTCGTGAGGGTGTTCGCCAAAGTGGACAATATCTTGTCGAAAAAAGTTTGGGATGTTACGAGTGGTATCAAAACCTCTCCGTGTCCCTCTTGAACGATGGGGGGTAAACCTCAATGAGGAAGTTGAGTCCCAAAGGGGGGTGTATGTGACACATTAGACGAATCCCACATCGAAAAAGCACTGGAGAGATATATGGTTCATAAGTAGGAAAACCAACCTTAACAAACAAAATGCGTTTTGGGTGAAATGAAATAGTTATTATTGTACCACTGGATTGCTGCATAGCCATGGTTGTACCACTAGATCGCTAACCTTCGGATGAGTTCCCAAATGCACATTTTATCACTCTTTTCCTGCTTCTTCGGTCACTTTATCAGTCACTTTATCAACACGGATCAGTCTCTCGATTAGCTCAGATATTTGTATAAAAGCTTTAGTATTATAAAACTCAACTGACAAATCTAGTAATCGCACCTGAACGATAGTCAATTCGATACCCGCAGTTCATGGATTTACCCGAGTTCTTAGTGATAATGTCCTGATTGCTTGCCTTTGCCTAATTGCCTTTACCCAAACTCAGTTCGTTTTGTCAACCACAAAATGGGGCTGAGATCAGGTGACTAAGGGGGGTCCCCTTAGTCACACGGCTAAGTGAATCTCAACCACTCAACCTCATTAAAATCTAAGGGCTCCTATTAATCAAATTTAATGAAGGGCAATGTAGTAATTACATGTTTATTTTTACTTTTAATTATAAAATGAATAAAAAAATTAAATCAAGTGATTTCCGTCCCCGTCCCTTGCGCGGCCTCCCGTCCAATTTCCGGCCAGGGGGATTCCTGGGCAGGAGAATTCTTCTCCCCTCAGGCGGCCATTAATCCCCTCATGCGGCCATTATTCCAGGAAATTCCGAGAGAGAGAGAGAGATTTTCTGGTCGGAATTTTTTTTTCCGGCGACCATCGTCGACGGAGAATTTTTCCGGCGACAGTGCTTTGTGATGTTTGTTGACATATTTTGTAATGTTTGTACGCTTTGTTATTTTGTTATGTTTGTAAACTTTGTTATTTTTGTCAACCATGTTTGTAATGTTTTTTATGTCTAAAAAACAACATGGTTGACTTTTGGATGTAACTTCTCTATATAGGGATGAAGCCTCCAAAGTCAACCCGGGTGTTTTTTTCAATTCGTATGGATTGTCGGTCTAGTTTGTCATTTTTGTCCACCATGTTCGTACTGTTTTGTATGTCTAAAAAACACCCGGGTTGACTTTGGGAAGGAGCCCCTCTATATAGGGATAGAGCCTCCAAAGTCAACCCGGTTGTTTTTTCTTTTTGTATGGTTTGTATTGTTTGTCGGTCTAGTTTGTATTGTTTGTACAGTTCATACGTTTGTAATGTTTGTGAATCTGTTTGTATGTTTTGTCGCTCTAGTTTGTATTGTTCGTATGTTTGTATGGTTTGTACTGATTGTAAATCCGGTTTGTATACTTCGTAATTTTCCATAATACCCAAACTACCCCTGTTATTAATTAAATAGCCCTTCCCACTTTTTAACCATTGGATTGTAGTGTCCAGATCTAATGGCTAGGAGGGCCTTAGTCACCTTAGTCATGGGATCCGCTCTCCCACAAAATGTCTATGACAAAAAAAAAAAACCACAAAAGGTTGGGCTCATTTCAAACCTACCAAATACCCATTATCTGCTGCTAAATTGTCGGCCCATACTCATCGTACTGGAAAGCCTTTGGCCCGTCATAACAACTATAGCGGGTCCGCGATTCCAAATCCCGGCCCACAGTCTGAAAGAAAAAAGGAATTTTAGAATTTAAATAGACCGGAGGAAAACGGCAAAACAGAGGAAGCGACTGTTATTAATAAAAAAAAAAATAATAAACAGTGTAGATTTCAACTTCCATCTAAAAGTGCTCCCTTCCTCTCCCTTGCTACTCCGCTCCCTCCTTCCTCTACAGATTCAATTTCTTCCTCTCCCGTCCCAAAAAGCTTATCCTTCTTCTCTCTTTTGCTTACTTTACTCCATTCAGCGGCGGCTGTTGCTCTCTTCAGTGTCGTCTGGACGCCGCGCATTTCATAGCCGGGGTTGCTTTTCTCTCGTGAACGGGTTACGAATTTGTCGCATGGTAGCGGTACGTGGCATTTCTTGTTTCCGTTTGAAATTCTCCCTTTTCCTGTCGCTTTCCCACCATTTCGTCTTCCCGCTTCGTTGGAATTGGCTTACTGCTTCGAAAGTTTCAGTCTTGGCTCTTGGGGAATGAACGTTCGTTGTAATTTCTGGGTATCGATTGTTTTGTGCGTATCTAGGGTTTCGAATGTGGCGGGAGTAATTTTGGGTTGTTTTTTTCCTCCGTTTTTGACGAATTGGGTTTGCGAAGAGTGTCGCGTGGGTGATAGGAGTAGGGTTTCGGGGTTTGAGTTGGAGAATGGGGATCTTTCTCCTTGAGGATTGCGCTGAGTTGCTTTTTTCTTCCGTGCGCTGTCATTGGGGTACTCGGCTAGAAGAATTTCTTGAAGCATGTCTTAACTATGCATTCCTGGTTAGGTCTGGATTATGGGAATTGGGAAGTTTTGCTTTCTATTCTTCCTATATTGTGGGTTTTGATGTGTCCGATAATGTCTTTGGAGAATTTCAATTGGATTTAGGGGAAAAGGTAGGTAAGCTTGATACTTTCTGTTCTTTGCTGGTTTAGATACTTTTGTAGAATGTGTGTTCCAGGCTGGTATGAGTTCTTTTCCACAATGCTTCAGGCAATCATGCTACATCTGTTATATGTGAACAGTGTTAGTTATTGATAAATGATTCTTGACACTTCATGATAATAGGATCAAACAGGAGCAATATCTTCTGCAGAGCAGACTATCGGTTGTAGGTTGTTCCACGTATCTTAGATTTCATCTTAATATGGAGGCCCAAATTCATCACCTTGAGCAAGAAGCTTACAGTGCAGTGCTGCGTGCTTTCAAGGCTCAATCTGATGCTCTTACCTGGGTACTGCTATTAATTTCCCACTGGGTACCACATTTTATGAAAAAGAAATACTTTAAGCTTGAAGTTGTCTCATTTAGATGCCTTCTCATGTATATCCAGGAAAAGGAGGGTTTGATTACTGAACTTCGCAAAGAGCTCAGAGTATCAGATGATGAACACAGAGAACTTCTCGCCCGAGTTAATGGGGATGATGTCATCCGTCGTATAAGGTTTGTATACTTCTTGTCCATGCCCGAACTCTTGCAATTATAGTAGTCTGAGTAAATCGATCATGGCTTGCTTACTATTTCAGGGAATGGAGAACTACAGGTGGGAATGAACCTACTAGGTTCGTGCCGCCAAGGGGTCATGACATGGTACCCAGCCCTACCATGTCTGGTGCCCGTAAAAGGCAGAAGATATCTCAAGGGGTATATTCTCGTTGGGTTTGATATGGTTTCCCTTTGTTTTAAAATAAATTGGTCATAGCCAGTTTCTCAATTAACTTTCATCTTTTTGTGATTTTTTCTTTATCAGGGTCACATACTTCCTACTTTATCCTCTGTGAAGGCTATGCAGCTCCCCTCACAGTTTGCTACTCGACCTAGGTACTTTACTACACACAACTCTCGCAGTTCTTCTGGTGCACTTGTGGTGGATGAACCTCCTGAAGCACTGCTCGGCCGAAAGGTTTGGACTAGATGGCCTGAGGACAATCACTTCTATGAGGCTGTCATAACGCAATATGACTCGTCTCAGGTATGTACTAGAAAATCTAGAACAATTACTGTCTTCTTGTGATGGTGCTGCAATTCTTGATGGAAGATGTGTGTATTGGTATATATATTAATGCACGTAGGCTTGCTGTAAATTTGTTCAGAGAAATAGGGCTGCTGGAATCTAGGAACAAGTACTACATTTTTTTAGTTTTGATGGGTAGTATGATGGTTGAAGAACTGCCACACCAGTCTGTGATTAGGTCTGGTAGCTTAACCCGAGAACCTATAAACCTATCGAATGACGAGGACCAACTGTTGCAAATGTTCCAAGAGTTTGATTGAAATCTGATCTCAGTACTGTAGAATTATCCTCTTATGTAGGAGTTACAAACTTGACGCCCAACTACTTTTGCTATTAATTAATTCGTTATAAGAGTTGCATATTAGCAACCAGTGGGATGTTATCTGTTTGTTTTATGTGAGTCCCTTACCGAATGACTATTCTAATTGTGATTAAAGCCTTCCTTAGTGGGTTGAAAACCAGTTCCCTACTCAATTGTTAAATCCTTATCACTTCAGTGTTTGCTACTACTGCTTTCAGTGGCCATTTGTCTGTGTGTTTGTCAGCTAAAGTTTTTATTTATTTAATGGTTGAAGGCCCGACATGCTCTTGTGTACGATATGGGCACAAAGGATGAGACATGGGAATGGGTTGATCTGAACGAGGTGATTAATACTGCTAACAATAAACCAGACCTCTACTACCATTTATTTTGTTTGTCAGGTTTTGCTATGGTCATTTTCATTCCCTCTTTCATGTTGAATTGGGAAAATGAGTGCATATGTCTGTTGGCAGATATCTCCAGAGGATATACGATGGGATGGAGAGGATCCAGCAATTCTATATCGTGGTGGACAAGGTGGTGGTGGTGGTAGCCGTGTGATGAGGAAAACCATAAGCCATGGTGGTTTTGTCCCACCGGGTTCCGTTCCAGTGCGGGGTTCGACAAAGTTCCCCTCTAGAAGGGAGCTTTTAGTAGCACGCAATGGTGTTGCTACGAAAGTTTCTGATGAAATTGAATTACTGAACACCGAGACACTAGTTAAGGAGGTAACAAAAGTGGACCTCTTGAAGTTTTTCGACAGAAGTTTAAACAACTAATTTGCTCCTTCATCTTTATCTTGTCTTTTCTTTATAGGTTGAAAAGGTTTTCGGAGTAAGTCAACCAGATCCAATTGAGCTTGAGAAAGCCAAAATGATGCTAAAAGTATGATTGGAGTTTCGCGCCTATATTATCGCTTTCTCTTACTGTTTCATGGTTGCTGACTTAAAACTCACTGGTATTTTAACTTCTTATGTAGGAGCATGAACAGGCACTTTTGGATGCAATCGCAAGGCTAGCAGATGCATCTGATGGTGAAAGTGGTAAATAGCTACATTTGTATCTTCGAATTGTTGGTTGTTCACTCCATTGTTATATAGTAACAACCGACTTCTTTCTACTTCAGCGGTGTTAGCCCTATTCCATTAATTTGTAGAATCTGTTAAAATTCACTGAAGTAATGTGTTTTCCTCCTTCATACTGTGTGCCTTTATTGGTTCTGAGTATCTTCTATCGCTCATATCTGACTTCGTATTTGGACCTCCAACGGCTCAAACATCTTGTGGTTGAACTGTATCCTGAAATGTCCTATAAAAGTTGACGAATTCGTTACCAACTGCATTTGGATACCTCATGTAGATTGCAGGAATATACTAATACCTTTGTATTAATATATTGGTTAATTTCCTTACGGAATAGCAACATGTCCCTTAAATTTGTTTGCTAAACTGAGTTGTTTTTGTGTTCGAACAGATGGAGAACAGCACTTCATACACGGGCAACCAATGGAGCGTTAGTGAGGTTTGAAGAAACCATTTCACAGGAGGCAGAAGAAATGTCATAGCTAAAAGCAGCACCTGATGACGCTGTCGAACTGGAAATTAAAGAGGGAGAAGGAAAAGGTGAATCAACCATCGCTAGTGGTTGGCTGCCGGTTTTCCTTTCATCTTCTAACCTGTTGGGTTGTAAAGAATTCCCTCTGTTTCCTTCCACCTTGTACCATACCCTTACTTCCCTTATCTCCGTTTCCATTTCCATTTAACATCTTGTTCTGCAGAACGAGATTTAGACTGAGTAGAGGTGCTGATAGTTAGGATTAGTGAGGATAAGAAATGTTTAGGGCTAATCTAGATTTGTACAACTTCCCATGGCAGGCAATGTCGTTGACTTATCGTTTAATGAGTAGAGAATTTGACTTCGAATGATTCTGAAATTGCTGACTTCTCTAATGTCTCTCAGATATGCACTTTTTTTAAAACCCAGAACCCAAAGAACGTTACTTTGATTATTGAGCATTGCAACTTTCATACAGGAAAAAAGCCACGACTTTTTACAGCGTTTCATGGAACTCTACAATCAAATTGACCATGACGGAATCGAAAGCAGGGCCTTCTACTTCAAAATGACCAGCTCCTTGTATCAGATGCATCTCTGCTCTGCCATCGCAGCTCTTCACCTTGCTCTTCAGCTGCCGCACGCTGGTGAACCAGTCTGCACTCCCCATGATGAACAGCTTCGGCTTCCTTGCCTTCAACGTCGGCTTGTAGTGCTTCCCAAACAGAAATGAAGCCGCCAATCCGAAAGGATAGCCTATGCTCACATATCCCACCACTTTCTCCAGGTGATCCAGCGCCGAGCCGGCAATTGGAGCTCCTGCGGATGACCCGACAAGCAGGATCCTGTTGACAGGCAAGTTGTCGGAAACCCAATTGCAGACAGCCACGACATCCTCGATTTCGGGGATCCCCGTGATGGAGGACTTGCCTGTTGATCTTCCGACGCCTCTCATGTCGAATGTGACCGCGGTGAACCCTTTGATGGAGAGCCTGGAGGCAATGCCGTGCATGATGACCTGGCAGCCGCCGAGTTTCGAGTAAGGATGAACCAGAACCACCGCGGTGGCGAATTGGGCGGAGGTGGGCTTGAAGAGCCTGGCATGGAGGACGACCCCGTCTCGTGTGGAGACGAAGCACGACTCCATGGCGCTCCTCGGAGGTGTCATCGATGAGGAAGACGATGAGGAGGGGGCGTCTGGAGATATTCTAGAGGGCTGTCGCCATGGATTCCTTAGGATTATTATGAAATGTTACATGGAGAGGTGTTCTTGGGGTGGGTTTGAAGAGGTTTTTGCTGTTGTTGTAAGGATGTTTTGTTTGGAAGGTTTGGTGAAGGATATGATATGGGTTTTAATGTGTGGGGATGAAGCTAAACAGTTAATCAACGGATTGTGTTATAAATTGGTTTTTACGGCTATGTGAGGGAGAAACTGACTGAACTGAAATTAGGAACAAATAGTTCTAAGGTTAGGAAGAGGATTAAGTGAAGCTGGAGAATGGATGCAAAAAAGAAGGGTATGTTAGCTTTAACGAATTTGTTTTCTAGGAACAGCCACAGGGCTGAATTGGCGGGAGGAAAGCTAGTTTTACAAACGAAAGAAAAGATGACAATGTGAAAAAGAACGTTTCAATTGAGAATCGAAATAAAACACAATTATATTTTATCTAGTTTGGCAGAATTCAAATATTAATTGTTGGTTCTCATAAAACCCAATTCTTTTACTGCAATTGTTCATTCCTCTGCATAGAGAATAAAGAATAAAAATCCCTTTGAGTAGAAATGATCTTTGGCTCCCTCTGGGGTTTGAGAACTCGGCCTCAGGTCCGATTGTGAGTACAATTGCTAATTTTTTGTTCGCTTTCCAAAACTCTTTTGATATTTTTATGAGGAATACCTAAATTCATTGTCAAGATGGTTGCGGAAGATGTACAAGGTGTTCACTGTGTCGCGTTGAGGTCGGTGGCCGGTACTGATTAAAGCGAACGAACTGACTGGGTGTATCTTTGGCCGGGCTCCGATTGTTACGACTACGGGAGAGGGACGTGGCTCGTGGATTAGGTGGAGCAGTTGTTAAGGAGATTCGGTTGGCGAGTCTTGCTTTCTCTCTTTTCTCTTGTACTTTACTTCTCGCAAATACAACAAGATTGCTCATTTAATGGCTCATAAGATCCTTTCATCGATAATGCAACTAGTTGCCTACTGTCGTTGCTTGCTTGCTATACTTTAACTATCTATTTGATTCCATTATCTATGGAGGAAAAGAAAATACCTTATCCTTGAATATGTTTCATCCATGTATTAAATTATCATAATTTTGTTCCAATTTAAATGAAATTAATTCAATGGTTAAAAATAAATGGCATTGAGATATGATAGAAAGTATTCTCGTCCAGTGTAAAGAGGCCTTCTTTTATAATGATGATTTTTATAGTTATGTGTTATTGAAGGGATTCGAATATAGGACTTTCACATTCAAGACTAGTGATATTACCATTAGACCAAATCTTTATTTGCTAAAGAATACTTTCTTTCATGGAAAATTGATATGCTCTCGCATGAAGGATTGTAAATCCTCCTTTAACCAGAAGATACGTGGATTCATTTGGGGCTCCATGGCGGATGCATTTGGGGCTCCTACCGCATAGCTGCAAAGTTAGAGGATGTTGCCCCGGAGTTGGACTGGAAAGCGTTCTGGCAATGGAAAGGTCTGCCCCCTAGTCAACCATTTCCTATGGCTAGCAACTAAAGAGAGACTACTCACCAACACGGAGAGACAACGTCATCACCTGGTCCGAGCCAGCGTATGTACGTACTGCAACCAAGCCCCCGAGACAGTCCTGCATGTGTTGCGGGACTGTACGTTTTCTAGGTTACCTTGGATGCAAGTCATTCAACCTTCTGAAGACCAAATATTCTTCGGAAGCAATTTACAGGGCTAGCTCTTGACCAACGTTCGACATTAGCAACACGTACACCCTTGAGTCTGGGATTACCTGCTAGTCTCTTTGGAATACCAGGAATGATCGAGTCTTTGCATGGAAGATCATATCAACTGAAGGTTTCTTACAACGCGTCCTAACCAGCGGCGGATCCAGAACACAGAAGAGCACTGGGCCGAGTTTCATTAGAAAATTGAATAGTAAAAAAACATAATGATTATAGTTATTTTCCAATGGAAATTGTACACGACGGTATTTTAATTTAGTGATGCATCAATAATGGAGCCTACATCCATACCAATAGTATACAGAGTTTCAAATAAAATAATTGAGCAATCGGCAAGAAATTCATCGCTCATTTTGCTGAGCAAATCAGTTCTCACATATTTCATTGTTGAAAAGGTTCTCTTCGTAGTAGCTGTTGAAACGAGCAGCATTAACACTAGACAAATCAATCGACTAATCAATTGGCATTGTGTGTCAATTCGTGCATCCACCAACTGCTCTAGTAAGTTTTCAAGGGAACAAACCTCATCTTTCTTTTAGTCTTTTACGTTTTAAACTTTTAAAATTTTAGGTTTCATTGTTTTTTTTATATGCATAATCTTTGGGGCTAAGATTTAAAAGCTAAATTTAGAGTAGTGATTTGAATATGGTCATCTGAATCATTTTTTTAATTATACCCAATTTTATTATAAAATCACACTAAGCCGAATGTCTAAAATCGAAAAATTCACAAGAACTATACTAACTACGAATCCAGAGGAGGGCTGGGCCGGGGCCCGGGGTGGCCACCCCTGGATCCGCCACTGGTCCTAACATGGATTATTGTATTGCGGAATGCCATGGACATGGAGAGGCTCGCCCATACGCCTCACCGACCCCTCAGTTACGGAAGTGGAGATCTCGTGGCAGTCGCCACCTCACCGAGTGGTTACTCTCAACACGGACGGCTCCGTTCACACTAGCACAAACCACGTTGTTGCATGTGGTTTTTTACGTGATCATAATGGATGTTGCTTGGCAGCATTTGCTATTAACCTAGAGAACTGTTCTATTACCCTAGCAGAGTTTAGAGACGTTGTAGAGGGACTTCAGTTGGCTTGAAACCTTGGACACCGTTGGATAAGAGTGGAATTGGACTGCATTGTGTTGTCCAACTCCTATCGAATCCTAGAGCTTCAGAGCATCATCACGCAACGATTGTCTAGAGGTTTACTGAGCTCCTCGATCGTAACTGAAAGGTTTTGATCCACCATATTTATCAGGAGGGTAATAAGTGTTTAAATCTTTTAGCTAATCGTGGGCATTCCTTGTCCTTGAGTTCCCATTTTTTCAGCTTCAGATCCTCTATATTGTTATTTACTTTCTGTCAGGGGATTCCGAACCCCGTCTAGTTTTGAATGAAAGTTGAGATACTTTGCATCCATTTATAAAATAAAAGAAGTACGAAGTATTAAAAAAAATACAATCGAAATTTTCATATTATTATCTTTCAAAATATAAAGTATTAGTCAAACGTTAACTCCTCATTAGCATTTTTGGTAGTAATGCTAACTTGGTAACATGATGTTGAGTTGAAAGAGACACGTAACAATCAACATTCCAAAATTTTAGTATTTTTAATGAAGCTAAAGTGTACAAAATTATTAACTGTAACAGACAGATGATTTGTTACAAACATTTGGCTAATACTTTTTTTTTTAAAGGTTAGGTTAATAAATTTTATTTTACTAAAACCTCAAGAAACTGACTTATTGGTAATATGAAAATGAAAACATACACCACACTCTAGATACGAACCTTAGGCCAACAACTAATGAATACATCGTATGTTACTAAACATTAAAAAAGGGTTAAAGACACATTTGGTCACTGAGATTAAAAAATCGGGACATGTTTAGTCACTAGAAAAAGTTAATATCAAATTTGGTCACTACAATTACTAAAATTGGACACATTTAGTCACTCGCCGTTAGTTGCCGTCCAACTCCGTTAAAAGAGTCCGTTATGTGCTGACGTGGCTAACGTGAGCGCCTAGTCAGCGCCGTTTTGGGCCGGAAATGGTCAAACCCGACCTGCCACGTCACTAAACCAGCCACGTATTAAACCCAACCCAATCCATTAACCCAACCCGACCTAGAAATAAACCCTAACCCACCTAACCATACCAGATCCCACTTAAAAAAAACAAAACTGATTTGTTTCAATTTTAGACCCAAAAACCCTTCTCATTCCTCGAGAGCTCTTCCCCTTCGCCATTTTTGATCAAACTAATCCTAGAGCAGAGAGCAGGGAGAGATGGAGCCATTAACGCTACCCCTTGCCGTAGAGGCGGAGGGCAGTGAGGCACACGAAGTTGGAGGACGGTGGCCGTGGACAGTTCCAATTTGAAATCTTTGGCCTGTAAAAACAAACCCCAGATGAGAAATTTAAAACCAAAAATGAATGTGGGACGGGAATTGCCGAATTGGAAACTGAGAGTTGCGGTGGCAGGAAAGCAGAGACATGAGAGATCGAGAAAAGGGAGTTTAGGGTCAGGAATGAAAGCTCCGGTTGAGAAGAAAGCAGTTTCTTCCGGCGGGTAGACAGTGATGAGACCCAGATAGGGGCAGATGGTATGCCGGAAGGCGCGGGCCCTGTGGGCCGACCAGTACTCGTAGATCCAGCCTAAGAGGTCAGCGTACTTCGGGTCGAAGGCGTCGTTGACGGTGATGGAGATGAGTGAGAGCTCCGATCGGGGCTCGCGAGCCGCCAGCAGGTTGTCAAAGAAATTGGTGAATAGGTGGCGGTTTCTCACGGTGGTGTCGCGGGGTTTCGAGGCGGATTTCGCGGAGGGCGGATCGCCAGAGGTGGCGCCAGCGGCGGGATAGAACGGAGGTCTCGGCGGTGGTTTTTAGGTCCAGATCGGCGGCGATCAGGATGTGGCGGAGGATGTCCTCCAGGAGGGCAGTGAGGCACATGAAGGGGAAGAGCTCTCGAGGAAGGAGAAGGGTTTTTGGGTCTGAAATGGAAACAAATCAGTTTTGTTTTTTAAGTGGGATCTGGCATGGTTAGGTGGGTTAGGGTTTATTTCTAGGTCGGGTTGGGTTAATGGATTGGGTTGGGTTTAATACGTGGCTGGTTTAGTGACGTGGCGGGTCGGGTTTGACCATTTCCTGCCCAAAATGGCGCTGACTAGGCGCTCACGTTAGCCACGTCAGCACATAACGGACTCTTTTAACGGAGTTGGACGGAAACTAACGGCGAGTGACTAAATGTGTCCAATTTTAGTAATTGTAGTGACCAAATTTGATATTAACTTTTTCTAGTGACTAAACATGTCCCGATTTTGTAATCTCAGTGACCAAATATGTCTTTAACCCCATTAAAAAAAAAGAGCTTTGGATCCGGAAGAAACCAAAACCTGGTCAACCTAGATAGATCCAACCACCCGACCTGAACTGGTTTCAGGAGCCAGGCCCAGGGCCGCAATGCTGTGATGTGATGTGTTGAGTTTCGGCAATTCCAAGGCCTCTTGGCATAGAATTTCCCAACCAATACACAACAAATCACAACCCACCCAGCTTCGTTTTCACCGAAACCACCCTCTTAGTGCAACAACACAACGCCCTCGTCGCCTTCCTTCCCCCTCCCTCCACATTTACTCCTCTGATTCTTCGTCCCCGCATCCTCTCAAGCTCGCCCTGCTCTTCTGCATTCCTCGTAGCCATTCTCGCCAACAGCAGGAGGTAAAAACTGCTCCTTCTAGGCTCCTACTGACTACATGATTGCAATGTGATCTATTCTATTGCTTCTGTTGTTTTCTGCTGCATTTGGTCAACCGGTTCTGCAATTTTTTTAAAATGTAGTTCCTCTTTTTGTCGTTGGAACTAGTCGAATCCATTTCTTTGCTAGTGTAGATGTGAAAAGCTGCAGTCTTTTTGCTGCGAGGAATCTCGGGTTGCTTTTACCTTTTCCTGGGTCGAAGAAATGACACTGATGCTGCCATATAGTGCAGTCTGCTGCTGCCTCGTTTTTATGTCATAATGGAACTAGTTAACTATTTACCTGAGCTTGAAATATTCAAATGCCTGTTAGATTTCAAGACTTGGCTGCAAGGATCTTCTTCTGGTTCAAAAATATGTCTCACTGGAACACTTTCTTCTGGGTAGCAATTTTGTTTTTAATATTGTTTGCTTTTCTTGTCGTTTCCTGTTTCAGCTTACTGATTGAGAATGTTCATTAGATTGCCCTTGTTGATCTTGCACTGGTTATTTTCATTTCATTAGGTTCCCCTTTCTGGCTTCTATTGTTGGTTGGCAGCATAGCATGTTCATGTTTGTGCCAATGGTGCAACCCAATTTCTGTATTTTGATCATATGTTTTGTCTTCAGGACCTTGCAGAGTTTTGACGATAAAAATAGGAAGAATGGCTGCAGCTGCGACTCCTACTGCAGGTGTGGCAAGGGCCAGGACTTGCATCTCATCCCCCCATAAAATGTTGATGTCAAGGGCAGCAATTCTGAGTACAACGTCCAATGATGCATCTATGACTAAGCTTTCAAGCTCTTCTTGCATCTCATTGAGCCATTCCTTCTTAAAGAAGCCTAATTCAGTGATTATGAAATCTAAACGAGTTATCACAACAAAAGCAGTCTCCTCGGCAAATGAAACCAGCCCCTTGCCAGGACTTCCTATCGATTTAAGAGGTTTCTCTTTCACTTTTCGCCTTTGTTAGCCAGTCATAGTAAACTAGTAATTAGTTTGAACAATCATTTGTTTCAGAAAAGTGCGCTGCATTTGTCTATTTGGTTTAGCTTCTAAATGTATTGCAACTTTTCCGTTATATGATCTTTATGTATAAAACTTGAATAATGATGAGGGTTTTATATTCACAGGTAAGAGAGCTTTCATTGCTGGTATAGCTGATGACAATGGGTATGGTTGGGCTATTGCCAAATCACTTGCAGCAGCTGGTGCTGAAATTCTTGTCGGTACATGGGTGCCTGTACGTAAACAAACTGATCCAATCCATCAATGAATAGTTCCTTTAAATATAAGATTAGTTGCAATTACTAAATCACGATTATTTTTCAACAGGCGTTGAATATATTTGAAAGCAGCCTACGACGAGGAAAGTTCGATGAATCTCGTGTGTAAGAATGTTGTCTGCTAACTCCTGAATTTTACTGAAAAGATCCTGTTTAAGGAATCTATATCCGAGCTTATGTACCGAGTCCATTGTTGGTTGTCTCAGATTACCAGACGGTTCTCTGATGGAAATTACCAAAGTGTATCCAATGGATGCGATTTTTGATGGCCCTGAGGATGTTCCTGAAGATGTAAGTGACGATAGCACCTTATTTCCTATGTGCTTATATAATATGGAGTAGCATAGTCAGTGGCATGTGCAATTTGTGCAGATAAAAACAAACAAGCGCTATGCAGGATCCTCCAATTGGACGGTGAAGGTAACAAAAAAATTCTTCCATGGACCATGATAATGGCAACTACATTCTACCTTCTCTCTCTTTTGTAAATGATGGGTGATGTGGTTGAGTGATGTTTTGCAGGAGCTTGTTGAATCAGTGAAGCAGGATTTTGGCTCTATCGACATCCTTGTCCACTCTCTTGCTAATGGTCCAGAGGTCTGTTACCCTGATAGAACTTCTGCTCTTTTTATTGTCACTCAGTATGTAATTCTATTTTTCTGAAACTGATTTACTTTCTCAGGTCGCCAAGCCTCTTCTGGAGACTTCGAGGTTTGGGTACCTTGCAGCCATCTCTGCATCAAGTTACTCCTTCATATCCCTCCTGCAGAACTTCGTTCCTATAATGAATCCAGGTGCTGTCTTCCACCACGAATATCCTTCAAAGGGGAATTCCAGTCATCTGCTAATATGAACTTTACTTGTTGAAACTTCAGGTGGTGCAACAATTTCCTTGACCTACATTGCTGCTGAAAGGACCATTCCTGGGTATCAATTAACACTTCGGGTTTAGTCTCAATCAGTGGATTAGTTTGATGTTGTTGCATTTATAACTAACTATTCTTACATTCTACATTGCAGTTATGGTGGTGGGATGAGTTCAGCCAAGGCTGCATTGGAGAGTGACACACGTGTGAGTTAATATGAAGTCTCAGTTTGGTGTAGCTTTTTCATGCAGCTGAATCTGTTAGGTTTGAACATAGTTCACATAGTTTGTATCCATCTTCACAATTGTTGTGTTAATTCAGGTGCTTGCTTTTGAAGCTGGAAGAAAGCACAAAATCAGAGTCAACACAATATCTGCAGGTACCAACTAAGCTGTGATGGGAAATATGGTGCATTAACTGCATTCCATCAAAACCATCTGGATAGCAAGATCAACTGGCGCAAAAGCAATCGATAAATTTATGTGAGGACATGCTTATAATGTTAGGGTCTGATAACTTCCATGCCTTGGCAGGTCCCTTGAGAAGTCGGGCTGCAAAAGCAATCGGTTTTATCGATATGATGATTGAGTACTCGGAAACCAATGCGCCCCTCCTGAAAGAACTATCTGCAGGTTAGCAAAATCTAATCCCTTTCTGCTTCACTTTTACTGTCTGTAGATATATAAGTATACCATCATAGCACACTGATGTGAGCTCACTGTTATGTTAATTCTGCAGAGGAAGTAGGGAATGCTGCTGCTTTCCTGGCTTCGCCTTTGGCTTCAGCCATCACCGGAACTGTCTTGTATGTCGACAATGGTTTAAATGTCATGGCCGTTAGCACTGACAGCCCAATACTTGAAGAGCTCCACGTTCCAAAAGAGAAATAAACACACCTAAGCAGGAAATAGCCCAGAGCTTCTAAATTTTGTTATTTTGTTGTTAATTTCAGAGTAAACAATAAATGCTGCTCTTCCTATCTCGTTGGACTTGTGTAACATTTTTACATATGCAGAGAGCTGATTTCAGTTGAATCGAACAGAGAGCGAACAAAGAGCTTTGCATCTTTAGCATGGAACTTTGTTTGGTAGTGAAGCTTTCTGCAGAGCATAAACTTGGGAATAATCTACAATTATGCACCTTGAGATTCTAGTCAGCAGAGCTGGCTTCTTGAGTCCTATGTGGCATCAGCTCCTTTCCAACCCCGACTGAAGAGCACATCAACTGCAACGCTTCAAACACAACTTAAAAATGAGAATTTCCAGAAAATAGCTAATAAAGCCATGAACTTTATTATATCATGAACAAGTTACTGTTTGATTTCACACCTGCCAATCACTGTAGTCGAATTTGAAGACAAAATGCCGGTAAGAAACATCGCCGGAAGCAATCATAGTGGCTGATGGTGCATTCCTCGGAGCTGCAAGGTCACGAGAACATTAGAGAGAAGGGTAACAAAGCAGGCAGAGAGGAACTGGAGAAAAAAGGGGCAAACAGTTTTCCCATTAACAAAACTTACAGACTATATGGCGACCAGATTCATCATCAACTTGAATCTCGACCCTTCCGTCTTTTACAAGGAACGACAATGCAAACAAATTCTCCACCGTCTGCGAAAACGAGCTACTGTTCAGTATCAGGTGTTCAAGATCCACCTTCCTCTCCTTCCTCAAGATACTGAACATGGTCAGCATAGTTTCATCCGTCGTGCCCGTCTTCTCCTGTTCCTCGACGTGAGGATCGACCTGCACGAGAGACCGAAATGGGTTTTAATCAAGACAGCTCACAAAGTTTCAAACCGTTCTCATCGTTCATATTTTTATAAACTAACCAAACCTGTTTCGGCAAGGCAGATTTTTCGCTGGGTCGCCGGCCTCTCCTAGCTGCAGGCTTCCTCTGCTTCACTGCACTGTTTGTGCCAACCCTGTCGACGTATGAACATTTTACCATCAGCATAAGCAAAAACATATCAGAGTTTCGAATATTTGGCTTTGTTCGAGATGTAAAAACAAGCTGATGATTACATTGTGGAGCATCCTCGAAAGGGCTTGAATATATGAGACACTGAAACACCAATCTTCTGCCAATTAACAGACGATCTCTTTCGATCACCATGCCTGTAGTGCTGCACTCTGCCAAAGTCTCTAAGTACGAAATCGATGAACTTGGAAGGCGTAATGGCGTTGGAATTGATCTTGGCTCCTTTCACCAACGAACTTGTAATCCCCAACAGAGCCTCTGCATCAGCCAATTGCTCCCTCGGTCTGGTCACTGTAAAAGCAACGGAAAAAAAAACCCCCCGAAAACCTAAGATTGCTTGTGCGCCAAGTAATCGAAAAAACCCTATCTCTGTACAAAGTTTTGATTGATTAATTCGATTACCTCGCTCGTGCAAGCTCTGGAGCTGGTTGAAGATGGTGTTGAACTTGTTGGATTCCGCGCTTCCGATGTCGTCTGCTTCATCTGCGATCAACATGGCGGCGAAAGAGAAATAGGGGAAATTCTAATTGAAAACCCTCGGATGCGTATTGATCAAGCAGGAAGAACTCAGACAAGTAGTTGTTTTCACCTTGGATGAGATTCTGGACAGTATGGTACTGAGAACGGAGAACTCTGCAGTCACTCAAGTCGACGGCGGCCGCATTGTCGGGGCCGGCGCCGGGCTCGGGTTTCACGGGTCCGGTGCCGGGCTCGCGTTTAACGAGTCGGGTCATCAGTTGCCGTTGTTTGCTTGTTAGATTGTGGATGGAAGCAAAAGCTAAAGGCAATGGAGATTCAGAGAATCCCAAGAGTCCTTCCGGCGGTTTGAATTTTCTCAGTTTTCTCTCTTCTTAATCTGTGTCTCTCTTACAGGGGAAGCGAAAGATTGAAATTGTGCATTCGTTAGAAAAAAGAAAAAAAAGATTTTGTCATCCGTGCAGCACTCGGAAATTAGTTGGGCTTTTCAGTTCTGGATCTGGGCTTAGCTTTTCTGTACAATGCCTCGTAGCCTTAATAGTTAATACAGAACCTTTTGGTCTATGTTTTGGTTGGTTTTGTATAAGTTATAGTGATTTATTATTTATTGGGTAATTATTATAAAATTATTGATTAACCATTGATATAATCATTCATACAATGTATGGCTCGCTCTAACTACAACTTCTCAATCGAAGGTCAAGTTTAACCAACGATTGGGTGTAGTATAGGGTAAGCAAGTAATAAAATTATCGAACCACAGGTCCCTAGATGTAGCTTAATTTGGCCTAAGTTTCGTTATCTACCCAACCTAGAATAGTGATTAAGCTAACTAGCCTAACTACTCTACCCTAGTTAATTACAAGTTTGGAGCTCTCTTAGCTTGAATCGTCGTAGTTCCATCATTTAGACCGATGTTGTGTACCATCATAGGTCGATTGACTCGTTATCCATACCGTTAGGCGATCAACTCTCTTAGGAATGTCCCGGAATGGTGAAGTGATGGATTGATAGGTGCTCTATTCAACCTAGGAAAATGATCGAATTGACTCCCTCGGAGGATTACTCGGACGACATAGATGAGGAGTGATCCTAATTTCCAGAATGGGCAAATAGGGGGGATCTTCTCCCACCTAGATGAAAATCTTAATTGACATGAGATAGAATCAAAACTCATGCAATCCATGATAAACATCCATCAAATAGATAATATGAACAATCAAACATAGGATTTGTCACATACATCAACATCTAATCAAAATCTAGACATGGGATTCTTCAACCTAAGAGAAAAAGGCGAATTCATAAAGAGAAGAGAGAGATTACAAAATAGCTCAAGATCTTCATCTTCTAGGCTTGAATCCTTGACTCCAAGATCAACTCAAGCCCCCAATCAAGCTCCAAGATCTATCTCTCTCTCTCTCTCTCTCTCTCTCTAGAAATGCCACTTTGGTGTTTTGGATCAAAACCCTAAAATAAAAATCAAGCTCTCCTTATCTCAACAGCTAGGTCGTGATCTCATCTGTTAACACTGCAGTCGTGGCCAATGTTCATGGCCTCATTTGCAAAGATCACAGCCTGCGACCGTGATCTCAGACCTGCCCGCGAGATGGTCATCTTCTTCTGGAACCTTGCCGACTTCACACCCTTGTTGCCATTTTCACACGGTCTGGGGTCGTGATATTTGAGTTCAGGTCGTGATCTTCACCTCTTCTTCAACATTTGGGGCATTTTGATCCCTAATTGTCCTGAAACTCGTCCCCAACCTTCCTACACGTACTAGGACCTAAAATGTGATAAAAAGAAGCACAACCTAGCGTAAAATAGGTCGAAAAACAACAATTACCAAGTCAAACAATCAAGATATAAAGGAGTAAAACATGTATAAATATGTCTGAATCAATGTAAAAAAGGCGGCATATATAATATACTAATTTATGATGAAATTTTGTCACTAACTATAAATAATTTATAACCTATATCATTTATCACCAAAATTTATAATGTATCATCCAAACCCTCTCATAAATGAAATCATACAAAATTGTTATCAAACTCAAGTTAGTAATTAGGATCAATGAAGTTAAAATCCCGCTTTAAAACTTAAAAACTTACGATTTACGTTTCTAGGTCACTAAAACGCTTCTACACAAAATCTCAGTTTTTATGATTAAAATACTATAATGGGTAGCGGATCACAGAAATAGAAAAGGAAGTGCAAAGTGAAGAAGACGAACTGGAATTAAAATGAGTAATTAGGGTTGGATGATATTAGTTCAAGTTATAGTTTTTTTAAAATTATGATTAAAACACTAAACCAGTTGGTCAATTAAACTAGTCATGATCTCAACGGTTAATATTTCATGCAATGTATCCCGAATCTGTTCCTCGGATAAATTTATGTCATTTAGGGTGTATTAGATGATATTTGTGTTTTTTGCACAAAAGGGGTCATAAGTGTAGGAAAAGGAGCAAAACAAGGAGATCACGGCCGAGAAGAGGAGGAAAGAAGTCAAGCAGCAAGATTACGGGCTTTGGAGCAAAGATCGCGCTCACGATCTGGGGAGTGTCAGTCGTGAACTTGAGGAAGCATCCACCAAGGAAAGATAGCTGGATAGTCGACTCGTAGTCTTAGTTGTCCAAGACCGCGAGAAAGATCGCGACCATGAATCATGGATTGCGATCGTGAAGTCAGGCCGCGAACTCCAGATTCAGCCATGGCAGAAATAATTCATTTCAAGATCACGGCCTGACACCCAGAGTTCAACCCCGCGATCTCCTAGCCCTCAACCGTGAACTTGTCTGTCCTCCTGAAATCTATAAATAGGGGACTCCTTCACCTTCAAAAGACAACTGAAAAACACTTGTAAAATTTATTGTTTTAGAGAGTGATTGGAGAGAGAAGTTGAGGGAAGGAGAAGAAGAGAAGGAGCCAAGAAGGAAGTGATTTCTCACCAATCCCCCATCTCTAGTTTTCTTCTCCATTCTTCCATGTATCTTCTTTCCCCTTTATGGGGTAGTTACTCAAGGTACTAGGGCTTTAATTCCAAAGTCCTAGCTTTAGGTTTTACTATGTACAAGGAATTTTGTTAGGGTTTGTGAATGAAATGAGTTTAGCTAGATTTTATAGGCATTTATCTATATTGTTTATGGTTTGAACTTGTCTCTCCATATGATTTTCATGATTGCCTATGTAGGATTTGCATGAGATGGTTATGGATTTGAGTGGTTTGGCATGTTAGTGTAGATGAAAGATCTAGAGGTTGGATTGGGCGTCGAGGTGACCATCCCCTGCCAGTTGGGATACCCACATAGGTAATGCTAGGACGATACGCGGGTGACCATCTATATATTGAATAGTGTGCAGATAGGTGCAACCTATTGAAAGGGAATATACCATATCCTTAGTTCGTGAGCCTGATCGAGGTGACATGGGTCAGCGAATCAGATTGGGAGGGGGGCTAGTTTCATGACCATTGAGATAGTCCCCACATTAGTGAGTCCCAGACTTTGTTTCCCACAAACCAATAGAGTTATCCTTTTGCATGATAGGCCTAGTATCTAGGGTGAGGTGATGCCCTAGTACCTGCTTTTTATCTATGCTTTTATCGAGTAAATAACGACCGAATGAGAAGTAGTCTAGGATATCGAGACCCTTGGAATACTACATTGGTCAATCGTTATACTGGCAATGACATCTCGAGTTATACTTGACTCAAAATGGGTTGGTTAGTTCGAGTCGTGCAGCCAATTAAATAACCTGCATGGGGTGCTACCAAGTTTTGCTTGCATTGAAGTGGATGCTCTAAGGAGTAAGTGAAGTTCATTTGGTGGGTCGGAAAGCTGATTTGGTGCAAAATTCATATTTGCTAAACCTACAAAATTTTCTCGTTGTTTTCTTGTTTGTTAAAGATCAGTGACCTGAACTAATAATGGGACAAAGAGTGATGACCTAATAATTTAGGTGCCTTTTTATCATTTCTCTGTACGAGAACGTTAGAGGAGCGACTTGAGAATTTTGATCATTCAAAGTGTATTTTTCAATCCCCTTTGTTAATTGGACCATATTTCATTCGCTTACACTTGAAATTAAAGTAATTTACATAAAAAGAGCGCCTTAGTATTATGTACATAATGTTGTTCATGTTGCTATATTTTGAGTGAAATTTTTTCAAAATACATATTTATTGTCATCTTATCACTATCATACCATCATCTTTTCATTGTGGGTAATACTTCATACTATCATCTTACAACTACTATATAATGGATCTTACTACTATGATATGATTAATATAATATTATTATCTTACATTACCATCATCTTATTACCACTATTAAAAATTAACCCCTCAAGGTTAGGAATAAGTGTTAAATGAAATAGAACAAGAACAAAACAAAACAAAAAGTGCTTATAAGAACGATGAACGAACGGCTTCGAGACTGCCAGCTCAGCATTAATTACAAACAAAGCCTGAAAATCTGATCCACATACCTCGAAGCTCAACCCTTCACTTTCCTCACAATTACACATCAGCCCACCCCGAATTCGACCCGTCAGGCCACCAGGCCACGGCTAGTGACGACAAGGTTGTCAAACCGGTTTATACCGTTATGCCGGTTTGGCAAGTGAAATGGTACGACTGGTGGTATAACCAGTTTGTGCCGATTTAAAAAATGTGAAAATAATTAATATTCAATGTATTTAATCATATATAAAACATATTTGTGGACAATTTAGTTACAATCCAACAAACATAATCAATTTTTAACTATTAAATTCATAAAATAATAATAAATTAGTTTTTTATTAATTAAATTCATTAAAATGATGTCATTTTGCTTAAAATGCTGAAGTCGATCATACCAATCATACGGGTGGTGTCATGCGGTTTTATGACCGGCACAGATTGAACCATATAACCCTCAGGGGCAAAATCGACAAAGTGCCTCCTCCCATCACCCCCTTCTCTCCTCACGCACCCACCACCACGTCCGCTTAAGGCCAGATTAGGGCGGAATCTCCGCTGCTCAAAATTCTCCCATCGGAGCGTTTCCAACGATTTCAAAAAAATTCGACAAAATCTTCGGATCTTTGTATAAAGAATCGGAGCCATCTTCGCATTTCATTCACTGCCTTTGCACTGTGATGCTTCTTCTTCTTCTTCTTCTTCTTCTACCTCTGTAGGTTCCTTCTCCCCAAAATTCCCAGTCAGTTCTGATTCTTCATTGGGTCTGAGAGATAGCGCGAAGATGAAAGCCTCCCTCAAATTCCGCGACGAGCAGAAGCCGCTGTTCCGAGCCAAGGTCCCGCTGAGCATTCTGGGCTTGCCTTTCCAATCCGGAATCGTCGCCGGCGAGGCCAAGGAGCTCTCTCTCAACCTCTCCACGTTCTTCGATTCCGGCCCGTCGTTCAAGGTCGCCTACCGCCCAAACGATTCGTGGAATCCGTTCTCCCTCGTGCTCAAGACGGGGTCGGGTTCGTTCGGCTCGCCGACGTCGAGCCCGATGGTGATGAGCGCGGAGTTCAATTTGGTCGGGAAGGGGAACCCTAGCTTCATGCTTCATTTCAAGCCGAGGTTTGGGGATTTCTCGATCAAGAAGTCGCAGGCGTCGTCGGGTTTGGAGAAGAGTATGAAGTCGTGGCAGAACGGCGTCGCTGTGAGCTCTTCGTCGGATGAGGATGGGTCGCTGGAGGTTGTGGAGAAGCCCGTGTTGAACGGGATTGGACCCGGCGGAGGGATCGACATCGGCGGGGTAGGGTTCAACGCCAAGAGGTTTTCCGCCCTGCCTCCGCCGACGTCGAACGCGCTCGCGGCGGCTCTATCTGGAGTGGAAGTCACGGCCAACACGAGTCTCCCCGTGAGGAGTCACGCCGTGATGAGTTTCAGGTGGGGGCTTAGGGTTCCGGCGGACAACAAATTAGGGGGTAGTGTAGCTGGAGACCTCGATTCGATGGCTGCGGCGATCAATTTCAAGAGGATCCCTTTCCTGGTGATGAACAAGATCGGGATCGAACACGTCGCCCAATCTGCTTCGAAATCCGAACCGGCGGCGAACACCGAACCTAAGCCGGACGTGGCGGAGACTTGCTTGGCTGTGAAGCGGCAGTTGGACATTCTGCAGATGGAGAATACGTCGCTGAAGAAGGCCATGGATGATCTGAGGCGCGAGATTGGCGCCAGCAAATTCCTTGTGCCATCATCACCAACCCATGATTCTAGCTTCAGCAGCAGCAGCAGGTACAGAGAGCCGGAGAGAATGGGAGCTAGGAACTCCAGCGGGAACCGAAATGAGAAGAGGAGTTCCTCGGTGGAAGGCGATGTGAGCGAGGAGCTGAAGAAAGCTCTGAAAGGAGCTGCTGCAGCAGGAGGCGGTGGTGCTTGAATTCTCCATTATGGGTCTGGTTTAAATTAGAAGAAGTGTTTTGCTGAGTTATGTTGATTCTGCATGTCTTGCTTAGGGTTTAATGGCTGGTTTTGGAGGTAGTCGTAATGGTAAGAACTTGATGATTGTATATTGCTATGCTTAATAACAGATGAATTGAAAAGCAGGGTTTTTTTGCTTGAAATTGATATGAATTGGATATGGTTCCAGTAGGAAGAGCAGAAATCAATCAGATGAAAGGGGAGGAAAGGTGGTGTAGATGAAGTGTTGGAAAATGTTCAACCTCTCTCGGGCCAGAAAGTTGTCATATTCATTGGTGGCTGAATTCTGTTTCCTGCACACTGTTGTTTGTGTTGTTAGGGTTTCTGTTGACTCCATGGAACTTCGAGGTTTGCTGATCGCGGTCCTTCGATGGCCAGCTCGAGGAAGAACTTTGGTTAGGGTATTGCAGTTGATTGCAATGGGTAGGGCAGGGGCAGTCCTCTGTGTGGAGGACTGAGTAGTTCTGGAAAGTTGCTCAAGTGTCTATTATGCCTCGGTGACATTTGCGCGCGTCGCCTTACTTCATCGACGTGTCGATGAACTCATAGGTGATGCGTTTTGACATTGTCTTTAACGCCTATGCATGTCTTAAAGGTTGTATGCGTTTTATCAAACATGATTTCTAGAGAGTTGTAAACTCATTCCATATTAAAGGGTAGCAAATGTCTTTCGGTTTTTATTAGTCAAGTTTTTTTCTTTGTTGGTACGTCTGAACCCTGAAGCTGAGATCATATTCAAATTCAACTATTCATAGATATGGCAGGCTACAAGGCTGATGCAAACGTCTGCTCGATCTTCACGTACCAACGCTTTCATACATTAATCGAAGAAGAAGAAGAAGAAGGCCCATGGGCCGTTGGCGTTCATCAATTGGATCCCTAAAGAAGTGGGTAAGCCCAAATCTTATTGGGCTTCCAAGTCATCACCGCCACCCTGCACGTGAAAGACAGATCACCAAGGTTGTCAAACCGCGGGTCGACCCGGACCCGGACGAGCTAGTGGGTCATGGGTCAATGGGTCACCCGTTTTAGCCCGGTTTAGCCCGGAAATATGAAAAGAGTCAATATATTCTATTTATATCCTGAATCCAACATACGGTTGCGATGATTCATTGCCGGATGCCATTCTCAAAACCTGAATATCACAAAATTGTATTAAACTATAGTTATACGAAAGAAAAAAAACCAATCTAAAATTCTTCTTCCACATCAACAATCTCTAACTAACAAATAACAATTCATTAATTTAACTTCTCCACATATCTAATTCGCGTTACCACCTGCCAAAAGGTTCCAAACATTCATCAATTAATAAAATCAACCAAACCCTTACATTCATGAAAAAAAAAAACCAACCCCTTACCAATCAGAGTTCGAATATCAAACAGAGGGAGGAGGTCGAGCTGAGGCAGAGGAAACTTGATGGCGGCCAAGCTCGAGCTGGAGATGGCGACGAGACCGACCCGACCTGAGGCAGAGGAAACTTGATGGCGGCCAAACTCGAGGTTTCGAGTGGTCGAAGGCAGATGGCGGCGCTCAAACTCAGATTGGTCGGAGGACAGAGCTCGAGCGGCTGTGGGAACGGAGCGGGAGCTAGTTGCCGCCGACGAAGAGGAACACGGCCCGGCGATGGCGATCGAGCGGCGCCTGTGGGGTGTGAGGTAGGGCTGCGCCGCGGGTTGGAGAGGAGAGGTCGTGCGATGAAGGAATGGTAGGGTTTTTTATTTCAGACCCTGCCCTCCGCCTTCTCCCGGCCAAAACGTCGCCGCGCCAGTCTAAAACGCAGCGTAAGGAGAAGAACCAAGTGCCCCGCTCTGGACGGGCGAACCGCCCGGGTTAGCCGGGTTTGACCGGGTTTTCCCGGGTTTGACCAGATCCGGGCTGACTGTCAAAAGGGTTGCATTGGCCCGTTTTTGGGGCGGGTCCGGGTCAATCCGGTTTGACCCGTGGATCGACCCGCGGGTTGACAACCTTGCAGATCACCAACTTCACGGCTCTGACTTTTATTATTATATTTTATTTTTTTCCCCTAGTGGCGCCGAATCTTTCCCCAAACGAAGGCACCAACCCAAAAATTAACCGCTCCCAATTAATCAAAGCTGAAAATCCCTAATTAGTAATTAGTAATTTGTCTGTGACCTAAAATTCAATTCCCCCAAAATAATTGTGAAATTGAAGCTTGATTGACGAATCTCCCCAAACCCATCTTAAAAGTAAAATCATTTCACATTATTACCAACCAATAAATACAAAAAATATTAAATATAAATAATACTATTATTATTATCTTCTCACTCCTGCGGAATCAATTTTTCCTTCCCTCGTTCGTTTTCCTACCCTATCTCTCTGTCTTCCCTTTGCTTCGCTTCGCTTCACCCTCTTCTTTCCTTTCCTTCCACAGGCTGTATAATAAACCGTCTCGCCGCCGGTCTGCCCTTCTACCCATTAAGGGCTAGCTGTTTCTTCCGCTGCTGCTTCTGCTCTTCAGTTCATCTCTTTATCTTTCTTTGGGGTTTTAGTTGGGTTCTGGTTGGTTCTTCGGCTGCTGTTGGGACTGTTTGGTCGCGTTTTTTGTTGTTGTTGTTGTTGCTTCTGGATCTGAATCTCTTGGGAGCCAGACTGTAAATGGATACGAGGAAGAGAAGGCCTGACGGGGCAGCTAACAGCTTCAATGGCGGATTCAAGAAATCTAGACAAGGTAAGTTTCTTTCATGCTATGCCTTTTCTACTACATATAAGCGCCCCTCTTTGGCCAGTAGGTGAAGTAATTGACCGGGAGTTGTGGGGGTGATTTTGGCTGCTGGGTTTTGTTTGCCATCCCTTCATTGAGCTCCTGTTGACTTTGTAGCTTAAAGTGGTTCCTTTTTCTTCTGGGTTGCTCGTTACTTGGGAAGTTTTGCTCTTGGAACTTACTGTCCACCATGGGAACAATTAGCTTCTCTGTTTTGTCAATTTTGTTTATTGGTGAAGAAGGACGAAAAATCTTAAAGAGTAGCTGTAGCTGGTGAAGAGGAAGTTTCTTGGTATAGGCAAAACCGCGAATCTGTCTGGGGAACTGAGTGTTTTCCCGGTTCTTGAGATTTCTAGGGTTTTTTTTAAGCTCTCAAGTTGCTGGCTATTTTGCCGATGGAATGTGGGGTATCTATCCTTTATCAGTGTATCTTTTGTAGTAAGGTAGCTCTGCTCAAAGTTCAGTGGGCATTGGTGATTATGAAAGTCACTCAAACATGGTGATGTTGGAAGTCACTCAATCGTGATTTTGCTTTGGGGTACTTGTGTAGTAATTCATGAAATCTTACCTATTACTTACAGTTAACGCTATTATTACTAAAAATTTGATGAGATTATCGCAGAGATTTAAAAATCTTCAAAACATTCAACTGAAGAAAGGCAATTAATGTTTGTTAACAGAAACAGACTCGTTATCAACTGGTGTAGGAAGCAAATCGAAGCCATGCACCAAGTTTTTCAGGTTCTAATCTTTTCTCACCTAAATAATCATCTCGGATTGCAGTACTGATGTGAAGCATTCTAAAGTTATTGGGGGAATTGAATTCACCACTCATAACGTTTCTGCTTCTCTAATGAAATTGGTATCATACACTTACAGGTACAAACTTGTAACTCTGCCCTTCATCCAATCAAGTTAACTAATTTATTTAGCAGAGAGACATTGGATAACAACTGTATCCCAGTAATAGTTGATTGCCTCCAATAGTTGTAGCCCAAAGGGGGGCTCCAATGTTACTCAATAATTTGAGGGAGTTGATTTTTATTGTAACAACTACTTAAATACACTACTGAGTATTGATTACCACTATGTAATGGTAAGCTAAAGTAAAACTTTTCGAGGTCAGATATATTGCATTGCCTGCAGCAGAGTCATGTCTATTGAGGTAAAATAGATGGTAGTTCATTCCAAAATCTCAATGGATGAGGTTGATGTCTAAAAGCTGAGTGAACTTGCTATCCAGGTTGATTTTGCCCATGTACATACTAGTTCCTTGTTTTGGAATCTTAGCGAATTCAGGTTTTCTTGTCACTTGGTGTGTCGGTGCATTTGTGGCTTGTTGGTTTCTGAACATCAATCAATAGTGTTTTCTTCTTTTTGTTCTCAAGCATCTGATCAATGAATTTTTTACATCACTACTGGATGGCATGTATTCCCTCTTAGTTCAGGATATGCCTGGCACCAGCTTAGTGTTCTGGACTCTTCTTTGGGGGTCATAAGACATAAACCATCATTTTAGAATGCTTATTTCATGATGATTGCATTCTGAGCTGACTTATTTTCTGTAATGCAGCACTGCTGGCTGTCCGTTCGGCGAGGGTTGCCACTTCCTGCACTATGTACCTGGTGGGTACAATGCAGTGTCCCAACTCATGAACAAGTCATCCAGCACACCCATGCCAAAGAACAACATGCCTCCGCCTCAACCAGGCTCCAACGGCTCTAATAATGCACACTCAGTAAAAAACCGCTTGTGCAACAAATACAACACCGCTGAAGGATGCAAGTATGGTGACAAGTGCCATTTTGCACATGGTGAGTGGGAGCTCGGGAGGCCAGTTGCTCCATCTCTTGACGATCATCACCATCGTATGCTGGGCCCACCTCCTCCAGGTCCCCGCATGATGAACCGGATGGAGCCGCCTCCACCCGGCCCTCTAGTCGGCTTTGGCGATACTGCTACCGCAAAGATCAGCGTTGATGCGTCCCTGGCAGGGGCCATCATTGGAAAAGGCGGTGTGAACTCGAAGCAGATATGCAGGCAGACAGGGGCCAAGCTATCGATCAGGGAGCATGAGACGGATGCTAATCTAAGGAACATCGAGTTGGAGGGTACGTTTGACCAGATTGGTCAAGCTAGTGCCATGGTCAAAGAGCTAATCGCAAATATAGGTCCAGCTGGTGGCCACGGCCATGGCAAGCCGTCGTCGGGTGGATTCTCGGGGGAGAAGCATCATCCTGGAAGCAACTACAAGACGAAGATATGCGACAATTTCAACAAAGGTGCTTGTAGCTTCGGTCAGAGGTGTCATTTTGCTCATGGAGCTGCTGAACTGCGCAAGTCAGGGGTATTATGTTAGTTGTGTTCAGTCTTTTGCTGTAGCTTGGTAGATTGGATGAACGGGCAGTGTGCGCGCACAGTCTTTGTACTAGTGAGGGTTTGGATTATGTTTTTGACTGTTCTGATGCCACTTAGCTGAGAAAAGACAGAGGTTTAATGCTGATACGAACAGATTGGAGCTTCGTTCGCTGTTTCACTGTTTTGAGTTTGTGTTGTGTTTACTAAGAAGCTGGCTGCTCTTCATTTCTGGCATGGTCCATTCAACCGTACCTTACCGACGGTTCAACCACAAAATACCAGTATCGGAGGCTAAATCGATAGGCGGTATTCAACAGTACTAACGGTTGAACTACGTTTAAACCACGGTTTTGTCATAAAATATCCTATCGCTGACTTTTCCGATATGGTCTCTAGTACGGTTTCATGGACCATGATTTCTGGACCTTTTATCTTTGCTGTTTCATTGTTGTGTTTTGAGATGGAAAAGGCTCTTACCCTAACTAGCCCTACCATTCCTGATACTAAAATATAATCGTTAGTTTCCGGCCATGTTGTAACTGTTATTGAATCTATCATGGAAAGAGACGACTGTCTTAAGAAAAACCAAAGTCTCACTCACTGAACTGAACGATAAATCACTAAATTTTCGGTTTAGCGTCCAGCCGGTTATGAAAATGTAGTCTGGAGTCTGGTACTATCTAACGTGGATCAGCAAATATTTGGGATTGATCTGTCAATAGTGAAAATCTGGGAGCTAAACTGAACTTTGGCCAAGGAATCCTATTTCTTCTCGAGTCATGTGAACCCTTTCAATCTTTCTTGTCTTCATTCCTTATTAGGGTTAGGGTTTTTAGCTTCCCCTGCCACTCCCCTTGTTTATCTCTCGTGCTATCCTCAGACCAAGCGCCAAGTTACTTCCTTTTCCCTCCCTTCTGGGTTATTGGAGCATTGGGAATTTCGTTGTTCGTGAATTTGTCTCTCTGTCGCTCGTTGAGCCTTCCCTTCTGTTTCTGGATCTGAATCTGTTGCGGGCCGTCAATGGAAGCCAGGAAGAGAGGGAGGCCTGAAGCCAGCGGCAACTCTAATGGTGGATTCAAGAAATCTAGACAAGGTCAGTCTCTCTTTCACTTCGGTGCTTTTCCTCTTTGTTAGTTGAGATTGCGAAAGCTCCGGTTAGTTTCGACCTTATTTTGGGCGTCCGGTGAATTGTAATTGCAGCAGAGAGTTATGCCAAGTTATTTTCAGTTTGTTTCTGCCTTCTTTTTTTTTTGTGCGAGGAACTGGAAGTCTGCTTTGATAGAATTTGTAGTTGCAGTAGTATGTCTGTTTTCAGCTTAGGAAGTACTCTGCTTGTTTTGATTCATTCGTTTCTACAAAGAAACGGTAGAGAAACAGATTTGTCTTGGAGTTTCCTGTTTCATGAAGCATTCAATTCTTCAATTTAAGTACCTCGACTAATGGACTGTAGAATTCGTGTTAGCAATAGGATCATATAGTCACTCTCAGTCGAATCATCGTGTATTTATGTAAGTGGTATAGTGCTTGGAATGTTGATTTCTTTATGAACGAATGAAGTTGTTAGTACTAGAACTCTGCTAAGTTGAACTATAATATCGTCTAGTTGAGATTTAAAAATCTTCCAGAACATCAACTGAGAAAACCCAATTAATGTTTGTTATCAGAAATGGACTCGTTATCAACCGGTGTAGGAAGCAAATCGAAGCCATGCACCAAATTTTTCAGGTTCTAATCTTTTCTCACCTAAATAATCGTCTTGGACTGCACATTGTTGTATCACCAGTTAGTACAAACTTCAAATTTACTGCACTTATGACTCAAGGTTTCTGCTTCTCTAATGAAATGGGTATTATACACTTACAGGTACAAGTTTGTAACTCTGACCGCATCAAATCAAGTTAACTAATTGAATTAGTTGGCACCTGTTTACTTGGATAATTATATCCGGACAATATATTTGATCACTAAGGAAGCTGTTCATGCTTGATTCAAAGTGAAATTGTTGCCACAAAGGATGTCATGGAGATGGGGTTAATTGTAAATTCTTCAAGTTTAAGTGCGTAAATGTTACTATTGAATGCAAACTACTGGTAAGCTAAATATTAAGCAGTTTCTCAGGTAAGACGAATCGCATTTTGGTTATAAATTACAAAGTGTCTTTGCAGAAACTGTGGTTTTGCTGGTTTAACAGTAATGCGTATGTTTCTAATCTTAAGAAAACTGAATGTTTGTCGCACTCTTCTATCAAGTAAGCATTTATCATATCAAGGAACTAGTCAAGTATCATTGTTTGGAACTAGTCAAGTAACCATTTCAATTTTTAAAAGTCTAAACCTTGCACCCTGATTGATTTCTGACCCCCAAGACTTGTATGCTACACTTCCGACCTCTGTGCTTCTCTGTTTTGCTGATTTCGCCACTTGTATACTTCTGTTGCAGTACTAACGGGTGTCCATTTGGTGAGAGCTGCCACTTCTTGCACTATGTACCGGGTGGTTACAATGCGGTCTCCCAAATAATGAATCGGTCCTCCGCCCCTCCCATGCCGAGGAATATCACTACCCCACCACCTATGTCCTATGGCAACACGCCTCCTGGTCCTCCCTATGGTTCTTCTTCCTCCTCCCCTTCAATCAAAAACCGCATGTGTAACAAATACAGCAGTGCAGAAGGGTGTAAATATGGCGACAAATGCCATTTCGCACATGGTGAGTGGGAGCTTGGAAGGCCAGTTCCTCCATCTCATGACGATCCTCGGATGATGGGTGGGCCTATGCCTCCGATGCAGGGGCGTATGGGAGGGATGCGAATGGACCCACCACACCAACCTGGCCCGGTCCCCGGGTTTGGCGATACAGCAACTACCAAAATCAGTGTGGATTCTTCCCTCGCGGGAGCCATTATTGGGAAAGGCGGCGTGAATTCCAAGCAGATATGTCGGCAGACTGGCGTGAAGCTTTCGATCAGGGACCACGAGACGGACCCCAACTTGAGGAACATTGAGCTCGATGGGACCCTCGAGCAGGTCGGCAGAGCTAGCGCAATGGTGAGAGAGCTGATCGGGAACGTTGGTCATGGAGGTGGTGGGCATGGGAGAGGAGGCCCAGGAGCTTCTGGAGAGAAGCAGCATCCAGGTAGCAATTACAAGACCAAGATATGTGATAACTTTAACAAAGGGACTTGCAGTTTTGGTCAGAGATGCCACTTTGCTCATGGTGCTGCCGAGTTGCGGAACTCGGGTGCAGGAGGAGTGTGAAAATTGTAAGTGTTTGTTGTTCCGGATCTCTTTAGGATATGGCTAGTTTAGCTTGGCTGGTTGAGTTTGTGTGAAAGAGAGAGACATGGGTGTATTGGGGGAGCTCTGTTTTTGACTGTGTTAGGGGGATAGATAATATGTTAAGTGGAAGAGACATGGTTGTTCATACCAGCATTCTTTTTAAACGTTTTTGTCTTCCCATGTTTAAGCTAGTGCATCGCATCGTTAGTTAACTTCTTCATTTGATTGCTGGACGAACTTGTTTTTCATTTTGGTGGCCTGGAAACTTGCTTGCAAAGTAGTATTAAGTAGTCTGATTGTAGGGATGAGAATCAGGTGCACATATCTCCGGAATGGCAGTAGAACTTTAGAGCTTCTTGTTTTTGCGTGCAAATGCAATGCCAGAATTGTGGGTCTTTTTTTTTTTTGGTTGTTGTTGCTAGTGGTTCCTGACAGCGGGAGCTTTTGCTACCTCCCATGAACGTGATAAGCTACAGTGATTGAGTCCGAGCTAATATCGATGAAAGTATGAGGTTCTAAATTTGGTCGATCATACTAAATTCTATGTGTTTAAAGAATTTTTCTATGTATTTAAAGAATTTTGTTGCCCATCTTTTTCAAAGTGGGATCCTGATGCCCCTCTCAAGGGCTCCCTCCGCCACCGACCCTAACAGTAATCCTAATAGCCGAATACAACCCTAACGATAACTCTTATCCCCTAACCCCTCAACCTTCCATGTAATCTCTAATAATAATCAATAATTATCCCACAAAATTATTAAAAGAAAGTAGGGTACATGATCCAGAATTTAGATTAGAGTGTTGTGTTCGTATATTTTTATTGTTATTATATCTTAATATCTTAAATATACTACTAGCAATATAAAAGGATGGTTGGATAATAATCTATAAATTTTAAATTAATATTAATAAAATGAAAAATTGACAAAAAAAAAAAAGAAAAAGAAATGAGTACTAAGAATAAATGATTTCCTTGTGCAGGTTTCTAAGAATTCTTTTATTTTTTTGTGTCTTTGCCATTCGTGATGTGCAGATGCGATAAGACGCAATTTTTGTAAGTTTTGTAGTCCTGGGTTTTATCCGGTAAAATGTTAAAATGTTAATAATAAATATATTCCTAGTTGTGTCGTAACACGAAACAACTCCTTTAGTTATATATAGCTTATGTTTGGCCCAGCTTTTAGAAGTGCTTTTCGACTTCAAAAGCTGAAGAAGGGCCAAACACCTCTAAAAACTCGGCTTTTGAAAAGCGCTTTTGTATAACATAAAAGCAGAAGCTTCGGTTTGGAGCTTCTGCGAAAAACTGTTTTGAAAATACAAAATTATCCTTACCATATTTTAATTTTATTTCAAAAAATATAATTTTATTTCATTTATATCATTTTAAAAATAAAATAAATTATAAAATCATATTATTTAATATAAAAGAAATCTAACAAGATCCATTTTGACTACATTTTATTGTTTATAATTACTATTCATAATTTATATTATAAGTTCTTTATAGTCATTTTACATAACCTCTCAAATTGAAAAAAACACTTTTAATAGTTTTTCAGCCAAACACTCAACTGTTTTTTTTTTAAAGTACCTCCTCTAGGGCTTCCATGGATGCTCATTCATTTTATCTTCTTGGCCTCAATACCCTTGTTGAACCTGTTGTGGATAATGGAAGGATTCAAGTTCTTCCTCCGTTCTCTAAAAGCTCAAGCCAGAAGCTGTTTTTGCAAAAGCTACAGCAGGAGCACGAGTTGTACTGTTACATAACATCACCCAATTACCCTAATATACATAGATACTAAATATAATTAGGTTATAGCCACGCGAATTTGGCTTTAGACTAAACCGCGTTAGGTTAGACTTGCGAATCGAGGAGCAAGGGATTTCGAGTTACGACACAACTAGGAGTAAATATAATTAGGTTATATTCCTAGTTTTATAAGATAACGACAACAGCATAAACCTAAAACAAAACTTCCTCAAGCGAAGAGAAAAAGGTAGCAGAAAATTTGGCCACGGCCGCCGGTCTGCTATAATCTGTGTTCAGTTTTCAGGGACAACAACATGGCGATGCACGGGAGCGCTAGGTGTGCACTGTGCCAGTGGAGGAAGGCGGACGAGTGCCCGGCGGACTGCCATTTCCGACCCCACTTCCCCGCGGGCTCGCAGGCTTTCGAGAAGATCAGACGAGTCTACGGCGGCAATGTCGTGGAAATCACATACGGCGCTCTGCCCTTCCCCGAGCAGCAGGCAAGGCTTGCCTTCCTGGCATTGGAGCGCGAGGCCGATGCTAGGATCGAGAACCCAGTGATGGGTTCCTTGGGAACCGTGGCCGTGCTCGAGGAGCAGATCAGGCGCCTTCGGGAGCAGCTGGCGTCCGTTGAGCAGAAGCTGGCGTTGTTTCAGCAGCAGGTGGCGTTGCTTCGGCAGCAGCATCTGCATCCCAATAACAATCTTTGACGAGGAGAGGGAGAGAGGAATAATAACTCGAGTGGTCTGTCTCTTTAGTTCAATTGTGTTTTTTATTATGTGAGTTGGTTGGGGTTTATGTTTCCTAATCGAGTTTCAGATTCGGTGTTAGAAATAGGAAGTTAGGTTTGTGTGTGTCATTAGTATGAACTGTGGAGCTTAATTCTCCCTTGATTATGTAGCATATGCAGTTAGCAATGTTGCAAAAAGATTGATGATATGTATGGTGAAATTTAATATGATGTTGCGTTAAGATTAATACTGTGTTTTTGCCTCCGGTCCTCCACATTGGTTGTTGCTTCCTCCACTTCTTTAGGCGAACTCCAATATTTCGATGCATAATGTTTGTATTTCGAGCAATTATAGTACTGAACGTTGGATTTATCTTGCCCCTTCATTTGACCTCCACCTTCAGAGGTTCTGTCAATTTATATGGGTGGGAAATTTCACATCAAGCCCGTGTAATTTCCTAGAATGACCTAAATGAAAAATGGAGTTTTGGGAATGCACGAATAGAGCTCCAAAAAGCACAGTAGTGTAATGTGGCCATGTTTTTTATCACATGGTCATGAGCTGAGACCATGGCATGGCACAAGGCACCTAGGAGGTTGAAGGAGCAACCATCACTCTAGAGTAGAGGGGGAGCGGTCCTTTGTTGCAGTTGTCAAACATACGGATCTTCAACGCGGTTACCTCCCTGTACCTATAAATAAGGGAGATGGTCGACAGAGGAGACAGAGATTCTCAAAACCGCACAACTTAAGCTTACGTCAAGTTTATCATTTCTCTGCAAATGTAGCCATAGTCGTAGTTTGGAGCTCTTGCTAAACTTTCATAGGAGAAGTAACTTAATATAGTTTTCGTTTCCAAAAATCATAAATCAAACACTCTTGTTCGAACTTTGTTTGAAGAGATGTGAATCATGTCTTAATAATTGTTGTTCAACGAAATTAAAATGCATTTGATTCAATTTAACACGAGTTTTGTCTCTAGAAAACAATTGCTCTGAGCCAAAGACCTTTCTTGTAAGGTTATTAAACCAAATTTTCACAGTGGAGAGCTAGCTACAAGGAGGAGCACCTTTTTTATTCCATTTAAACTCAGATACAGAAAGAGCAAAACGCTGCTACTACAGAACTGAGCAACGCTGCGACATACAACTTTACTACACTTCAAACCACTGCTCCTTTCCAACCCTCAAAACAAACTACAAACAAAAACAAGAAGAAAAACACAACAAAGATGACATTACAGCACACCGGCCGGACTCTCTATGGGTCTCGTCAGCCGGTTTAAATCAGACTGCCACCTGTCCCGGAACCAGGGAGATGCCCAGTAGTGCCGGTGCCTCCGGTGCTGTAGTTCCCATGCCCGCCGGTGAGCCGCTCTCCTTGCTTCGCCGCCGCGTTCTGGGCTTTGGTGCCTTGCTTCATGGCCTCGGCTTCGGCTTTCCTCTCTTCTTTCTTCTCCCTCGCCATCTCCTTCTGCATAGGGTCGTGTGCCGAAGCCTTCTCCATCTGCCGAAACAGACGACAGACGATCGAGCCAATCAAAATTTATGCCCACCATGTGTTCAACGAAATGCCGCAACAAAGAAAAAACTTAACATACAAAGAAAAAAATAATCATACAATGTTAAGTATTATTACCTTCTCCTGGACGCTGGCTTTGGTCTTCTCCATCCCCGCCTTGGCAGAGGCCCCAATGTTGGATGCGGTTTCCTTGGCAGACTGCATTTTTCTCCCCCTTCAAACTGTGTTTCTGACCGACTTGGGATGATTTGATTTCTGTGTGTGTGTTTGATTTGGTTTTTGCTTTGCTGTGAGCTGTGATTGCTTAAACAAGCTCCATAACCTTCCTTTATATAGAGTACTGTTGGGTGAATCAATGTGTAGCGAAGGTTTTCTGGCCTGCTGGGTTCGTGCCACGTGTCCTCGAGTTGGACAGGTGTCAGCAGGTTGGAGATTCCCTGAGTAGCTCTCCGCCACGTAGTATACGAGAGTGGATAAGGGAACGTGGGCAAGCCAGATGTGCGATTTGTGGCGATTCGATGGCGGATTGAGATCCGCGCGATTAGGAGATTTTAGGACCCTCTTCTGGTTGGGCTCGTGTTATGGCGGTGGTCGACCACCAAAATATGCTTCTCTCTATTTTGAGTCATCTTAGATTGTCTAAAATTTGAAGTGGAAAAAGGGTTGAACAACTAATATCCGGACAATGACTTTTACTGCAGGACCTGTGAAGTTTTGGAGTATTCCTCAACCAAGCCTACTTAGTTACTCTACGAGAGTTAACAATCCCCAACATTTGTAGAGAGTCGGTGTTGCCTAATTGGAGTCCAAATACCTCTTTTGGGTTGGTGTAGTTCTTCTCATTTGTAGATACTCATCATTGAGGGATGAAATGCAAAGTTCACGACAAAAAGCTTAATAACTAGTAAGGATAGGGTTTGGAGAAACTTGCGTAGTTACATTGATGATTCAGAAAACGTGTTTACAAGCAGCTTATATAGGCTGCAAAGAGGAAACCCTATCTACTGTAATGAACTACCAACGGCTAATAAACAGTAAAAGTAAACTAACAATCAAAATGGACCTATGGAAGCTGTAACACTGTTTAAGTAACATCGGCCAAGTGTTGTGTGTATGTTGGTAAGTGGAACGACACCGTGGAGAAAGAAACAGTGTCGAAGCGTGCTTATTCAAGCAGCGATTTAGGGACCGGTTCTCCAGGTTAGACCTGTGAAACCAGAATCCAAAAACCGAGTCAATCCTTTCTTCTTCTTACCCTCCCTCGAGTTGAGGAGCATAGGCATCTGCTACTCCAAGCTTGTCACGAAGAAAGTGAAGACGATGTCGACTCAACGCCTTGGTAAAAGTATCTGCAAGTTGAAGCTCGGATCTGACGTGAGTGACTGTAACAATTTTGTCCAAAATGTGCTGACGAATCAGGTGACAATCCACTTCAATGTGTTTTTTCCTTTCATGGAATACTGGATTGTGTGCAATGTGAATTGCAGATTGATTGTCACAAAACAAAGCTGCTGGTGATGTATGATCTATCCCCATTTCCAATAGCAGCTGCTTCAACCACACCATCTCACATGAAAGCATTGCAAGTGACCTGTACTCTGCCTCAGAAGAGGACCTGGATACAGTTTGTTGTTTCTTAGTTTTCCATGTAATGAGTGAGTCTCCAAGAAAAGTGAAGTAACCAGTGAGTGATTTCCTTGTATCTGGGCAAGCTTCCCAATCACCATCTGAATACCCCTTTAGTTGCAATGAAGAATTGGTTTTGAACACCAGACCTTGTGTTGGTTTACTTTTGAGATACCTGAAAACATGGTGCACAGCTTGAATATGTTGATCTGTGGGTTCCTTTTGATACTGACATAGTTGTTGTACCACATAAGTGATGTCTGGTCTTGTTGTAGTAAGATACTGCAATTTGCCAACCAATCTTCTATAAGGTGTTGAGTCTGGAAGTAGATTACCTGCTGTAGCAGACACATCTTTCATAAGCCGCCACACAAAGTGTAGGTCCCTAGTGTATTGGGATGAAGAAGGGTTGAGATAATTGGAGGGACTTGAAATTGTGCAAGTCATAGTGGACAAAATCAACACAATCCGTGATCGCCTAAAAGTCACACAAGACAGACTATAAAAGTTATGCGGATGCAGATGCTCATCGAAGAGAAATAGAGTTCCAAATAGAGGATAAAGTGTTCCTTAAAGTATCACCATGGAGTGGTATTCTTCGATTTCATAAGAAGGGTAAATTGAGTCATAGGTGTTCTCCAGAATGTCATATCAATAATGACAGAGATTGGCAGTGCATGAACAACCTTGTAGATGGAGTTGATACTCTCACTTGAGTTCGTTGTGGCGATCCCCCACCTGGTACCTTCGTCCTTATGAAAAGTCTATATAGTTAGGTCATATCCATTCAACCACTGCGCACCTTCAGGGCATAGCTCACGGATCTTCTGCAGCTTCTCCTTGAATTTCTTCTCTTGGTAGGCAACAACTAAGGAATGTATAGAAGCGTAAGTATAATATCATTATACCCAGACACAGTAATTCATATAGGTTGTTTTCAATGATTTTAGCCAATACAAGTATGCTTGTTAGACTCTTAGTAGAGGTATACATATCTTTAGAAATACAGCTTTTTGACAGAAAAAGGGAGGATCTAAAGATCGCTTAAGACCCGAATTTTCCAGGAAATGGGAGGACCATGATGATCGCTTAAGATCTCATATCCTTAGACGAGCTGTTTTATCCTGAAGGCGACCAGTTGATAATCTGTCGTGCACAACGAGGGCAGTGCCATGAACTTCTTAAAGAGAGCGACCTAGTTTGTGACTCAGCTCCAAATCGGTAACCCTAATTTTTCATGTTCGGTTTCTAACATATACGTTCCGTATTTTAATTTTGTAGGTCACTCATCTACTAAATATGCATTGCAGATGTACTCAAATATAACTTTTTCTAAAAGTATCTACGTAAAAGCAATTACATATGTTTTTCTTTAAATTTCATCTTACAATTTATACAATTCAACTCATCTTATTTTCATCTTATTATCCTTATGAGTAAATTAGTAACCCCACCTGAAGAGATGGAGGAAGCCTGTAATTCATTTACAATTGTATATGTGCTAGATTCCAGTCATTTTATAATAAAAAATAAATGACCGGAGAAAGAAATTATTGTTTTCATGGCTTGCATATTGAATTTTATCAAATGCAAGCTTGCATATTTGCAAGTGTATACTACATTGATGCAATCCCGTTTGCAATTGCATATTAAGTTTTATGTAGGATTTGCAATCGATCAAATACCATTGATGTGAATGTTCTAACAATTACTCACAAACAACTAAAACAAAGTAAAGAAGAAAAAATCAATCGGAATTCTTTCGAGTTAAAAAAATGAATGAAAATTTCTTGATAAGAAAACACTTCTAGATCGCGAATGAACCGGAGTTTGGGTCATGATATTATAAACTATATCCTAAAGAATAAATTGTACATCATAATTTTTATATACTATATCTCCAGATCTGTTTAATTAGAATAATTGATATTTCTAATTGTTCAACATACATACAACATACTAAATGCACTATTTTAGGGCTTAGATGTTAAAGTTCAGATAATTAGAACTTAGGGTTTACTTATTAAGAGTTAGGGTATGATACTTTGGGCCAAAATCCGGTTACTTCATGGTCTAGATAGCGTTTTCTCACTAAATTTATATGATACCCCTAATATATATATATACACGATATTCTAGGTACCGTTGGTGAGAAATCTCTATCTAGGCTAGAGATTAAACCATATTTTGGTATGATACTATACCATAATCTCTAATGGATAAACCAGATACCCTCCTTCTCTAAACTCAAGTCTGAAGATTAATTTAATTAAATATAACAATTTATGTTTCATATTTGTCAAAGTACAACACAGCATATCCAACGATCACGCCGAAACCCATGTCTATCTTTGACCACCACGCCGAAACCCTTCCCGGAGTCTTTAAAACCCACATTTATCGTGTACTCAACATTCTTCGGCGGTTTCCAGTGATACGTCGGTCGAAAACTTAGCTTCAATGATGCATGTTGATAATCTAGGTATTCTAGAAGCCATCTTTCCGCTTTCCCCATTATTTCGAATTCTTAAGCTTCTTCTTATTCCACATTTGACTTGCGTTCTTCCCAGATAAACCGGAGAGCTACAAGAAATTGGTCACTTTGTTCCTCAGTCGCGCAATTTCGTCATCCATTCTTTACAAGTTAGTCCCTTGCCTTGCTCAAACAGTAGGCTTAGATAACTAGGGTGCCAAACTCGCCTAATTAACCCAATCACACTCGTGGATAAGGTGATTTTGGGTTTCCTGCTGGCCACTGAAAGGGCATTCATCACATCCCTTCTCTGGTCTTGCTAAAACATATGCTCGTGTGGATAATATGTTTCGAATCCATCTCCAAGCGAAATAATATATATTTTACCACATGTGAAATAACTCTTTGTCTAGGTTCGTCCAAACAGGATAATTTAACTTCCAATTTCTTCAAATAACACACAAATACCACATATAAAAAAGTGAATTATTTGACCTCACAAATATCATATTGTTAATTAATCCATCCAAACGACCCTAAGCAAAGATAGAGTTAAATATATTTCTACAATCTTGAGAAGAGATTCAATGTATATAAATAGCCAATTATGATTTTTTTCTCAATAATTATGTGATTCGTATTTTGATTATATAGTGAGTAAAGTCATCTATGGCGTATTGTTGTGAAGATTTTGATCCAACTATTAATTTTGGGGTAGCGGGTGTCCCATATACTCAAACTATATTAGTTTATATGTTAATTGGTCTTCCCCCTCATGTTATGTCCTTTTTCCATCTTCCCCTGACTCTTTGTCGTCTTTTAGATAGGAATGTGGCCTGTTTTTGGTGGGGTGCTGAGGAGGGTAATCCCAAGATTAGATGGGTGTCCTGGCGTAACATGTGCAGGAGTAAGCATGATGGGGGGATGAGATTTCGCCAGTTCGAACATTTCAACCAAGCTCTTTTGGCTAAGATAGGATGACGTATTCTCAATGAACCTCAATCACTTATTGCCCAGGTTTATAAAGGCAAGTATTTCCCTCAATGGTCTTTCCTGACCGCGACTGCTAGGTCTCGTCCCTCTTGGGGGTGGCAGAGTATCCTTCATGGGCGTCAGTTATTGGAGATGGGTTTGAGATGGCAGGTTGGTAATGGCCAATCGGTCTTCCTCCTTCATTCTAACTGGATTCCTAGGTACCAACTAGATCCCCATGCTATAATCCGCGGATCTTGCCTGAGGGGGGTGATCCCTTGGTCGCGGAGGTTATTTGTGAGGGGGGAGGGAGGTGGTCTGATGAGAAGCTCAGTCAATGGTTTGACCCGCCCACCTGTATGGCTATTAAAACTATTCCTCTCCAGCGTTAGGATGTGCCTGATAGGGTTATCTGGCATTTTACGGCCGACGGGGTTTTCTCGATTAAGTCGGCTTACCATTTGGCTGTCAATTTGGACAGGAGGAGGGGTGGGTGGCGATCCTCGGTTAGCTGGATGGATAAGCCGAGTTGGATTAGAGTTTGGGAGGCGAAGATCCCTCCGAAGTTGAAGGTTTTTGTTTGGCAAATTCTTAATCGGGATCTTCCGACTACGGAGACGCTTATTGAGAAAAAGGTCGAGGTGCTACCTCGGTGTCCAGTTTGTTGGGATGGCCCGGAGACAATGGAACACCTGTTCCTTTATTGTCTGGTTGCGAGGGCTCTCCGGGATTATTCTGGGTTGGAATACTTGGGGGAGGGTTTGCCTCGACATACTTTTCATTTGTTTCTCAAACGTCTGTTGGCGTTGCTTCATCAACTGTCAGTGGTTATGGCTGTTGTTGCCATCCTTTGGACGATCTGGCGATCTCGGAATAGAGTAGTCTTTGAAGGCAAACAATTTGTGATTCCGGCGCTCATGCGACAATTTAACCAACAGTATGAGGAATGGGTGGGTCTACTAGCAGACCAGGCGCCTAGGGTGCAAATCCCGATGATGCAATCTACAACACAAGTGGGCAATTCCCATTTGGTTTGCATGTGGAACGGGGCTACTAAGGGTGGGTCGCATTCGGCTGGTGGGATGGTTCTTTTTGACCCAGCGCGGACACTCCTTCTGGCTAGAGGGGTCAAGTTTTCTCAAATGGATGATCCTGTAGTGGTGGAGTTGCTTGTGCTCAGGGAAGCTATTATTTGGTGTATGGAGCAAGGCTTGTCGGAGGTCCGGTTTGAGGACGATGCGAAGGTGATTACTGACAAAATTAATCAAGCCGACACAAGAGATAGCCGGTTGGGTGCTGTTCTGGAAGAGATTGGTCATTATTTTCGTACTCGGCCTGGCTTTAGTATGCGTTTTGTAGGTCGGGAGAACAATAGGGTAGCTCATTTGGTAGCTAGGAAAGCCCTCTCTTTGTATCCGACTATGAGTCGCTTCTTTGATTTCCAGACCTGGCTGGTTTCCAGGGTGTAACTGTCTATTTTTTCTATCAATACATGATATCTTTTGAAAAAAAAAATACTAGGACAAGATTTGACCCTAACTACTAACTGTTATGGGACAATCCAAGTACCACATCGGTAATACAAGGGAAGGGACCCTTGTATATTAGAGTCCACCTAGCCCAATTAGTACGAGGCCTTTTGGGGAGGACACCCAAAAGTAAAACCGTGCGGGCTCGGCCCAAAGTGGACAATATCGTACTAATGGACTGGCCAGTTATGACACTAACAATGAAAGTCAAGTGACCCGTGCATTAGAGTATACTTTGAATTTGGATCTTGGTTAAGCGCGCCAATCAAATGATAAACTTGTAAAAGTTTCTCTTTGCCTTTTGTGTGTTCTTTGATGAACCCATTTTCATAGGCGAGGGACTTTTGGGAAGGCACGCATAATACTTTACGAAATTGTTGATCCTTGCAAGTTTAGTGGTCGAATTAGTAAAATGTTTTGCGTATATCACCAATATATAGCAGTGTAGGAGTAGTAGGCCAACAAAATAGATAGACTTTTTTTTATAAATTGCTCTAGTCTTTTGCAAGAGATTTATTTCTTGGGGTTTTGTCAAATATTTTTAATATTTGAGATCAACCAGTGTTTTTTTGTAGTATCATATATGATATCAATATTGGGTGCGTGTAGACTGTAGAGTGAATAGAAATTAAGAGAAGTGAGATTTTAGCTCATCTGTATCACATCCTGAATATAAATAAAGTTAGAATGTTATTAGTTATTACTGTTTCATAAGAGATTTTTTAGTGTGCACCATTGTCATTCTTCTTTTGCTGACCCGCATGATTTATCAACGCCATTTGGCGCTTCGGAGGGGATTATTAGGGGTCGTTTGCTTCAAGAATTTTATAACGAGGGTTTTGTCATGGATTTGCTAATTAAAAACCTTGGGATTTATTAGGGATTTTGGGCATTATGGATTTGAGGAAATCCTTTGTTTGTTGAGCTATTTTTATCATGGATTTGATGGTCTTTCAGCTTGTCTCCAAATCCCAGGATATGAGGTGGGATTTATAAAACCGTGGAGCCCATGGATTTGGAGGGGATAAACTCAAATCCGTGGGGCCCACAGATTTATCTAAACATTTTTTGACAAAGCAAACAACGGATTGTGTGTAAATCGATGATTGTTGGTTTTTTGGTACCAAATCTTGAAGCAAACGACCCCTTAGTTATTACATGAAATGTTATATTTGGGTACCTTGGCTACTTAAGGTAGGTTTGGGGTATATTTTACCGATTATTATGTTTATGAATATGAGTATTATAGGATAGTTAGTAAATACTCTGTTTAATACATGTACATGTATTCGTACATATTTTATCTGTTTAAAATTTTCATATTCGTATTATTGTCAAACTGTTTATTTTTTTCTCCGTTCATTTGTTGTCTCTCGTACTAAACACGTATAACACGTATAATATCCGTATGTATTTTATACACAACTTACTCGTATCATATTTTACTAACTATGGTATTATAATTAGGGATAATTGAAAGTGGGGGTGGGCAATGACATGATTCACACCATACCAAATTGTACTGAATCGATATTTGGATCGAATCATATCAGATCGAATATATTTCGTTTCAATTTCTGTCTTATAAATTATTTTATGTAAGAAGAAGAAATGGATCGAAATTGAATTGGTACCGGATCGAATCAAACCAAATGAACCGAACATGCTTTTGGTCCGGTTTTGATCCTTTGTTTTTTGTCTGATCCTAAGTAAATTCAATTAAGTTCTCGACCGAATCGAATGATGCCCACCCCTAATTGAAAGTGACGCCGAGTGGAAGGAAGGGAATAAGTATTATTAGGTGGCCAAATAAGGGCCAAGTAGTATTAGGATTTCTCGGTGTGATTCTTATAAATATGTGATTTGGTCTTTGAAAAAAAAATGCAATAACAATTTAGTTTACCAAATTCTTATACGAGCTTTTAGGAGTAGAAGTAACACAAAAATAATAATGCAACCAAACTTATCAAATCGATTTATACCGTCCAGTTTAGCAAGAAAATCAAGATTTCCAAACCATGATAGCCAATGCTCATGAAATGGTTGCATGTTACAATAGTCGATTTCATGGCATCAAATATAAAGTTTCAGAGAGATTGATCCCCCCTCCTCGAAACTTTGGATGAAGGATAACTTTGAGCTTGAGCTTGAGGTACCGTTTGAGTTTGACCTGTTTGGTTGTTTCTTTGACCGAGGAGGGCTTGCAAGTTGCAAAGAACAACTTAGAAACCAATCTCAAAGCCGATGCGGAGCGCGGCCAACATCTCCCTAGTATTCATGAAATGTGGAAGTGGTAGTGCAAGTCTGTATTTAAGCAAAAAAAACTGATTAAACTAGTAAAATGAGCAAAAAGTTAAGAGCCTTCGCGTCGTTGTGGGCTCTCTGCCCGAACCAAACTAGATTTGCTTTGATTATAATTGATTAGAATCGATTGGTTTCTAGACCAATCGAAACCGAATTGTGGCAGTGCTTGGGCCAATAGTCAGTAGCCAAATCGAAGCATTATTTGGGTCAAATGGTCCAACCATGATATTGCTTGAATGCAACTAATCGATTCGAGTCCAACTAGCAGTGGAACCAAAGGCAGTTTGCTTGGTCAGCAAACTGTCGATACCAGCCCTTCGGTCGCCAGAAATACACAATCATTGCCTTTTTTGTTTTCTGCACTGATATTTCACTTCTTTGCTGCAAAATTGCTTTTCCGTTATTTTCTCTCTTCCAAAATCAAACAAAGCCGGAGTAGAGTGCCCTTCTTATTAAGTTCGTCTGATTTATGAGATTTGAAGTAGCGCTATGACATAAATGTACGTCGGATTCCATCTTGTTAAGAATTATTTCATATCCTTGAGTACTAAGAGTGGAATAAAATTTCTTAAGGAGATGGTGAATATTCTATCCATTGTGTATGCATGTTTTCATGTGATAATCATATAATATAACTTAGACGTCAAGTAATATGCTTAGCAATGTGTAGATAAAGACAAATTAATAGCTAATTTTGGTATAAAAAAAATCATATCAAATTCAATATTGGGCCTCAATGATTCAGAATTTTTGTGAGACAATTTCCACTGAACAATTGAATCGAACACATGGCCTAGTTAGATTGAAAACACAACACAAGTATGGTAGCTTTCCCCTGCCCAATCATATATCATTTGTGTAAATCTACAAAATAGACAAGACAACAATGCTTACTTGTGTAGATCTATTTTCCAAACGTACGAAAAGTTGTGGTTCAACAAGCTTTTTTTCTCGCCAATTGACTGCTGTTAATTGTCATTATTGTATAAGCAACTAAGACCTGTATTTCAATAATTCATTTATCAAGTGAAACAAGACTCTGCAATAAACTTTTGCTTGAAAGACCGTCCAAACTCCAAACTGCATATGGCTGAGACTTCCACCGTCTCATTACTTGCCTTGATCAACCCTACCAGAACGTACAATATATGACCTTTCTTAATCAATTAAATAATCCCTAACTTTCAATGTTGTGAAGCCAAATTTCTTAAACTTGAAAGATAAATTCATTTTATCATTCATCCAATTAGAATATGTCACCTACCACTCTCTCACTTATTTTCAAACTAATCAAAATACACTCAATACCCCCCCCCCCCCAACGAGTTACACGGACTATGAAACACAGGCTCGCGACAAAGTTCGTGAATGACTTTACGAGACATGACAATCAGCCACAAAACTAAACACTCTTAACGACATTATACTTGTAACGGAAGGCGCCTTACTCCGGACTACAAGCGAGCAATGAGGATGGCCTAGCGCGTGGCCATCCCCCAATAAAATGAAAGGACTTTTTTCCACAAATAGCATTGTATCCTTAAAATCAGTTTGGTGGGAGGAAAATACGGAAAAAATTCCAAGTTACACATGTTTTAAAAAAAAATTCTCAAAATACACACGTTATGAAATAATTCCCAATCTACGCATGTTTGGGTATTCACCGCGGCAGAGGAGGGCGGTGATTGCATCACCGCTGTCGACGAAGGCGGTGAATGCTTCACCGCATTACACGGCCGCGGTGAAGGCCTGACCTACGTCGAAACTTTAAACAAACGTAACTTTGTGCTCGGTTATCCGATCGTACCGAAATTTGTTTTGATTCCGCATATCTCGAAAAATTATGCGGAATCAAAAAAATTTCGCTACGTTCGGATAACCGAGCACAAAATTTATGTTTTTTTTTAAGTTTTGACGCAGGTCAGGCCTTCACCGCCTTTCTCTAGAGCGGTGATGCAATCACCGCCTTCCTCTACAGCGGTGATGCAATCACTGTGCTTCTCTCATGCGGTGATGCAATCACCGCCTTGCTCTGACGCGGTGAAGACCCAAACATGCGTAGATTGTGAATTATTTTCATAACATATGTATTTTGAGAAATTCTTTTAAAAACATGTGTAATTTGGAATTTTTTCCGGAAAATACATGGTTTATCAAAGTGCCCCAAGGAAGGAATCCAAAGAGAGAGCCACGAGTAGTGAGCATCCCCCAAAGTTGTGGACACGAATAGATAGATTGATTGCTTGGCGTCCTCCGAAGCCGCGGACCGGCGGAGTTTCCCAAGTTGTGCTCAATGCTCAGTCACGGCCACGGGGGCTTCAGTTCGGGTTTCGGTAAATATTGTCCGGTATTATATTCCTTTGCCTTCTTTTATTTTCTTCTTCTTCTCTATTTTCAATTTGTAGTGGCTGTATTTTGTTTGATAAAAATGTAACGTACTACGTCCACAGATCTTTCTGCAGAACTTTATTTAAAATTAAGCGAGAGCCGCAGATCAAGTTGGGATGGGGCCCAAATCTCTTGCCACCCATGTGATCTCACTCCCTCGGTTTGGCCCGGCTCAGATATTTTGATTATTTAATTCCACTTTTTTCACATCCACCGTGTTTATGGCATGATACATGAAACCGTACTGAAAAAGGTTAGCGGTATGATATTTTATGGCAAAACCGTGATTTAATCGTAGTTTAACCGTTAGTATCGCTAAATACCGTCTATCGTTTTAGCATTCGACACTGTTATTTTGTGGTTGAACTACCGGTACGATACGATTTCATGGACCATGGTTTATGGTACGTATGATACTATACACCAAGGTTGTCAACCCGCGGGTCGACCGGGACATGATCGAGCTAGTGTGTCGAGAGTTAATGGGTACCGCCCGTTTTAACTCGATTTAGCCCGGAAATATGAAAACAGTAATTATATTATACTTATCTTGAATCCAACATAGGGAGAAAAAAAATACACTACTTAAACTTCAACACACTTAAATAACATCAACTTAAATTCAACATAGTAAAAATTCAACGACACTTATAGGAACGAGAGCACGCTGACCAGCTCGGATGGGCCAACCGCCCAGATTTTTCTGGGTTTGACCAGGTTGACCGGGTTTGACCATTTCCGGGATACCTTACAAATGGGCTGTTCTAACCCGTTTTCAGGACGCAGGTTGACAACCTTGCTATATACTAATATCTGATGGCTAAATTAGATTTTATTTCTCTAAATTCAAACCCGAATTTCAATTTAATTTAAATAACAATTGATCGTTGAGATTAATCAGAAACAATCAAGATAAATCTAGCTAACAACTAGATAATCTAAATTATACTATATTCCTAAAATATACCAAGTCTTTCCTATATATAAATTCAAAAAAAAAAGGCTAGCACAATCCAATTAATTGGAGTATGAACTCTCATCGTACGTATTTAATGAAAAAGAACGGATCCACAAAAATGTAGACCGACATACAAATTGAGAGAAAGAGGGGGTACTGAGCTCGCTCTGAAGCCATGCAAATTGACAGGCCAACTGTAGTGGAGGACGGTATTACGTTTTGGATCCACCGGTGGCGAAGAAAGCGACGCCATGAGTAATGATACCGACGTTTGTGCTGTCTTCTCCTCCGCTCGCCGCTTAGTAAGATATTCAAACGGTGTGGTTACCATGGCAATCGTTTTAACCAGTAGTATTTGGATAATTTGGTTTGGTTAATTTGGATAATTGGTTTGGTTTTGTTAAAGTTTTTAGCTTGTTTGGTTTAGGTGGTTTGGTTTCAGACACTCTTAACCAGCCAAACCAAATTAACCAGATAAATAATTACCATATATCTAATATATACACATATTTAATACTTTGAATAACCACTCAAGAGTTGAACGTTCATCCCTTTTAGACTCATAAAATATAAAGCTTGATATTGTTCCTATAATGTATATTTGTATATGTAGAGTGTAGACAACAACATATGAACGCCTAATTTAGATAAATCTCATACATTATGTTGGATGAAAACTTGAAAGCAAGGTCCTTTTCAGCCTATGAAAATTGCTAAAAGACTAAGTCAATTCAAACAAACACAAAAATCGTTAACCCATACCATTGTGATAAATTTTTGTTAGGCGAATACTTCTATACTAACCGTAAGATAATTGTCTTAGTTGCATGTATTTATGTTAATGGTCAACTATAACTATGTGTTGATTGTTATGTTTTATTCATTATATAAATTGTGAATTGATAAATTAACCGAAATTTTCTCACTTAATGATAATGTGATTTTATATTGGTTAATTTGGTTAACCAATTAACCAAACCGATTAAACTTTAATTTGGTTAATTTGGTTGTTGTATTAGTTTGGACGGTTTGGTTATGATATTGTATTCCATGGTTAATGAAATTTAGCCTTATTTGGTTTGGTAATAACCATGGTAATCATTTGAACACCCCTACCGCTTAGAATCAAAATTTTCTCTTTTTTTTTCCTTCATGAAAAAAAAAAGCTTTCTAATTTCTTGACCGACAACAATTAGATGGAAACGAGAAATGGACAATTCCAATAGAATCTCTGGCTACAAGAAAAATTGATTTTTATTCTCAAGTATTTAATATGACAATCATAATCGGGAACATAGTCAAAATTTTGTTTAAAATATGTCTACTTAGGAAAAAATGCACATGAAAAAATAGTTTTTCTTAACCATTTTAATAATTTATGATATAATGTCATATTTTGGGAATTTTGGTACATTTTAAAATGCATTAAACAAGAATTTAACTCTCTGTGTATTAAACAAGTATTCACGATTTAATTAGTCGTTCGTTTTCTAAATGATGTTCTTTGCCAATAACCATTTAGTATTAATAACTGGAGTTGTTTGGCGAGATTCAGTAATATATCTTATACCATTTGCTAACACACCTCTCATAACTCATAAGAAAACCAATTTAATCGATACCAACTAATATGAAAACCAACTTGTACCATTTATCATGTATCTAACAAATGAGGTTGCTAAAATTCGAACACGAAATCTCTCGATCAACTACTCTCAATTAGACAATCCCTAATTTTTAATATCAATTATCTATTGTACCTAATTTAACAATTTTCTCCCGAATCAGGATGGATATCGGGAACCACCATGTTACACTCTCCCTCCGGCCTGATCATAACATAAATTTTCATATCCGTTAAATATATTGATATAGAGTGTTAGTGGTCACTAATTGAAGAGTGATATGTCAGATTATTTATATTTTTACATTAATTAAAAACATTTAGAAAAACAACAACTAGAAAAAGGAGTTGAGACCTTGCCACGTTGATTATTATTTTTTTAATAAAACGTTTATAAAAGAATTCATTTTTATTTTTTTCTCACACGAAAGAGAAAACAGTAACAAAAACAACAACATTCATACGACCACATTCAAACTTAAATATATGTTGTATTGTTGTGGGTACTTGAACTCGAGGAACCTTTGCTAATAGGTCGTTGTTATGTGCTACTAGCTAGAGTTTCAATAATGTCGCTTTTTAGGATGGTAAAATAGTGTATTATAGAGGAAGTACATTATCATTTAATAATTGGTGAACTTCCAAAGTCATTTATTTCCAATCTGTTAGGCAAAACACAATTGACTTACAATTAGGAATGGCAATGGGCAGGTTCGGGGCGGGTTCCTTGGTACTCAGACCTGTCCCGTGGCAGGTTAGGATCCAGTGACTAAGGGGGGGTGCTTAGTCACTTGACTAATCCCCTCCCAGCCCTTCGATCTGGATATAGCAATTTGATGGTTAAAAAGTGGGAATGACTATTTAATTAATGACAGGGGTAGTTTGGGTATTATCAAAAATTACGAAGTATACAAACCGAACTTACAATCAGTACAAACCATACGAACAGTACAAACTAGAGCGACAAAACATACAAACAGATTTACAAACATATGAACTGTACAAAAAATACAAGCTAGACCGACAAAAAATACAAACCATACAAAAAAAACAACCAGGTTGACTTTGGAGGCTCCATCCCTATATAGAGGGGCTCCTTCCCAAAGTCAACCCGGTGTTTTTTAGACATACAAACATTACGAACATGGTGGACAAAAATGACAAACTAGACCGACAATCCATACGAACTCGAAAAAACACCCGGATTGACTTTGGAGGCTCCATCCCTATATAGAGGAGTTTCATCCAAAAGTCAACCAGGTTGTTTTTTAGACATAAAAAACATTACAAACACGGTGCACAAAAATAACAAAGTTTACAAACATTACAAAAAAACCCGACAAACATTACAAAATAACAAAGCGAACAAACATTACAAAATAAATCGACAAACAGTACAAAATTAGCACTGTCGCCCGGAAATTCTTCTCCGTCGACGATAGCCGTCGGAAAAGTTTTCTCCGGTCAGAAATCTCTCTCTCTCTCTCTCTCTCTCTCTCGGGAAATTCCCCTGGAATAATGGCGCCCAGGAATTCCCTTGGTCGGAGACGGAGGCGGTGCAGTTAACCGGGACGGAGAAGGGAGGCGACGCAAAGGGACGGGCGGAAACGGCGCTGGCTTAATTTTTTTATTCCTTTTATAATTAAAAGTTAAAAATAAACATGGAATTACTACATTGCCCTTCATTAAATTGGATTAATAGGAGCCCTTGGATTTTAATGAGGTTGAGTGGCTGAGATTCACTTAGCCATGTGACTAAGGGGACCCCCTTAGTCACCTGATTTCAGCCCCATTCGAATCCCTATATAGAACTGACTAGCTATTTGCCGCAACCGGTTACACCCCTTCCCACCCCAACCCTACCATTGTTTCTCCCCGACAGCTGCCTCTGTCTCAGTCGTCGGCTGTCACTGCTACTCCGTCTACAAATCTCTGCCAGCCCAAATAAAGGTATTCGATTCCCTTGTCATTTTTCTCTTGTTTTCGCCGAAAAGGTGGTTGTCGGTCGGCGAGGCCCCGTACGAAGCTAACTTTTGGAAGACCAGGCTCGATGCGAAGTCGGGTTTTAGTCGGCGAGGCTCAATACAAAGTCATGTTTCGAACGCCAAAAACCTGGTTTCGTACTGGGCCTCGCCGACCGAAACCCGACTTCATACTTGACCTCATCTTCCGAAAACCAGCTTCGTACCGGGTCTATCTCAAAATTTGTTTCGTTTGTCGCTAGACATTCCACCTTTGATGATAGATAGAATATTACCTCCTTTTATGACGTCATTACAGTTTTGTGGCGAGGCGAGTTTTTTGCAAGATTGTCCGACACACAATGGTGTTTTGGAGAGTTGGAGGAAGTGTTTTGAGTGAATAAAAAAGTCTCATTTCAAAGAATTATAAAGAAATATATGAATAGGCAAAATTGTCATTTTGACAAAAAAAGGTGGGCGACAAATAGTAATTTGTTGGGTGGCCAATAACAAATGGTCACATTCTAATGAGTCTGAATATTTTTAATTAGATAGTCACAATTTTGCACTCTGTAACAACAATAATCAACTTTTAAAAATACACTGATATATTCATTCCGTCAATAATTTTAACAGCATCGTCATAGATGCTGACTAGACTAACCGTTTTTAGTGGGGTGGACATTTTACTTGACTTTGTCAACTTGGAAATGTCCTTTTTATGGTATTTAACTGAAAAAACAAATAATAGGGAAATGAATAGTCTATCTCTTTCACTTTACCTTCTTCTTCCATCCCCTCCTAATTGCCACTTCGTCCTCCCACCACCAACTCCAAATCTCTACTTATCCATGTTAATATCCAATGACGGATTTCTGGTATAATGAAGTGATCTTGGTGGACGCCGTTTGGCACATTGTCTACTATGGGAGAGACCCAGTTGTATTTTTTTATTGCAATTCACGGGTGCTTTCGGCTTCTGCTAGAGGTTCTCCAAGGTCAAAAGTTTCTTCTCCCCTAGTTCTTGGAACGACTCGAATTGTCAAGTAGCTAGAGCTATTAATGAAGCAAGCTGGTGATGAACGACTCTGTATTGTCAAGCAAAAACCTCGTTAGACACTCGAATTGTCTTTAACCGAGCCGGTTTGCGAACAAGCCGAGCTCGAGCTATATGACATGTCTAGCTTGATAGGCTCGCGAACAAGTTCATCTGCAAATGAGCTGAGCTTAGCTCAAGCATGACATGTTCATCTCGGTAGGCTAAAGGGATCGGTTGAACTTTGCTAGTGGCGCGCTTGTGGTTTTTGGATTCTTTTGTTTTTTTATTCTTCCGACAAAATTAACGAGAACAAAGAGAAGTGAGCAGTGACGGCGAGGGGGGAAAAGGGACAAAGGTTCAGATCTAAAATAGGGAGTCATAATGACTACAACGGGATTTGAGCAAAGATGTCTGGCGTTCATTCAGAGCAGGTGTGGAGAGAGAACGAGATGACACCTACAAACGACGACGATAATGAAAGGGATTGATGGTGGTGGTTTTTGAAATCCATAGTCTAACGACCCCGATCCCGCATACCAAGAACTCCCTAATCTTTGAACTGTAATTGGCTGCTTACTTCTATGGTTGGCATTTAGAGTTACTAGTGAACAAAACTTCTCAGTTCTCAGGGGAAGAGAAAAGAAGAAGAGGAGGAGGGTCGATTGAAAATGAACATTTATTAGTTAATAATTATTGTTTTAACAAAAAAAATTGGATCTACGTGGCTAGGATGATAATGAGTCTGACTATGGTTTAACCGCACCGCAATGTTGGTTAGCCGAAACCGATTTGGAGTTGAAACCATCACCGCCACCTCGATGTTTGTCGGTTAGCCGCCAATCGCAACCGCTAGCATCAGTTGGATGGGCGATTAGCCGATACCCAGCATCAGTAGATTTCAAGAGGAGTTTCAGCAGGCGTAAGCGGCAACAACACCTTCAAGGAGGGGTGTAGATTAAAGATGATGAGAAGGATTTGAAGCTTGGGCGATGGCGATGTCAAGATTTGAGAAGTGACAACGATTCGCATCCTGCGGGCGACGGTGAGACCTCTTGAAGACTGACGATGTGCGACGAGACGACGGGATGGCTAGACGACGACGACTGGTCGATGATGAGGTCGAGAAGATGAGGTCAAGACGGCTGGCCGATGAAGGATTGGCTTTGAATTCGCTGGGTGTTGCAGTCGGGAATTGGGGTCTTAGGGTTCTTCTCCTCTACCGCTATTTGGAAATTGGGTGATTAATGTCTATATGGGAGGAGGAGGAGGCTGGGGATTCGAGGATGAGCGATGAGAGGAAGGGAAGTGATGTCGAGTGGCTGTGATTTAGGGGCAGTAGGGCATAACTACGGTTAGTGTGGGTTAACGATCGGTTATCCGTTAGTCACCGAAAACTGCATGGTTGACCTCTCACCCCTCCCCCCAAGCGACACTGCCAACTGCAGTTCCTTATCGATTTTCGGTTAATCGCGTAACCGAGGATAGTTTAACAGCCCTATACATGGCTATCAAATATTCTAATGTGGTCAATTTTTTTAGACATCTGGAGCTGACGTGACATTCACATCAACATCTAGTTAAATTTACTGACGTTGTTTCTAACACCGTTAAAGATTTAAACGGTAACGACTAATTTTTCCAAATGAGTTTAGTGAGTCTATTTATATTTGTGTATTTTCCAAAAGTTGGCTATTATTGAAAGTGCAAAGTAGACTATTGAGATGTATTTTGTCTGAAACAATTGAGAGCGTCCAAGAAATGGAGATTTGAAAGTAAGTTCAAAAACTAAAATGGCATTACAAGCTACCTCGTCCGACCCTGGTTGAGGTCGTTGATTGTGAAATCATTGAACATGGTTCAATTTCCACTTGTCTTGTATATGAACAATAGCTAGGTGTAATGATAATATCACTAGTATTGAACTTTAAAAAATGTTAAGTTCAAATTCGTTCGGTAATATCTAAGTACAACAACATGCGTGACTATGTCATCCTTACAAAATAAAAAGCGTACTTAGAAAAGAGAGCGGATAATATGCAAAATTCTGGCATGGAAAACACGATCATATCGTCGTATCACGACATCGTGATACGATGATACGACCTAGGGGTTTTGTAACCGAACCCAAACCCTTAAAAAAAAAGGCACAACTTTCGACAATTCAATTTTATTTGGCTCTTCTATATGAGTTGGGTCCTTGCTTAATTGGACAAGTGCTATGTGGGCCCGGAGACGCTTAATGAGTAATTTGTCGCATGGACAAACACTCCCTACGCCAACACAGCTTAAATACAGCTCCACCCCTCCCTCCGTCTCCTTCCTCTTCAGGCGGGCCGGCGTTCTTTCTCCACCTTTACTCCGCCACCTCGATTAAAGAGAGAGAGAGAGAGAGACAGAAGAGTGAGAAATACAGAAAGCTCCTTTCGACGGTGTACAAGCCTCCACGCTTCCGCCATCGTCATCATCATCCTTCTCATCAGGTGCGTCCTCTGCCTCTTCCAGATTTCCGCCGCTTCATCTCCGTTTCCCCTTCTCGCATTCTTGCACATAGTTTCTCGTTTCTTAATTTGTTTTCATTCCTGCCGCATTCTTCCATTCCCCAATCTCTCCGTCGGACCGACAATCGTGCTTAATCGACCTTCTTTCTGCTATCGGCGAATCGGAAGTCTCAGATCCAGAACAGCGACGATGACCGCGTTTCCATCTCCCTTAGATTCTCCAGGCGATGGAGGAGTTTTTCATCATCTCCTCTCTGTCGAGCGATTCGATTTCAATCTACTTTCACCTCCGTCATTTTATTCCTTTTTTTCAAGCGCAAATCTGAGATTATTTTTTTTTTTGCCCCTTTTCGTGAAAAAAATGTGTTTTCTCTTCGGATTCTCTCTTGCATGTCGAGGAACGAGCTGATTCTATGACAATCTATCCCTCTCTAGCTTGTTCTATAGCTCGATTCTGGCTTTCTAGCTCTGCTCGTGTCGCCGGCGACGTTATATCGATTCCGGCTGAACGGAAACCGCAATGCATGATTCTTTTTTCATCGGCGAATCTCGATTTTTCTTGTCCACGCTCTCCCCCGGGGAAATCTCGTCTGTTTCAGCGGCCAAATCTGTGTTTGGCTGAGTCCACTCGTTGAAACGCTATGGTCGCCGAATCGTTCGCCGGCCCTATCGTCATTATTACGTCATTTCCCCCTCTGATTTGCTAATTGCAACTTGTAGTTAGGTAAAAGATAAATAAATAAATTAAACCAATAGTAAATACTTGTCCGCCTTTTGCTCCACCATCCCCTTTTCTATTATATTTTAAAGCTTCCTCTTCTGTTTTATTGGTGAATTAATTTGCACTCTAGATTGTTGCTTAGCTGGGTAGGGCCCGGCCGGCGCCGCATGCCGGCGTTTCTTTTTCTTCCCGTCGCCGTCACCTCGTAATTTCCGCGAAGATATCGTCGTGAAATTTCCTACTAATATATATATATATATATATATATAACATACTTGGACCGCAAATTGGGTGGGTGAGTAATTTCTGGGTTTCTTTATTAAAGTACTTAGTAGATTATTAATTTGTTATAAATTCAGATTTGGGTTTTGCACGTGATAAGCTGACCGGCCTTTTGTCCATAATTTGGGATTATAAAGAAACTCAAATACAGAATTAAGAGATGATTTGATTGAAGATTTAACAGTTTCTTAATCTAATTATTAACTGAAAAGATATAAGCCGATAGCTCACAAGTCTAATGTTTCATAAGTCGTGAAACGCGATGTTCGAAATTAGAAAGAGTTTTTGAGGTTTTAGTCACCGTTTAGGGCTTCTCCTTATTTGCCCCTCTCTACCTTCAGAGTAGTGTAGGGTCATGGTTGTCACAAAGATGGCAAAGAGTTGTTAGATGAAAGCGCAATGATTTATTTACTTTGGTATGTTGCTTGTCATGTGTGCTTGACTTGACGTCTCAGTAAAAGGTAAACGCTGACTAGTCCTTTTCCCGTTGCCATTGCCTGCAGTGTTCATTGCATTTGGTACTTGTTGTTGTCGTCGTCGTCTTAGGGTAGGTAGGTAGGTAAAACGGGGCCTATACGAAACAGTAAGGGTCATAATTTTCAACCGGGCTATGGTGTTTCATAGTCCGCTGTTGGATCGAATGCGGATGATATGTGAACGATGGTTACCATCATTCACATATCATCCGCGTTCGATCCAACTGCTCTAGATGCCTGTGAGCACAACAGCGATTTGTGCCGTGGTAGCTTTGCATAAGCTCTTTAGCAAGGTCATGTTATGTGATGTGCCTATCCCTGTCAAAGAATTAGTTCGTACATACATGTATTTGGATTCAGTTGCTTGTTAGGCGAGGTTCTTCATTTTCAGAGTACGTTATTTCTAGAACAATTTGATGTAAACCGGTAGGTTATTGGAATCCACTCAACTCTTGTGCAGCCTAATTTGTACAAACCTTGATGTTTGGTAGTTCACAGCATAACCGTGAAAGAAACCCCAATTTCTGCTCAACGGAATTAAAGACTATAGGGTAAAGTTAAACTCTCTCTCCTAGGCAAAACGCTCAATGGATCGTGGATGAAGGTCCATCAATTCATTGGTTCGGATTATGTTATGATTTAGGTAGGGTATTTGGGTATGGAGGATGGATGGATGGATGGATGATGTATCTTCTTCTGGTTCATTGAACCAAAGAGGAAGAGTTTACATCAATGGAAGGAAACGATGCAGTTTGTTGTTTAGAGATCCTAATCCTTATGGCGATGCATTATTGTTCGTGTTGAAATTGTGATAATTTTATCTGTGGACGCAAAGTACAGCCCCGTTTCACTTTAGATGTCGACTTTCTAGTTAGATGCGTATTTGGATTGCTGGCTCTGACTAAATTTAGCACCGTAGCAACAAACAGAACTGCCTATAAAAGGGCCATAAATCAACGTTAGCTTGCCCTTTCATCGTCTAAACTTTAGATTTATTAGGGTTAAGATTGTGGCTTCACACTAGTTTCAGAAATAGCATAGATAAATCCTTCTCGACAGATTATATATTTTTTTTTATACTATCAAGTACCAGAATCAGGTAGCATTATTCTCTGTTATTACAGCATATTTCGCTGGTATCCCTAGGCATTGTAATTAGAATGTGCTTTCTCTCACAATGATAAAATCACAAACATATGCTGTGCTTCAACCAGACCTTCTAACCTTTCTTCTTATCATATTTTCTGCAGGTGCTGCTGTCATAACCAAGAATGGGTGCCGGTGGCAGAATGTCCGTCCCTACATCCAAGAAGGAGGTGGATTCCAGCACTCTGAAGCGATCTCCCTACTCAAAACCTCCATTCACACTTGGAGAGATTAAGAAAGCCATCCCACCACACTGCTTCAAACGCTCCATCCCTCGCTCGTTCTCCTTCGTCGCAGTCGACCTCATCATCGCCTCCATCTTCTACTACATCGCCACCACCTACATTCCGCTCCTCCCAGCTCCCCTCTCGTACCTCGCCTGGCCTATCTACTGGGCCTGCCAAGGCTGCGTCTGCACCGGCATCTGGGTGTTGGCACACGAGTGTGGCCACCATGCCTTCAGCGACTACCAGTGGCTCGACGACACGGTGGGCTTCATCCTCCACTCTTGCCTCCTCGTCCCGTACTTCTCCTGGAAGCACAGCCACCGCCGCCACCATTCCAACACCGGCTCCATCGACCGAGACGAGGTGTTTGTCCCCAAGCAGAAGTCGCAGATCGGCTGGCACTCAAAGTACCTCAACAACCCTCCTGGGAGGGTCCTCACTCTGGCCATCACTCTCACCCTCGGATGGCCACTCTACTTGGCGTTCAACGTCTCAGGGAGGCCTTACGACCGATTCGCCTGCCACTACGATCCTTATGGTCCCATCTACAATGACCGCGAGCGGATGGAGATTTACTTATCCGATGTGGGCATCCTAGCCGTCTGCTTCGGGCTCTACAAGCTCGCCGTCGCCAAGGGTCTGGCGTGGGTTGTGTGCGTCTATGGAGTCCCTTTGCTGGTGGTGAATGGATTCCTTGTGCTGATCACATTCCTGCAGCACACTCACCCATCGTTGCCGCACTACGATACCAAGGAGTGGGATTGGTTGAGAGGAGCTCTGGCGACCATGGACAGAGACTACGGGTTCCTGAACACGGTGTTCCATAACATCACCGACACCCACGTGGCGCACCATCTGTTCTCGACGATGCCTCACTACCATGCGATGGAGGCTACCAAGGCGATCAAGCCGATACTGGGTGAGTACTATCAGTTCGATGGGACCCCGTTTATCAAAGCGATGTGGAGGGAGGCCAAGGAGTGTGTCTATGTTGAGCCGGATGAAGGTGAGCAGAGCAAAGGCGTGTTCTGGTACAACAACAAGCTGTGATGGTTTTTTATGCAGGTTCCCCTGTCTGTCTTTGGTTAATGCTTGCAGGACTTGTGTTGTGTTGTTGTGTCTGGTCTAGTGATGTCAGTTTCTTTTCTCGTTTGTTTTAGAGTCTGTAGTCTTTGGGCGGTTCGACATGCCCATAAGAGCGTCGTTAATCGTTATAGACAGTCGATCACGAAGCTGTGAAGGCTTCGTGTGCGCCATATCTGTTCTGTTTATGTCTCCAAATGTGGGAGTTGCCGGGTTTTCCCGAGTAGAGGTCGTCGTTGTACCCCCAGTAAAATGAGTTATTTTGGGTTCTAATCTGTATGGTTTCAATCGCGTTAATCTGCCTAGTCTGTCGTTGCAGTAACAAGCGCACCGATTGCTCATCTTAATCAATGAGTGGAACTCCATTAACATTTCTCCTCTCATAAAAAAGATGAAACTTAAAACATTATTGAAGCGCAATAAATGGGGGAAACAATTCAGTAGTATGGTGTTGTTTTAAAGGGAGGGCCAAAACATGGTTTGTTTGCTAAAGTTCATACATACAATCACTCACATTGTAGTGTTGTCAAGATACCAGTGTTGTTATGATACCTATGTATAATGTATATATTGTTGTGTTACGGCAAAAACAAGACATGATACCGTTTAATTAATATTAATTAGACGTCAATGCTGTTTAATTAATATTAATTAGACGTCAATGCTGTTATGATACCTATGTATAATGTATATATTGTTGTGTTACGGCAAAAACAAGACATGATACTGTTTAATTAATATTAATTAGACGACTTTTGTGTCGATCTTTCTACCCAAAAAATAAGACATTCACTAAAATTATTGCAGTTTGCCTGGTCATGATACTGCTTGACTATAACAATTTCCGTGCAACATTTCAATCCATCATACAATTTTTTTTATTATTGACAATTAATTCATCTGCTCATTTTTCCAAAAAATTTCAGATCCCACAAGTTATTAACAAAAAGAAAACCCAGAAGATTTTTGTCAGGAGGGACAAATTTTGGGGGATGCCACATTGAAGAGGAACATATCAAGTAATTTTATGGTGAGTAACCCGTCCACATCAGCATGACATCAACATCCCTCTCTCTTCTTGAAAGCTTTTAATTTTCCCCTCCTTAATCTTTGACGGACGATTTCTCACTCGTTTTATGTCGAGATTTTTTTTTTTGCACAGTTAGATTAGATTAATTGTTCTCTTCAAAATGATATCCACTTTGATATATTTTTCGAACAAAAAAAAATTGTGCAATTTTTTACCAGTAGTCTATACCATATGGTATTGACTAGTATTGAAATAAGAGCATACATGTGGTTTGAAAAGCGTACCATGGTGGTATGAACAAACCAAGACTATAGGATGGTTGAATACATGATAGTAGAAGTATATTAACTGTCATTTACGACTTTTAACATTGTGTACCACAAGATACCACCCCGTACCATGGTGGTATTGTGTGGTATTTTTTTGGTCCTGTAATTTGTTCAACCAGAAATTTGTAGATCCAATAGATCATGATGAACTCGTCCCTTCTGTGCAAACGTTTTCAAAAACGAAGAAAATACCATATGGTATGCAGTTGGTACCGAGAGGCCAGAATTTTTTTTCTCAAAAAATATTGAAAATTGATATAATTTTGTAGAGCACGATGAACTCGTTCCATCTGTGCAAAAAAAAAAAAGAGTTAAAACGAAAAAAATATGAGCCGATTAAGAAAACTAGAAAAAATAAAAAAGATCTTTAATTCTCAAATCATAGATTTTGATTTTTAAATGAAAAGTCCAGATCAAAGACTATGCACTCTATCTTGAGCCTATTGAAGGGCCCAATCGGATCTATTCGGCCCAAGAACAACAGCGGGTACAGCTGGTAGTTGACAAGCCATCTTCGACTGACTCATTCATTCACCTTGTGGCCGTTGAAAATTCGAAAACCAGAAACGCAAAGAACACTACCAAGCCAGCAATAGACCGATCAGTTGAACCAGAAAAATAAAAAAAGCTGGATTAGGGAAAAAGGGGGAAAGAAGAAGAAAAAAGAAATCAGGAAACACTCTCAGATTCAGATTTTATTTCTGCTCTCTTTCTCTGCCTTGGCTGGGCGACGGCGACGAATCTCAGCAGGTAATTCACCTCGACCTCTCCTCCGGACCTCCGCTTTCCATCTCTCTGGTCTAGGGCTTCCAATTTCAGCACAGATCTCGCAGCTTTCCATGTTTCGCTAGCTCACGAATTCGCCGGTGAATTTTCCAGGGCCACGCTCTGTTTGAGGTATATAGAGGTTCTGCGAGATTGGAGTTTTTGGCTTTTGTTTCGGAGAAAGTGCAGGGAAAAATGGCGAGGATCAAACCTCAAGCTCTGCTGCAACAGAGCAAGAAGAAGAAGGCGCCGAGCAAGATCAGCGCCACCACTGTTATGTTCTGCGGCTTGATTGTTGTTCTAGCTCTGTTTTTTCTCTACTCCACCTACACTCACCGCTCCATAAGGTTCGTCGACGGCCGCTTATTTGCGGTTTTTTTTTTTTTTTGCACTTGAATTATTCGCGATTTGTCCGATTCGTTGGATTCCTCTGGTAACAGTCTTTCTTGTGCTCTTCTTAGGTCTAGCATCCAGAGGTCTAATACTGACTCGGAGCTTGAGGTGCATTGTTCGTAATTCCTCACTTTGCAATATCTCGACTCTCAATTATCAATTTTTTGGCCATTTCAATTTGGTTTTGTAGTTGCAGGAGGATCATGGGCTTATGGATTTGAGGAAATCTGATATCCCTGGGTACGCGGTATGTCTTCTATTATCTGCTGAGCCATAAACCAGTCCTTTTTGTTCCATAGTTTGTCGCTAATGTTAAGGATTGATCACTGGAATGTTGCTATTAATAATTTGCATAGAAAAGAGATGTAGCTATATGGAACTGGTTTTCAGTTCGAGACCGAAGATTTTGTAAAATATAGCACTTGCACTGAAAGAAATGTGGTTTGGTGATGGGCTGAATCATAGTGTGATAGTGATATATTTATGCATGTTCAAAGCCTGGTTATGGATGTTCAAGCCGCATGCCTAAGTGCAAAGGACTTTGTTTCTTATGTTTGCTTATTTTCATTTTCATCAGATCTTTACTACATCTAAAGGGCCAATAACTGTGGAACTTTTCAAGGACAGCTCTCCTGAAATTGTTGACAAGTTCATTGAATTATGGTAAGTTCATTATAAGCTTCTTTTTCAGCTTTCATACTTGCATCTGTATTTCCGGTGCCCGAATATCAATTCCTTTGTTTCAACTGCTTTATCAAGCATAATCCTCATACTCTACCTGAAAAACAACTAGTTTCTGTTCTGATTTGGTTCGAATAGTCAGTGAGATGCACCTTAATTGAGCATGGACTGTGGGAACTTCCATATGGAAGTAACATAATTTTCTTATTATGCCAAGAGTTAAGTGGTGCTATTGATTCAAGGGGTGGAGCTTCATGGGACACTGGGATGCTACAAAGGCCTAGTGCTAGTCTCATGTTCTATGGAGTCTAGATGCCATATAATGAACGGGAACCTTTTCCTTTCTGAGGTTTGGCTGGGATCTTTCCCATCACAAGCTGTCCACTATGACTACAATGAAAGTAAAGTTCCAGAGCTATGCTAGTCTCATGTTCTATGGAGTCTAGATGCCATATAATGAACTGGAACCTTTTCCTTTCTGAGGTTTGGCTGGGATCTTTCCCATCACAAGCTGTCCACTATGACTACAATGAAAGTAAAGTTCCAGAGCTATTTAGCATAAAAAGCTTTCTTGCATGTATCATCCCCTTAATCACCGAAATGCTCTTAGGAATCTGTACAAATGGTGTTGATTTATTTGTAGCGTAGAAAGATTAGCATTCTAGCCAAAGCACAGAACTTCTTTTCCTTAACAATTCATAGTACATATGCGGTGTAATCTTACATTTTTAAATTGACAGATGCTCCAGCAATCTTCATAATATGACCTGAGCATCCTACCATATTTAGCTTCCACACCTGTGTTGAGAAATGATGTACTTGTTTTTCCTTCTTCAGTCAAAAGGAGCATTTCAAGGGGATGCACTTTCTTCGCGTGATAAAGCATTATGTGATTCAAGCAGGGAACACTGATAATCTTGGCAATACAGAGGATTGGACTGTGAAAGGGAAGCACCATGGGCAACTTCATGCAAGGTTACTGCAATACTTAATTTTTTATGTTCTTATCCCTGAATATGTTCCATACTTAGGCAGTGGACCTTTCAATTAGCCTAATTGAGAATTTTTTTTTGTTTTTTGTTTTTTTCCTTCCTTCAGCCTGAAACACGAGGCCTTCATGGTTGGAACATCCAAGGGAAAACGTGATGACAAAGGATTTGACCTTTTCGTCACAACTGCACCAATCCCAGATCTGAGCGAGAAGCTGGTAGTTTTTGGGCGGGTTGTTAAGGGAGAAGATGTGGTTCAGGTGATGCCATAATCTTAACTCTATTTTAATTCCTGATTCTGGTTCGGAATCTGTTTCCGTTTATGTTAACAAGTTAAGGGAGAAGATGTGGTTCAGGTGATGCCATAATCTTAACTCTATTTTAACTCTATATATCATACCTAGTACCTTCTTTAGCATATATGTTTCCTAGTCTCGCTCTAGGGCTATCTTCTGGTCTGCAAGTAGATGAGTATGGATGCTCCATAAATGGCTGTCATTCTGATGCCTGATAGTGCTATATGCTGGGTGGATAGAGAGGGTACCTCTCATCACCTTGGAATCACGATTGTGGTAAAATAAATCTTGTTTTAACCAAATTGTTTTACAGGAAATCGAAGAGGTGGATACAGATGAACACTACCAGCCTAAAAGTCAAATAGGGATCATCGGCGTCACTCTAAAGCAGAAGGTCTAGACTGCCCACTGATTTGAAGCCCTTTCACACGGCAAGTACTGCTTTCCATTGGAAGAAGAATGACATAATTTTCGAGATCCAGGCACTTCACCCAACAAGCTAATCTCCAGCACTAGTCCTTGTCGAAGTTCAACCTATTATTTTTGGGGGTTCCAAGTAGCAGGAATGACTTCAGTTTTGGAGAAAGCAACTGGTGTATTTAGGAGTCATATCTCATATGAGATGTGGGATGTAATCTGTACTCGATTTCGGATAATGATCGTCACATTGTGCTGTCTTTGCAAATTGGTCATGGTTGTAAATGATTCTCTTGTGTCTGCATTAATTGGGCATTCCATTTACTTTCTCCACTTCACTGAAGCAAACTTCTCAAGTAAAAATAATGCAGTGCGAAATTCCCAGGAAATGGAAAGAACAAAAACAAGTCACACAATCAATTCTCAAGATTTCTTCGAACTCACGCAGCCTCTACCATATCAAGCAACTTCTTTAGTTCCTCATCTACTTCGATGCCGTCTCCCTCCAACCTCTCACGCATACCAGGAGCCGATTCGCCAGCAGCTACATAAGTCTTCAGCAACTGGCTATACACATTGTAATCGCACTGCTCGATCTGCATCAGTATCTTGACCAGCTTCTCAGCTCCACTGACATCCTTCTCTTCCTCAAAAAAGCTAAAGAAAGCCGCCACAGTCTCCTGACCCGGCAGCCATGGCTTCTTGTTCACCCCGATCTCTGAGAATGCTGCCTTCATCTGCTGCAATGCCGAGTCCAGCTGCCGCCTCTTCAGGAACGAGATCATCATCATCTCCCGAGCCCTGAAGTAAGGCCCTTGAGTTCTCTTCGTCGCCCCATCAAACACCATTTCAGCTTCTTCATACATCCCTTGCTCCAGATATAACTTTATAGCGGCATTTGCGATCCTCATGTCGTAAGTCGAGCAGACAGATTCCCATTCTTCAAACAACCTCGACACACCCTCGACATCTTTCAGCCTCGCAAGGGCCGAAACCATCACCAGGTAGCTCGAGTTGGTGACCTGATGGAAAGTCGACTTGATGCATCCCCACACTCGGTGGACTTCGTCAAGATCCCCCGTGCCAGCATAGAGTGTCATGAGGAAGTGATACGCATTGCGGTTGGGGGAATCGATCTTCTGCTCTAGCATTTTGAGAGCTGATCTGGCTCTTTCGAGGTCGCCAGCGTTGCTGTAGACGGCAGCTAAATTGCTGTAAGTAGTCCAGTCGGTCTTGTCTTCTCCTTCTCCTTGCATTTCTTCGAGCACCTTGTCGACTCCTTCCATGTCTTTCAGTTGACCTAGGCTCTGCATCCATACGTTGTAGGTGAAAGTGCAGGGAGCGATATTCTTCTGCTTCATCTGAGTCACGAGATCGGGGACCTTCTCGGGCTGGCCGAGTCTCATGTAGAGAGACATCACATTGTTGAAAGGCAATGAGTTTTTGATCAACTGCAGCTCGTCCATTTTGTCGAACAGTTGGAGTGCTTTCTCTGAATCCAGCTCTTTGCAGTAGCAGTTGAGTAAAGATCCGTAAGTGGGTGTACTCTTCCCCCAATCCGGCAGTCCGTTGAAGTAATTCTCAGCTTCCTTTATCCCTTTGGTTTTGCAGATGAGATCCAGCCGCACTCCTAAATCGCCATGGGCAAAGTTGATCCCTCTTTTCTCCATCCATTTCATTATCTAACAAAATATTCAACAAGGGGAAAAACGAAATGGTATTCGAGCTGTGGTGGAGAAACGAATGAAAAAAGGGAGAAAGAAAGCAGAAAACAAAACCTCGAGGCTATGGTCGAAGCGGCCGTACTTCCGAAGCTCTTTAACGCAGCGCATCAGCTCGATTTTCCTGATGGCTCTTCCTTCCATCAGGTAGTCGTTCAACGCCTTGGTCACCGTCCCGCCGGTGGCTCCCAGGGCCGACAATATTCGGTACAGCCGCGGCTGTCTTGCGGCGTAGCCTGGTCCTGGATATGAAGACTCCGGAGCCGCCGTTGAAAGCTGCCTCCCTGGCCATGTTGTTCTTCCCTTTCCTATCAGCCGAACAGGGTTTCGCCACATTTTCCGGTAGGGTTTTAGAGAAAAAATTTCAGACTGTGAGTGCGAAGCCTTTACTTTTCTGCTCCCGTTTCTTGTATTTCACCTAGCAATAAACAGAAGCACGGTGCGTTTGATGTTGAGACGACACCGTGGAAGAGTTAGGTCTACGTGCTACTATAAGGTCCTTCCTTTCTTGTCATTGTTTTTAGCTTTGCTTTAATTATCTTTCTTCAAAACTTTCTAAAAACAAAAATTATATACTACGAGCTTGATTGGTTTCTGATTGTTATAATTTTTGCAATTAGGGTTGGAAATCCGTTCGGTTATAGTCTGAACTGATTAGTCGATTCTGAGCCAACAGTTAACTACTTTGTACTTACTGCTAACCACATCTTTGATATTGATTTGTTAACCGGAATTGTATAATTGGTTTCACATGTCCTTCTTCACCTGGTTCCTAATGGAGGAGGGAGATGATGTTCGGGTGCCTCTTGCCTACAGGAGATTTCACCTGACTACAAATACCTCCTGCAAAATCTGTGGAGGTGGACTGGAGACTACTTCACATGTGATTCGTGATTGCCACTCTGCGTGAGCAACCTTGGCGGACCTTCTCAACGATGAGCCATACATCGCTTTTTTTGAGCCTGGCGTTCACCGGTGGTCTATATACTACATTTCGGGCCGCAGTAATACTAAATAACGATTTCTTGTATTACCCAAAATGTTTTACTGGAAATCGAAGAGGTGGATACAGACGAACACTACCTGTAAATGTCTCAGAAGGTCTGAGTTTATCTTTATTGAATATGGGTTTATATACAGCAGCAATAGTAACAGAATAGCAAAGCCTACACAGAGGTTGCTAAAACTAAGGAAACAAACTCAAACAGAAATGCATAGTGGAACCATTCTGCTCCGAGTGTTACTCTCCTCTATCACGCCCCCGCAAGTGGAACCTCGGTGAGGTGAAACTTGGAGCAGAAATTCCGGAATGATTGATGAGATAGCGGTTTTGTCAGCACATATGCTAGTTGATCAGTGGCAGGGAGATGTCGCACATGGAGCTGCTGCTTGTTGACTCTGTCACGAACAAAATGAAACTCAATCTCTAGATGCTTAGAGCGGGTGTGAAATACTGGATTGTGAGCAAGATAAGTCGCCCCCAGATTATCACACCAAAGAACGGGTGCCATAGAGGGAGACCGTCCAAGCTCGGTTAGAAGAGCTTGTAACCAAATAGCTTCAGATGCAAGAGTGGCAAGCGCCCGATATTCACACTCAGTAGACGATCGAGCAACGGCCTTTTGTTTCCTTGTTGACCAGGATACCAAATTCTGACCGTAGAAGACTGCAAAACCAGAAATTGACTTACGATCTCGGGGACAATAGGCAAAGGACGCATCATAATATCCATGGAGCTGCGGCTTGAGAGAGCGCTGAAATAGCAGCCCTTGAGTGATCGATCCCTGAAGATAACGGAGGATCCTTTTTACAGCTAACCAATGCGCATCAGTTGGTCGGTGCATAAATTGGGAGACATGATTGACAACAAAGGATATGTCTGGACGAGTGAAACTTAAATACTGAAGACCACCAACAATGCTTCTGTACAATCCCAGATCATGAAAGGCAGGAGATAAATCCGATGCACTCTGAATCAACTGATCAGCCGTGCAGGGAGTGGCAATAGGCTTCGCGTGCGACATACCGGATCGTTGGAGCAGCTCAAGGATGTACTTTCGTTGGAGACCAACAACTGTATAATGCACCTCCAAGCCAAGAAAATATGAGAGTTTCCCAAGATCACGCAATGCAAACTTGGACCGGAGATGAGTCATGAGTTGCTGAATGACGGTGGAATCGGTGCCTGTAATGACAATATCGTCCACATAGACCAGCATATACAGAAGAACATAGTTAGCTCGATAAATAAACAGAGAGGGGTCCGTCTTGGAGGCAACAAATCCAAAATCTCGAAGTATACAGAAACCGAGCTGATGGGAGCATCTAGTCGCGCCGTGAACCATGCTCTGGGAGATGCCGTAGTCCGTAAATTTACTTCCGTAGACGACAAACATAATCAGGGCGTTCAGGGTCGATGAATCCGGCGGGCTGTTGCATATATATTTCCTCCCGCAAAGTCTCGTGTAAGAAGGCATTGGAGAAAAAAATCTGATGAAGAGGCCAGGAGGGGGAAACAGTTATGCCTAGGAGAAGTCGTAGAGTAGTCGGTTTTAAAACCGGGCTAATTGTCTGGCCAAAATCATGGCCGGGAATCTGCTGAAAACCCCTAGCCACTAGTCGCTCCTTCTGTCGTTCAATCGACCCGTCGGGACTGGTATTCTACTCAAAGACCCATCGATTGGTAAGCAGATTACAGTTGGGCGGAGCGGGAACCGGATCCCAGGCGTGGTTACGAACAAGGGCATAAATTTCGTAGTCATGGCAGCCCGCCAATTAGGAGACTTGAGAGCTTGAGCAGCTGTGGTGGGGATTCCAGAAGAAGCATCGGCAAGAAATTGACGAGGCAGTTTGGGCTCGAGTAATCATGCGTCTGGGAGGGGGTGGCGGGACTGGAGGAATAATTCGAGGAGATGTATTGAATGGCGGCCGAGAGGATAGGGGAGAGGAGTTTTGGGTGGTGGACTGAGGTCGAAGGGATGGGACAAGGCGGCGGTGATAATGCAGTAGCAGTGGCGGTGAGGAAGGGGCAGGACGAGGGTAGCGCTGATAGTGGAGCAAGGGCCGAGGGGAAGGAGAAGATACAGGAAGCAGTGACTTGATCGTGGTGGGCTGGGAGGAAGGGGATGGGATAGTGGGCTGGGATAATGTGGTGTTGGGTTGAAGCCCAGGTGGGGGAAGAGTGGTGGGCGAAGGAGAAGATGGGCCAGGAGAGGGTATAAGGGGTGGATGTGGGCCGAGTAATGATGGTGGATGAGGTAGGCTGATAGGTTCGGAGAAAAATGAAGAAGATGTAAGTCTCGGGTGAGCTAATGGGGTGATCTTTAAATGGAAACACTTATTCATCAAATAGAACATGGTGACTGACGTAAATACGACCAGTCAAACGATCAAGACACCGATAACCTTTGTGCAAACAAATGTAACCCAAGAAAATATATGGAGTAGAACGAGGTTGGAGTTTATTAGAATTATGAGGACGAATCCAAGGATAGCAGAGACAACCAAAAACACGAAGATTTAGAAGATCAGGAGAAGTATGAAACAAGATAGTGAAAGGAGAAGAATTGTTAAGAAGAGGGGTTGGAGTGCGATTGATGGGATAGCAGGCAGTCTCAAAAGCGAGAGACCAATACTTGAGAGGGACATTCGCTTGATGTAACATAGCAAGACCATTGTTAACAATATGGCGATGTTTGCGCTCGGCTCAACCATTCTGTTCCGGAGTTTACGGACGAAAAGAACGATGAATTATTCCATTATTGGAAAGATAAGAAGTCAATGCTTGATATTCACCACCCCAATCAGATTGAAAATTTTTAATGGGAAGACCAAAGAATTTTTCTACCATTTGACGAAATTGAATAAAAACACTGAGAAATTGAGATTTATAGCGCACAAAATACACCCAACTGAACTTACTAAAGTCATAGAGCAAAATATAATATGATTGATGATCATGAGAGAGAAGAGGCGCAGGGCCCCAAAGATCACTACAAATAAGTTCCAGTGGAGCAGAGGCACGATAGTGAGAAGAGAGAAAAGGAAGTTCATGAATTTTACTAACAGAACAACCATGGCATAGAGAAACAGAACTATCATGGTAATTTATTGAATGAGTAGACAAAAGTTGTTTAACAGCACGAAGATTGGCATGACCCAGCCGTTGATACCACAGTTCAAGGGAGGCAGTGAAAGCACGAGGAACTGCGCGACTTTGAATATGAAGAGGCAGAGAATAGAGGCCATCAGTCGCAGATCCTCGATAGAGCTCAGCCTTCGTGTGGCTGTCCTTGATGACAAAATAGGAGTCAAAGAACTCAATAGAAATGGGTTAGAACGAGTTAAAGAACTCACGAAAAGAAGATTATGAGGAGCATTTTGAACACGAAGAATATTGTTGAGAACATAAGAATTATTGGAAAGCGTGGCATGAGAAGAACCAGAATGAGAAATGGGAAGTCGTTTACCGTTGCCAAAAGTGACTTGATCGGTGCCAGTATACTCAGAATGATGAATCAGGTTGTCAAGATCAGAAGTAAGATGTTGATTAGCGCCTGAGTCAAAAAACCATTGTTGGGACTGGTGGACTGGGTGGGAGGACTGGGTGGGAGGACTGGGCTAAGCGAGATGCATGACCAGAGGGGTAAATGGGCTGGGACTGGTAAAACGGGTTAGGACAATTGGGCTTTATATGCCCCCTGCCTCCACAATTATGACAGATTGTAGTGGTCGGGCCTAGAGGCCCAGCTCCTAGAACCCCAGAGGAAGCGGGCCGGAAACCTCCTTGGATGGGCCTTGGACCTGCATAAAATTGATTAGAAGAACGACCCGGGGAGTAATAAGGGCGACCACCAAAACGTGCCCCTCTGCCGCAAAGAGAACGACCACCATCGCGTCCTTTGCCGGAGAAGAAGGCTTGCGGAGTGACGCCACCACCAGCAGCAGATTGAAATCGGCGGAGCTGCAACTCTTCACTCAACAGAAGGCTGCTGAGATCAGCAAACGACACAGGCTCGAGCCTGGCCTCCAAATTCCGCGTGAAAGGTCGATAATCTTCGTTCAGGCCATCAATCACAGAGGTCACCAGCTCCGCCTCTTTAATCGGATCACCCAGAGTGACCATTTTATCAAAAATTGTCTTGGCACGTTGAAGATAATCGTGGGCTGAATCCGTCCCACGGCGGAGATGGTGGAGATCCCAGCGAAGTTGGCCGACGATGACCGGCGACCCGGAAGCATAAATAACGGCCAATGTGTCCCAGGCCTCATTCGCGGTGTGCTTATTGACGATATGCGGCATGACGGCCTCGGTCAGAGACAGATTAATCCAGATGAGAACCAACTGATCGTGCCCATACCACTCGCGAAAGGTAGGATTGGGCTGATCAGCAACTTGCTCTGGCGGCACAGGAAGGGTACCATCGATGTGGCCAACAAGATTATAACAGCGAAGAAGGGGTTAAAGCTGTGCCCGCCATAAGAAGTAATTTGTTGGTGTCAATTTGACAGTCAATTGGGGATTGGAGGGTAAAGAGATGGGAAAGGAGGAAGAGGAGGAAGCAGCTAAAGAAGAGGAAGAACTGGAAATGGTCGACATAGTGGAACAACTGGAAGAATAATGAGAGGAAGAGAAGAGGAGAGACAGGGGAAAAGAAAAACACAGAACTCGTTTGAGTTATTTGGGCTATGATACCATGTAAATGTCTCAGAAGGTCTGAGTTTATCTTTATTGAATATGGGTTTATATACAGCAACAGTAGTAACAGAATAGCAAAGCCTAGGCAGAGGTTGCTAAAACTAAGGAAACAAACTCAAATAGAAATGCATAGTGGAACCATTCTGTTCCTGAGTGTTACTCTCCTCTATCACTACCAACCTAAAAGTAAGATAGGGATCATCAATGTTACTCCAAAGCAGAAGGTCTAGACTGCTCACTAATTTGAAAGCCCTTTTCACACGGCAATTACTGCTCTCCATTGGAAGAAGAATGACAAAATCTTCGAGATCCAGGCACTTCATCCAAACTCCAGCAGTGGTACTTGTCGAAGTTCAACCTATTATTTTTGGGGGTTCCAGTGGCAGGAATGAGTTCAGTTTTGGAGAAAGCAACTTGTGTATTTAGGATTCATATGAGAGATATGGGATGTAATTAATTAGTCGATTTCGGATAATGATCATTACATTGTGCTGTCTTTGCAAGTTGGTCATGGTTGTAAACGATTCTCTTGTGTCTGCATTAATTGGAAATTCCATTTACAATCAATTCTCAGCATTTCTTCAAACTCACGCAGCCTCTACCATATCAAGCAACTTCTTCAGTTCCTCATCTACTTCTATACCATCTCCCTCCAACCTCTCACGCATACCAGGAGCCGATTCGCCAGCAGCTACGTATGTCTTCAGCAACTGGCGATACACATTGTAACCGCACTGCTCGATCTGTTTCAGTATCTTGACTAGCTTCTCAGCTCCACTGACATCCTTCTCTTCCTCGAAAAAGCTAAAGAAAGCACCCACAGTCTCTTGACTTGGCCGCCAAGGCTTCTGGTTCACCCCGATCTCTGCCAACGCTGCCTTCATCTGCTGCAGTGCCGAGTCCAGCTGCTGCCTCTTCAGGAACGAGATCATCATCATCTCCCGAGCCCTGAAGTAAGGCCCTTGAGTTCTCTTCGTCGCCCCATCAAACACCATTTCAGCTTCTTCACACATCCCTCGCTCCAGATAAAACTTCATAGCCGCATTCGCAATCTTCATGTCGTAACTCGAGCAGGCAGATTCCCATTCTGCAAACAACCTCGACACACCCTCGACATCATTCAGCCTCGACAGGGCCTGAATAATCACCAGGTAGGTCGAGTTGGTGACCTGATTGAACTTCGACTTGATGCATCCCCACACTCGGTGGACTTCGTCAAGATCCCCCGTGCCAGCGTAGAGCGTGATGAGGAAGTGATACGCTTGGCGGTTGGGGGAATCAAGCTTCTGCTCTACCATTTTGAGAGCCGATCTGGCCCTCTCGAGGTCGCCTGCGTTGGTGTAGACGGTAGCCAAGTTGCTGTAAGTAGTCCAGTCGGTCTTGTCTTCTCCTCCTCCTCGCATTTCTTCCAGCACCTTGTCAACTCCTTCCATGTCTTTCAGCTGACCTAGGCTATGCATCCATATGCTGTAGGTGAAAGTGCAGGGAGAGATATTCCTCTGCTTCATCTGAGTCACGAGATCGGGGACCTTCTCGGGCTGGCGGATTCTCATGTAGAGAGACATCATATTGTTGAAAGGCAATGAGTTTTTGATCAACTGCAGCTCGTCCATTTTGTCGAACAGTTGGAGTGCTTTCTCTGAGTCCAGCTCTTTGCAGTAGCAATTGAGTAAAGATCCGTAAGTGGGTAAATGCTTCCCCCAATCCGGCAGTCCGTTGAAGTAATTCTCAGCTTCCTTTATCCCTTTGGTTTTGCAGATTAGATCTAGCCGCACCCCTAAATCGCCATGGGCAAAGTTGATCCCTCTTTTCTCCATCCATTCCATTATCTAACAAAACATTCAACAAGGGGAAACGAAATTGTATTCGAGCTGTGGTGGAGAAACGAATGGGAAAGAGGAGAAAGAAGGTAGAAAACCAAACCTCGAGGCTATGATCGAAGTGGCCGAACTTCCGAAGCTCTTTAACGCAGCGCATCAGCTCGTTTCTCTTGATGGCTCGTCCTTCCATCTGGTAGTCATTCAACGCCTTGGTCACCGTCCCTCCGGTGGCTCTTAGGGCGGACAATATCTGGTACAGCCCCGGCTTTTTTTCGACATAGCCTGGTCCTGGATATGAAGACTCCGGAGCCGCCGTTGAAAGCTGCCTCCCTGGCCATGTTTTTCTTCCCTTTCCGATCAGCCGACCAGGGTTTCGCCACATTTTCCGGTAGGGTTTTAGAGAATTTTCTTTTTCGGATTGTTACTGCAAAGATTTTCTTTTCCGGCTCTCGTTTCTTGTTTTAAGTTTTAACCTAGCAACAAAAGGAAGTACGGTGCATTTGACATGAAACGACAACGTTACGAGAAACAATTAGGTCCTTCCTCCGCACGTTTCTTGCCATTGTTTTTTCAGCCTAGTTATTCTGCTAACTAATATCCAAAATGTATGAACTAATATCCAAGTCTGCTGAGTATATATATAACACATACTAGTATTCAAAACATCACAAACTGGTATCCAGATAGCAGATACCAACTAATATACACAATCAACCAACTAATATTCAATATGGATACTCTTATGTGTTATCTGGATACTAATTATGTGCGGCTTAGATACTATTCTGTGTTGTCTAGATATTAGTTTGCGAATTTGGGATAATAGTTGATTCATGGTGGATATCAGTTAGCAAAATTTGAATACTAATCTGTGCTCTCTAGATACTTTAATACTTGGATATTAGTTCATGTATTTTGGATATCAGTTAGTATCTGCTAACGAATTTTCAAGTTAGCAGATTAACTTTCCCCTTGTTTTTTAATTGGTAATTGTCGGTTATACTATAATGGTTCTAATTTAAAAGTTATAATTATCACTTTAATCTTTAATTTTTTTTATAGCAACCTGGTAAACTTTTATTAATCAGTTAAGATGGTTACATCATCCAGCTTAAGCTGATCAACCAAGAAATTTGGGGGTCGATTCACCCATACACACCGTTCATTCCACCTAGTCTCCGACCTTGCCATCAGGTCCGCCGCATTGTTGGCTGTCCGAGGGCAATGCTGCCAGGTCCCATCTTGCATATCAAGTAAGAGCCGCCTGATATTACGACACACAATGCCTAACTCTGTTTGGTAGTTCCTAGCTTCATGGATTGCAGTGACCAAAGCTAAGCAGTCGACTTCGAAAATCGGTCTGCCCACATTCAGTTGTAGAGCTATTTGTAGACCGAACTCGGCTGCAAGAGCTTCAGCCATCTCAACTTCCCTGACACCCGTAATCTTCTTTGTTGCTGCAAATAGACACTTCCCTTCAGAATCACGAGCTACTACTCCCAGACCCGCTCCTCCGCCTGCCAACAGTCCCGCATCCGTGTTAATTTTGATTCTACCAAAGCCCGGCTTAATCCAATTACCCGCTCCATGGAGCCTCTCCTCAATCTTTCGTCGTTGTTGAAATTGTTGGTATTCTGTGAGGAAACTTCTTGCCCTCGGCACAATCTCCTTCTCCTCCATCTTTTTCCCGTTGAACATGTGCGCATTTCTTTCCTTCCATAAATACCACATCATCGCTGCCCATTCTGCAGCTCTATCCTCGTCCATCATCTCCAAAACCTTCTTCACCCATTGGAAGCTATCTGCAGTTCCACGCAGAGCAAAACATGGGGCAATTGTTGAACTCCTCCAAAGGCATGAGGTCCATTCGCATTCACTAAAGAAGTGGATTTGCATTTCTCTGTTCCCACAAAATGCACATCGATCACCCTGCTTGTAACTCTTTCTGCTCAGATGATCACCCGTTGGAAGTATGTCCCGGGCGAACCTCCAAAGGAAGTGTTTTTACCTTCGGTGGTGTGTTCAACTTCCATAACTTCTTCCAGACTTCAGAATTACCAACACTAGGGAGGTCACCCTGCGCCATTTTCTGTCTTATCCAACTAGCATATCCTTCCTTTACTATGAACTCACCATCTTTGCTGCCATCCCAAATCAACCGGTCGCACTCTCCCATTCCTCGCAATGGAATTTGTCTAATAATGGCTGTCGTTTCACTTGAGAAGCAGCTCTCTAGCAGATTATCATCCCAAATCTCCTCCTCATGCATGATCAGTTCGCGCACAGTGGATTCAACGGGTAATCCCATCGGAGGTGAATCAACGAAACCCGAGGGGCTATCTGGCAGCCACTTATCCCCCCAGATCCGAACACTTGATCCATTACCAATCCTCCATCGAAGCCCACCGTTTAAGAATTCTTGCGCACTCAGGAGGCTGCGCCAAATAAAACTTGGCCGGTGACCAATTCTTGCATCCAAGATCGACGAGTTTTTATGGTACTTGGCCCACAGGATTCGTGCGATCAGTGAATCTTGACGTTGAGACAGTCGCCAAAGTTTTTTGGCCAGTAGTGCTGTGTTGAAGCCTTCAAAGTCTCGGAACCCAAGACCTCCCTCTTCTTTCGCCACCATCATCTCTTCTCGGCTCATCCAGGTAATTCTTCGTTCCGGTCCTCTTTGTCCCCAATAGAAATTCATGATCATACTATGGACTTCATTGAGGATGCAATCTGGTACTCGGAACACTGACATGGCATAAGTGAACTGAGCCTGAGCCACCGACTTAATCAGAACCTCCCTTCCCGCTACTGATAAGACTCTTTCCTTCCAGCCCTTGAGTTTCTTGCGGACTCTCTCTACCAGGCCCTGGAAAATATATTTTTTTGATCGGCCTACTACCGTGGGCATCCCTAGATATTTGTCATGTTTTTTCACCTCCTTCATCTGCAAAATACCTCCAACCAGAAGCTTATGGTGGGGTTTGACATTCCCACTGAACGAAACTTCCGATTTATTGAAATTGACTAGCTGCCCCGATTCTTATGCATAGGACTTGAGGATCTGCTTCAAAGTCGAGCTATCTTGGTCCGTTTCCCTGCCAAAGAAAACTGCATCGTCAGCGAAAAAGAGATGGGTCACTGTCGGCCCTCTTTTCGCAGGCTGAAATCCGTGAAGCTGTTTATTTCTGGCCGCCTTTTGTGTGTAAGCTGAGAGGCCCTCCGCACATAATAAGAACAAGTATGGTGATAGAGGGTCTCCCTGGTGTAAGCCACGGCTTGGCTGAAAACTGGGAGATTGGTGCCCATTAACCAGAACTGAATAGGTTACTGTTCTCACACACATCATCACAAGTCTCTTCCACTTTGTCGTGAAGCCCATTTTGCTCATGACCCCTTCCAGGAAATGCCACTCAACTCTGTCATATGCTTTAGCCATGTCGATCTTAGCTGCGAAATATCCCTGCCCCCTCTACTTCTTCTGCTTCATAGAGTGGAAGCATTCGAACGCCGCCATGATGTTATCAGTGATAAATCTGCCCGGGACGAAAGCACTTTGCTCCGGGATGTTATTTGGTCTAAGACATTCTTCATCCTGTTTGCAAGAACCTTGGAGACCAGCTTATAGATCACATTACATAGGCTTATAGGCCGAAATTCCTTGGGTGAAATAGGGTCTTTGACTTTCGGAATCAAGGCTATAAGCGTATGGTTAAGCTGGTCCGGCATTACCTTCTTTTCCAGTATTTCCAACACCTTTGCTGTAACATCCTCGCCTACAATATGCTAGTAGCGGCGGAAAAACAGGACCGACATCTCGTCCACACCTGGGGCCTTCCTCTTTCCCATCTGCTTCAAAGCATCAAAGACTTCGGCTTTATCAAACGGTCGGTCAAGCATCTCATTCTGCTCCGGAGTTATCGCCCATTTTATTGAATCAATAACTGGAGTAGTCGATGGCCGAGGACCTGCAGTAAACAACAGTGTAAAGCAATATGTTAGACACTGGAATAGTTGATCCCGCCCTGTCCGCCAGTTGCTCTCTTCTTCCTTTAACTTCTTTATTGTGTTTCTTCTCCTTCGATCCGTCGCCTTCTGGTGGAAAAAATTGGTGTTGAGGTCGCCTCCCTTCAACCAGTCTGCCCGGGATCGCTGCTGCTAGTGCATTTCCTGATTCCTTTCCACTTCGTCCATCTCTGTCTCAAGCTGGGTCAGTTGGGCCACGATGTCCGGCGTCCTCGGAGCACGTTCCAGCTTCTCCATAGCCCTTCTGATTCGAACCTTCTGTTAGCCAAATTTTGGGAAAGCTCGTCTACTCCATTGATCTAACATTGACCTGCAAGACAGAAGTTTTGTTAGAGGATCCGCTTGTTTTTCTTTCTTCCATGCCTCCTCGATTACTTTTGGAAAGTCTTCGTGGATGGCCCAATACGGCTCAAACTTAAACGACCACCCCCAGCTCGGTTCTTCATCCTCCTCCCCTGCCGTATCACAGAGAATAGGTCTGTGGTCTGATCGCTCCTTATCTAGGTGTCGCACCCGACCCTGGGGGAAACACTCCTTCCATTCTGCCGACGCTACAAACCTGTCGATTCTTTCCTCAATGAAACAGTCTCTCTCTCTTTTATTCGCCAAGGTATAGCGATAGCCTGGAAAGCCCAGGTCAATTAGTCCTGAATCTGTTAAACAATTTTGGAAATCCATCATCTCTTGCTCCACTGCGTTCCGACCTCCCCACTTTTCATAAGCTGATAAAACCTGGTTGAAGTCCCCACAGCAGAGCCACGGTCTAGTCCATTGATTCGCCAGCCTTTCAATAAGTTCCCAAGTCCGCCGTTTATCATGACTTTCTGGCCATCCATACACACCCGAGAACCTCCAAACTTCACCATCTTCCTCTCTCACCTTAGCATCAATATGGTTCATTGAGAGCGACATAACTGTAACCTCCATCCCCTCCTTCCACCAAATGCTTACCCCTCCAGCTCGTCCTCCCTGTGATCTATCAGTAGCTCAGATGTCTCCTTCTTTATAACCCAGCTCCCGCCTTGTTAATTCATTTTCATCTTTTGTTTGCTTAGTTTCCATTAAGAAAACTAAATCTGGGGAGATTCGTCTTAACAACGAACCCATTGCTTTAACTGCTCGCTTCTTCCCCAATCCGCGGCAGTTATAGCTGAGTATCTTCATTTATTACCCAAAGGGGATCGGTTCCCCGCACCATTCTTATTCAGGCCCTGCATGGCTGGTATGGCTTTGCTATTCCCATTCTTATCATTCTGAGCACCAGCAGAGGTAGATTTATGCGGTGCTTCCTTGGTTAATGTACCACCACTCGCTTGTCTTGTGTCTTTCTTCTCCTGGTTCCCATCCACCTCCACCTCCACCTCCATTGTGTTATCCCGAATTCTCTCCTTGGGGTTGGGTCGGTCAAAACCGCCAGTTTTCAAGTTACTCTTCTTTCCACTATTGTCATTCATTCCATGGCTCTTCCTGTTCCTTTCATTTTGTTTATCTGTATCACCAACAGTTTTCTTTGTGATTTTAGTTCCTGCTTCCCCTGCTCTTTCACTCGTGGCTTCCTTCCTTTCTATTGACTGTTCGACGTGTGCATGGCCATGCACCACGTTGGCCTCTTCTCCAAGAGGCAAATTTGTTGCCTTTTTGTGAATAGTTCCTAGGTGCTTCTCCATGGTTCCCTCTTTGGCCTCCCCTACCTTGTGGCCTCCGATCTTTTCTTCTCACCATCATCCAATCCCCATAAGCTTTGCCTTTCGATGGGTCATTTTTTTGTTGTGTTTCTTCCACCATATCTACCTCAGCCGTAGGGCTCACGGGGGTCGGGTTTCGACATGAGCATTGGGCGGACAGCTTACCATAAGACCCACATTGGTCACAAATGTTTTCCAAACCTTCATAGCGAATCAAATATTTTTTTCCTTCGATGCTGTATTTTGCTAAAAATGGTTGAGTTAGGTCTACCTCCATACAGACACGGGCGAACTTTGCTCTTGCCCCTAGCTCTGTTGCCCAGTCCACACGGATTGGATTCCCGATACTCTGAGCTATAATGAGAACAGCTTCCCTATTGTAGAATTCCACGCCTGGAAGATGAACCCATACCATTGTTCTTTTAACTTCTGCAGTCCAGGGGTTAAACCCCTTGAACCAGCGGTGTACCGTTAGATAGGTGTCGCCTAGTAGCCATGGTCCCCCCATCGTTGCAAACTCATAGTCCTTTTGGCTTCTGAAACGAACCATAAAGCATCCATTCTCCATATCTGAAATCTGCAGGTCGCCATGGCGAGCCCATAACGAGTTTAGTCGCCTCGCAAGCGGCACATATGAGATCTTTCGCCCCAGGCCTTGAACCACCAATGCAGACCTCCACTCCCTTCTCCATTTTATCTTTTGTGCTGCCGTATATAAGATCTGGGGACAGGTCGGGTCATAGTTTTCTTCGTCCAGCACATCATCTTCCTCCTTCTCCCTTTGCGCCACATCTTCTGTATCGGAATCTTCTACATACCATCCTTCTTCCCTAAAAACATCACTGAAGAGCTTGCCCGTCCTTCCATTCCATGCTCCTTTCCCTCCTTGCTTTCCCTGGCCATCGCCTGGGTTCCTTTTCGTTTCCTCCGCTTCCATATCCATTGAAGCGTCGTCCTCTATACCCATCGATTCTTGATCGAGGTTGAGTGCCCTAGCTCCTTTTTTGAGTTGGACAGCTTCCTTCGCACTCTTGCCATCTGGTGATGAGGAAGCTATCGCTGGACGCCTTGCCCCCGCTATCATCTCAGGAGGTTTGGCTGGTGGCGTCTGCTTGTTGGACGGCGCCGGCGTCGTCATGAGAGCCAGGAAACCCTAATCGCCGATAGTGCGCACTGCTTTTCCCCGCTCCGAGAAAGCCGCGCGCAGCTTGGTGCTTTTTTTTAGTCCAATGCTTCATTAATCTTTAATTTTTTATGGATTGGGTTAGAATACAAAATTCGTTAGTTTTGTAGTACCGCAAAACCTAATCTAATGATTGTAATTTAGGTTGGGACGATTTTATGGTCCACATCATAAAGGAATAAATAGGAAAATAAGGCGGCTGTCCGAATTTGCTACCCAATTGTCTGGATTTGGAGGGGACTGATGTGGATTCCCAGACTCCTTTTAAGGATTTAAATCATGAAAATTATAGGATTTTATTGTCCATGTATTTTATAGTGAAATCAAGAGCAGAACAGGTAAGTAAAATGGTGGGATTTTAGGATTTTAATCCCGATTTTGACTGCTTTGATAAGAAGAGGTCAAGTAGGTCCAGATTCATGCATTGAGAATGTGATGTTAGTAAAATATCTTAAGCATAATTTGTTTTTCAGTCAGATGTATTGTGAAGATAAGAGAATAATTTGTGAACCTGATTATTGCTATATTGAGTCATTAGTTGATAAAAAAAATACTTCTAATTGACATACTTAAAAATAAGTTGTATGTTATTAATATAGATGATAAAGAAATTTTAGAGTAATCTACCTAATGTCTATGGAGAAAAATGACGAAATAGATTGGCATAGGAAGCTTGATCATGTGAGTATAGGGATTGAGTCCATATATTTTATAGTGAAATCAGGATCGGAACAAGTAAGTAAAATCGTTAGATTTTAGGATTTAAATTTTGATTTTGACTGCTTTGATAAGAAGAGGTCAAGTAGATCTAGATTCATGCATTGGGAATGTGAGGTTAGTAAAAGGTCTTAAGCATAATTTGGTTTTCAGTTAGATGTATGGTAAAGATAAAAAAATAATTTTTGAACCTGATTATTACTATATTGAGTCATTGGTTGATAAGAAAGTACTTCTAACTGACATACTTAAAAATAAGTTGTATGTAATTAATCTAGATGATAAAGAAATTGTAGGAAAATCTACCTAATGTCGATGGAGAAAAATGACGAAATAGATTGGCATAGGAAGCTTGGTCATGTGAGTATAAGGATTGAGTCAAAACTAGGAGATTGTACGTGAGTTAGTTAAATGTTTACCCAAACTAAAAAACAAAAAGGAGTACTTTCTGTGATATGTGTGTTAAAGGGAAACATACAAGCGATAGCTTCAAGAGTAAGATTGTAATATCCCAACAAGATCTCTTGAGCTACTTCACTTCTACCTATTATGGCCAACCAATATGATAAGTTATGAAGGTAAGTAGTATGCTTTTTTTAATTGTGCATGATTATTTTCTTTTACATGGGTGTGTTTTCTACCTTGCAAGAACGAAGCTTGTCAAAATTTTCAAATTCGTACAAAGAGGTTGGAAAATGAAAAACAATCTAAGGTTGCTAGTATTAGAAGTAATCACGATGAAGAATTTATCTCTGAGGAATTTGAATGATTTTGCAACGAACTAGGTTTAACTCATAACTTTTCTGCATCAAGGACTCTGCAACAAAATGGAGTCATGGAATGGAAAAATCGAACCTTGATTGATGTGGTTTGAACAATTTTACATGATCATAGCTTGTCAAAGTACATTTTGACATAATCCATAAATACGACATGTTATATTACAAAGTAAACCTTAATTACATCGTTCATTAAGAAAATTTCATATAGTTTATAAAGGAACAAACCCCAATTTGGGTTACTTCCATCCCTTTGGTTGCAAATGTTTTCATTGAAAACCAAAGATCATCTTGAAAAGTTTGATGCAAAATCGGATGGATGTGTTATTAGGATATTCCTTGACCAACAAGGCAGGACTCTCAAAGTAGAAGAGTCCATAAATGTTATATTTTGATGAATCTGCAAATGAGTGTATAGATGAGATAGATTATGATGATTTTGGACTCGGGAGAAACTATGAGAGAGAACAGACAAGTTCACAAAACAAGGATAAAACTGGGTATAGAACAAACATCCTCGAAGACAAAGACAAAGCAGTAGCTAGTACACATCCACAAAGTGATCCAAATAAAAATGAAAGACAACCACCTCCACACATTGCCAAACGACATTGTTCATTGTTGATTATAGGCGGGCTAGATAAAGGTATGGTTACTCGCTCCATAAATGTTATTGTGCATAATGCTTTTGTGTCCTTAGTTGAACCTAAAAACATGCTAGATTCCTTGAATGATGAAAACTAGACTATTACTATGAATGAAGAAATGAGTCAGTTTGAGCTGGCAAAAGTTTGAGATACGGTTCCTATACCACTTGATAGAATTGTGATTGGGACAAGTGGGTGTTCAGAAACAAGTTAGATGAAAATAGGGTAGCTACTCTAAATAAGGCTAGGGTAGTAGCACAAGGGTATAATGAAGAACAGGGGATAGATTTCGATGATATATTTGCTCCAGTTGCTGAATTTAGAGACTATAAGAATGTTATGTGCTTTCTATATCTCTAAGGGGTATAAACTTTTTCAAATGGATGTCTGAAGTGCTTTTTTACATGGAGATTGAATGGAGAAAGTATGTTACCTCTCCATTTTTTATAATTTTCATTTTCCAAATAATGTTCGAAAACTGTAAAAGTCTATATGGTTTAGAAAACAAGCTCCATGTGCTTAGTATAATAAGTTGAACCCTTTTCTTTTAGGCAAAGGATTAAAAAGAGGCTTTGTGGATAAAAATGTTTCTTATAAAAAAATATGGACAACACCTTCTGCTAGTCCAAATATATGTTGATGACATTAATTTTTTGGACTTTGCTACGGTGACATGCATGTCACGGTGACATGCACTTTTCGGTCGACCTCATATAGGATCAAGTCGACCTAATCTGTTGTTTCAGTGTGAAAACAGTTTCATGGTGCATACTTTGGAGATTCATATCTTACAATTGGCTAGATGGAAATTGGAGATTAAAGGCTTGTTTTGAAGCTGAAGTGTCCCTCTACACATTAAAGTACTTGGGAGCTCAATAGAAAGTTCAGAAGACCATTTTTGAACCTGACCAAAAGGCTATGCCAAAACTGGGAAATGCCTGAAAATGGCTAAGTCTGGCAACGTGTTTGTCAAGCCTACTTTGGAGCTCAATTTGAGAAGCATGGATGCGAGTCAAGTCCAGGGGCCTCTACCACATTAAATTGCGTATTTTTTTATACAAAGGCAAGGCATTGGATGAAAGATGGAATATCTTTAAGACTTCAAACAAAAGGCTCGAAGTTGCTACGAAGGCTGTTTTTCTGGCAGCTTGCTTGTGCTCGAAGTCTCCCAGAAAAACAGCCTTCGTAGCAACTTCAACCCTTTTGTTTGAAACCTTACAAATATCTAATCTTTCATCCAATGCCTTGAATTTTTATAAAAACATACCTAATTTAACGTGGTAGAGCCTCCTGGACTCGACTCGCATTCATGCTTCTCGAATTGAGCTCCAAAATAGGCTTCACAAACATGTTTCCAGACTTAGCCATTTCTAGGCAATTTCCCAGTTTTGGCATAGCCTTTTGATGAGGTTCAAAAATGGTCTTCTGAACTTCCTATCGAGCTCTCAATCACTTCAATATGTAGAGGGACACTCCAGCTTCAAAACAAGTCATTAGTCTTCAATTTCCATCTAGCCAATTGTATGATATGAATATCCAAAGTAGGCACCATGAACTGTTTTTACACTGAAACAACAGATTAGGTCGACCTGATCCTATATGAGGTCGACCGAATCCTAAATGAGGTCGACCAGATCCTATATGAGGTCGACGGAA